GACGATTAAATCTCGTTTTCTTCACTTCAACTTAAAGAAGAATGAACGTTATCTAAACCACTCTACCGCCCTGTGTTGTTACTAATCGCCAAAAAGGTATTTTATCCTCGTTGTCAGCGTTGATAGTTGTTCATCAATGTCACGGTTAGAGGATTGATAAAACTTGTATACATATGATGGTGGCAAAGTAGATCTTTTTCCAGCCAAAACTTATGCCTCAAAACTGACCAAACTGTTGATGTTCCCTTTTGATCTATCGTCCTGATATCCTACGATACCAACATGATAAAACGCGATGTCATGGTCACTTTCAAGTAAAGAAATGTTCTCGTACTATTAACTGAAAAGGGATTTTACCAATTTGATATAACAGAAACCTCGTGTCGCATTAGTTTCCACCTGTCTTCAGTGTTACTAGCATAGCATCCATTCATATTACATGTACATCCACTACTAGTATATTCTTAAAAGGCTGTAGCCCTTGTTGAAAAAAGGAGTTGGGAGATTTAGAATGGAAGCAAATTATAGGAGGAAAGAGTGAATTGTTGGGGGTTTTTTAATGGAATATCCCATAGATGCGGCCTCCTATCGGATATTTTACGCATATTTTCCCCTTCAACCCATCTTCGCCAATGTAAGGAAAGCCATCTAATAAAGTTATTCCACATTGGCTAGACGATGACGCGTCGAATCAATGCATTGTGACCAAATAATTACGATCACACTGATTCTCGTGATGTTATCCTTAAGTTGTGCGACTCCGAGTCTTATTTGCCATTTATTTGCGTCACCAATCTACAACTCAACGGTTTTCTGCTTCACACAGAATTTAAGAATACAAATACATGACATAGTAAAGTAATGAACGTCAACAAAACACTTTTGTGTGGCAATCTTCTTTACAAAAAACCCGTTCCACAAACTATGACAACGCCCTCCCCCTCTTCCCTCCCCCCTCTATCACGATCCCTGCAATCTTATTTTCACTCTTTTATACAATACTAACCCGCAAATGGCCCTGACTAGTCATAGGCCGGTTACTAACTAAGACCGAGATAACTAACTAAGCTCTCTAACCTAACTGCCTAAGACAAATTGGATGAGTGTTACGACATACTAACAGTTAAACTAATTTACCATCGAGAGATAGGTGTTTCTAGTATCTTTTCCCAGCTTGATCATTATTAGCCTGTGCGTAATGGCTAGGTGTTACTTGACTGCACTTTTCACGGAGCTGCAAACTCTGCAGTTAATTCGAAGATCAGTAATCTTCTCCAACTACAATTGCATACTATTTTCAAATGTATGTTCTTATTGCGATACGATAAAAAATTTCGAAATACTTTAGCCCTAATGATAATTCTTTATTTTTCTAACATGTGTCTCAGCCAAGGTTGAGTGTAATAAAATAGATTACGATACGTAAAGAATAGACCAGGATGCGTATATTGATAAATGTATTCCTGAAGAGTGGAGAGGGTTTTCCGAAACATCAATCAGGGTAAAGACCCACTGTTGACAAAGCTGGCCGACGATCTGGTCAGTAAGGGTCAAGCCCTGAATAACGATCGTTCGTCGCTCGGCGTCTAGAGGACTGCGAACACACCGCAAGAATAGATTGCGTCAGTTCTGGTACCTGCTTTAACAGGTACTCGGATTGACGCTGATACTCGGCTACCATCGTTCGTTTTGACTTGTTAAGTCACCGCTTCAAGTCTGGAATTAACTGCAGTAATTAATTGTATTTGGTTAGAGTAAGTATGTAACTCAAAATAAAGATTGTCAACAATAAACATGAAATTTGGATTTTTTGTGTTTTCTTTTTTGAAAAGCACACTGTAGGAAAACGTAGCACAGTTTTCACAAACAGGCATAATTTTAAGCAAAACTCGGGAAAAAATGGAGTAATGCTGGTTGCAAAATATGCTTATTTTAGTAGCATAATCTATAAGGGCCTACACTCACTTATCGCTTCTCTTCTCGTTTCTTCTCGTTAACCGCCCTGAAAACCACTCTGTGGTACATGCTTTTATTTAGTCTATTTGTAGACATGAATGGGCACACGGGCCGATTGATCTTAGATGGTTTTAGAAACATTTCGGATCAGAAAATCAACTCAAACCTTTCCACGAGAATCTCACGAATGAAAACCAGCATTCTTAATGCTTGCGATGAAAAGCAAGAACCATTACTTCAATGTAGATCCAAGGCAAGGTCAGACCCGATAGACCCATTCATCGTAAACTTCAATAAGCAAGTCTTAATTAACGGCCAATACAATTCAAGGACAAACTACTGGAGAGTAAATACCGCATTTACAGCGCTAGCCTTACAGGGTCTTGAATCAAGAGATTCGCATAAGGGCTTCAAAACATTGGGACAAGTCCAGACAACAACAAAAACTCAGTAAAAAAGTGTGTAAGACGACTACTTCGAGAAACGATATTCGAGTTCAAAGAATCCCGCTACAGCGAGAAATGACAGTCAAAATCAGGAAACTCGTTCCTGGGGCTAAACGTTAAGCAACCTTGCACTCTAAATCAAAATAATAATTAAATACTAAATATAAACAAATCATTACTAACAAACTACCTGAACACTTCACAACATAAATCCTGCAGGATAAAGAATTCTAATTTCTCGGTTCTTACAGACATCACTGTGAAGTTTAATATCACATGTACATCTGAGAATGATTTAAAGTATAATTTCTAAAGGCGAGGAAAAATCGAAAGATATTTTCTAGTCCTCGCACATATTTATCCTGTGATCTTCTCATCGCGTAATATAACCTTCCTATGAGGTTCCCGTCGAAATTTTAAGGAGAACGTTTTCAATCAGCGTCTATCTCGCTGTAAACAAATTTCTACCTAACTGTATGTGTTTCTGTGACTTCATTGCATGTCCTCGACTCTTAACACTATAGGATGAGAACTGTTCTCAAGCTCTTTGATCCTCCTCCACAGATCAGGTCTTTTAAGCATGGAAAGGAAATTATTTTGAACTTTGAGTCCAGAAATTGATCGTTCTGTTGCGAGAAATTTACTTTCATGATCCTTTACGCACTAAATATTTAACAGTGCAAAACCTTGCTCTTAGCTGATGTAAAACATTAGGGAGGGGTGATACCCGATGTAGGTGTTACATGCGTGCCATTAACGCTCATATCCTAATGAATTATGGTAACATCGGGACTTTTCATCTATTTTATGAAGGAGAGGCCATCACTAACCCTGGTACTCGCATTTTTAATATATTCAAAAATCAAGATGACGTTGACAGCCTGATGGAATTGGTATGGAGCACAAGAACTGATTTTAAAAAACTGGATTTGTCCTGACATGGATGCTACGAATTTCCTTTTGCTCATCTCAATTTTTACAAACAATAGCATCTCATTGCTTTCAAAGCAGCAACCTTTGTTTTCAAGTAACAGGTTACTAATGGTTTTTAATGGATTTGACAATGATTCCACAAGCTGATCGAAACTTCGTTATTTCAATTGTAGCAGACTTGACTTAAGGCCGTTAAGAGATTATATTCAGTTTATAATCTCTTGAGCCCACCTAAAATAAGATCTTGACGAGTTTCCGTTCAAGACTTGTTCTTTTTATAAAATGCGAATTTTTTTTGAGCTACGAAACTGAAGTCAGCAGTGATGGCTGTCGAGATTTTAGAATAACGATTTCATGCTGCATCTATCGCGCTGTAAACAAATTTCTACTTAACTGCTTGTCCTTGACTTTCAACACTTAGCAATTGGTTCATACATCAGCGTGCGTTCATCGAGATATGAAGCACGCGGGAAGTTTGGAGAGCACGAAAGATGCGTAAGAGTTGCTCGAGGCTACGCCTCGAGCAACTCTAGCTTCTTCTGTTTTCAAGCCCTTTGATCCTCCTCCACTGATGAGGTCTTTTAACCAAAAGCGAGGATTGTTGCGAGAAATGGCGGGTGTTTTATTGCTATATTTGTTACACTTCAAAACCAATCTCGCGCTGTTCTCCACGTTTGCTTCCATGATCCTTTAAGCGCTAAGTATTTAACACATACATAACCTTTCTTTTAGCTGATGTAAAACATTAGTGAGGGGTGATACTCGATGTCGGTGATACATGCATGCCATTGCCGCTTCCGAAGTGCTCATGTCCTGATAAATTATGGTACAATCGGGACTTTTCATCTATTGTTATGAAAAAGAGGCCGTCACTAATCCAGGCACTCGCCTTTTTAATATATTCCAAAACCAGTATGACATTGATAACCTGATGGAATTAGAATGAAGCACAAGAAATAATTTTGAAAATTGGATCAGTCCTGACATGGATGCCATGAATTTCCTTGTAAATCTCAATTTTTATAAACAATAGCATCTCTTTGCTTTAAAAGCAGCAACCTTTGGTTTCAAGTATCAGATTACTAATGGTTATTAATGGATTTTACGGTGATTTCACAAGCTGGTCGGAACTTCGTTGTTTCAGTTGTAGCAGGCCTGACTTAAGGAGATTAAATACAATTTATAATCTCTTGAGGCCGCTTAAAATAAGATCCTGACGAGTTTTCGTTCAAAACTTGTTCTTTGTGTAAAATGCGAAGTCTTATTGAGCTACGAAACTTAAGTCAGCAGTGATGTAGAAAGGGCTAGTTAGCTAACTAATGGTAGAGCCTGTTCAGCATTGGAAAGTGAATTCGAGGGTGTAAAGTCCGATTTTTGTTCAGGGATAAAGATGTTTTTCCTTTCATCCAACATTCGCGACAAGACGAATAATTACCATCTCGGTTCGAGTACTGGATTCAGTTTCACCACGTTTCTGATGCATTTTCTGTTCATCTTCCATTCACGGATATTAACTTACTTACATCATTAGCGGGTACTAGCAAGATTCCATTAGACATCCAAAATTTTGGAACGGAACTCAATGCAACCACAAGCAAAAAATCTGTATCTCCACTTTTAATAAGGGAATGTGATCATGCTACCACAATTCAACATTACTCAATGAAGGATAAAGCTTGAAGTAAACACAGATTCGGTTATTTCAGTGCTGAGATTCACCGGGCTGTGTCTTAGAGAGACTTCTGTTGCTGTGGGCTCCAGAAACTCAGGTAATGTTCTGTTCCCCCTGAACCTCTACATGTTTCTTTCTTTCTTTCAGCCTTTCTTTTCAACATATCTTGAGCGAAAAGAAGTAGCTAGAACCATTTTTCCAATTTCTTCATTTAATCTTCTGCGCCCATCGTTTGATAGCTTACTCGTCAATTTCTCAAAAGGTGCGTAGGAAATTACTTTAAGTCGGAAATCCAGTTAAACAGATTAAAACACATAAAGGAAATCATGAACTTTAAGTTGTATAAGTTTCGATTTGCCATATGGCTAAATTTTTGCCCATAATTTTCTTTTTCTTTTTTTCTTTTATGGGTGCTTCCACTGTACTCGAATAAAACCATGTTCATTTAATTTACTTTTCATGTTATTTTTAATCTTGACTTGAGGTGATTCCTCAGTATTGCACTGCGCATACAAATCGCGTAATCAAGCGAAAAAGTGGGCGCGCATTCCGAGAACTGCTCCATACGCTCGAGACTTTCTCCCTATCAGGTTTCTCTTTTATCAAGTGTTACTTTAAACCCTAACTTCCAGCTACCGCAAAATGTACCTTAAAGCGATGAAATAGCGCGCGATTAGTGCCAGTACAGATATAAATGAAGTAAGTTTAGCCCATCATATCTTTTAAACAAGTGACATATTTTTTTCACTGTTTCATTTTTCGAAACCGACATTGGCAGGGGAAATTTATTGAAAGTTAAAAAAAAAAAACGGTTCAATAACTTTTTTTCTGAGGAATCACCTTAAGCTTTAATGTCTCGCTCGACAAGACATTTTCAGTTGCGAGTTTGTGAATCTTTCCCATACACCTTAGGTGGATCATAAATTTCTTTGAAACCTCACGTTTAAAGATCATGGCTTCGAAGTATCTGTTGATTGTTTTGCTGTTTGCTTGGAGGCCAGGTGTGTAAAATAACATGATTTTTCCTATAAGTTATAAAAGCTGCAGAATTCAGAAGGAATCAAGAATGTGCTTTCTAATTATGATAAACAGGGGCGTGGTTCAAATTTATTTTTAAGAGGGTGAGGTCCATTATTTTAAACCCAGGCTTCTTGGCTTACTTTCAGTTGACATCCACTTTTATTATCTAGCGATCGATATTTTGTCGGCTGAACAGTGAGCGATGCATGATGGGTATATTTTTCAAACTTGAGCTATTTTGCCATCTGAATCGTAAGGTTTCCATGAAGATGAACTGCAGTAAAAAAATATAATAGTAAACATAAAAGGATAATTATATATAATTATATAATTATATATATCCCAAAGGATAGAGGTTAAGGACACCATGGTACCTTCCCTCATGGTACCTTCGCCCATCCATGGTATTTTCCCCTTGATACCTTCCCCTAGCTACGCCGCTTATCTAGAATTAATTGGGAGGAGAGTAAGAGAGTTTCAAATTTCCTGGTAACTCAGCTTCCAATATGATAACCCGGTATGGAAATCACGTCTTCCGAGAAAACGTCATCCCGTGAAAAAAAAGGTTCCATTACCCTGGGATCCTGTTTCGGAGGGTTCGTAAATATATGTTGAAACTGAAATTTATCTTTTTATTCATTCATTTATTCATTTTCATTCCTTTCTTTTTTCCTGATTGTTTAGTCAAATCGGCTTGGTGCGATGATGTCAAGTACAGCAAAAACAGAATAGACAGTGATAAATACATAAATAATTGTATTCCGAAACCGTGGCAACCTCTCTTCAAAGGACTGAAAAAAACATATTATGGTGAAAGCTCCATCTCCAGGTTAGGACATTTGGCAGACAATCTTAAGAATGAAGGTAAACAACTGAAAAACGCCATTGAACCTCAAATGCCATTGCTGTTTAAGGCTTTGGAGCTGGTGAAGCCAAAAGATGTGAAAGTGGTGATTTTAGGCCAGGATCCAACTCCACAAAAAGACAAAGCTACTGGTGTGGCATTTCACGTGGAAAGAACTCGTTTTGTTCCAGCGGTACTGCACATGTTTTTAGAAGTCGCCTTTGAAGGTTTTCCTGTGGACCTAAATGCTGGTAAAATTACTAGCTGGGCGAAGCAAGGCGTCCTTCTGCTTAACACGGCGTTTACATGTCCACATGAGCCTAAAATTCATGGAAGACACTTAGCTATATGGAGAGATTTCACCATATCCCTGATCAGGTATATTGGGGGTAACACAGCGGGTCCTTCTGTTTGGCTATTGTGGGGGGAAGAGGCTAAAAAGTTCTCAAAGTATATAAATAAAAAGCACCTTATAATTGATGGAGGGCACCCTTCACCTATGGGCATCGCCAAACGTGGAGATTCGTTTTTTGGTGGCAACTACTTTAATGGTGCCAATCAGTTTTTGTGGAGCAATGGTCGTAAAACCATAGACTGGTCATTATCTGAAAGCGGGTTGAATAGTTTAAAACTAATCCCTGAAAATTGGGAACAACAGCTTAAAAATGAAAAAATAAAATTACAATATGAGCTAAATGAAGGAAAAAATGAAATAATTGAAGGACAAGAAAAATTCATGCTCAAAAAAAACCGCCTGAAACAAATCAACCAACATTTGCAACAATTGCAGTGTGTTCCATATGAACAACTTGAATACAACTACAAGAAAATGATACGCAAACTTCTTGAGAAGAAAGAGAAGGTTTGTTCATCGCTGTTTTGATGATAAATGAGTGTTAAATCGTGTTTCTCATGACTGAAAGTCTCTGTCAGTTGTAGAACTAAGTAGTTGAGAGCGACTCTCCGAAAGACCGATCTAGTCGATTTTGCCGGCGAGTAAAGTAATCAATAATCCCATCAAGAAAACCAGCGATTATTCTTGTGTCTTCCTTCTACTTTGCAAGGAATATCATATTCAAATTAATAACCCAAAGAGTGCCAATGGTAGTAACATGTTTGTTAAATGAAAATACTTTAAAATCCTAAATGCTAAATCGCTTGATACTTTTAGGCCGTAAAAAGATGACTGTGTGTTGTTGTATAATGGTCAAATAGTATAGTTGCAGTAACTCGGATAAATCTGTAAATACCATGAGATAGAAGTCACTTGCACTGTTACTCGAGATTTATCAATTAGAGACTAGCATTAATAGTCTAAAGTTTAAAATAAAAGTTTAGGTATATGTTTTATATACATTTATCATGTGATATCACCGCCTATAAAATATCGCTGACACCATACACTGGTACACCATATTCAGAATTTTTCCTAATCTGTCCAAAACCAATAATTTAACATTGTAGCTCAAAACATGAATGATCATGTATCAATAAATGGATGAATATTTAAATCGATATCCAAATGAGAGAATTATAGAACGAAGCCGAATGAAAAAAAACCCATAAAATTGTACAATCTACGTAATGCAGGCAATTCAAATGGGGTTTTACAAGTTGATATCTTGCATTCAACGTTTGGAGCAATATATTTCCGAAAGGTCAGCTATGATAAGCGTATACATCATAGGCTTAGCTATTTCAAGAGCTAAATATTATTGCCTAACATTATCAGTTAATTATAATAGCCTCTCAAATCTGATATAGCCGCCCAGGTGACTAACTGAATTGTTCTTTTCATCTCGCTAAGAGTACGTAGCTTGTTGGTGATACTTAGCTACCCTTGTCACTTCTCGCATTAGTTACGTTCTGCCCTTTTTCAGAAAAGGTTATATCCTTCATAAGCCATATATATCCATCACAAATATGTTTATTGGACAATAAAGTTTATCTTTCAACTCTACTCTGGAATAGTTTTACAGATTGCGCGTGAGAGGCTGCAGCCCATGGTAGAAAAAAAGTGGAGTTGGTAGGGGGTTTACACGAAACAGATGCACTCAGTAGTCCATAATGACTACGACCTGCCGCAATTTTTTGTGCACCTCTCTGCCCAATCCCCACCCTTCCTTGACATGGGATCTGTAGTTAGACCTGTGAGGCCTATAAAATGCCGAATAGAGTGTCGCGCCGAAACGAGCAAGTCTAACGCTCCAAATCTTGCAGTCTATTCAGCACATACAGAAGAATTGAGGATTTTTTCTCCTTCATTTTAAAACGCTAATTCCGTCTGGGAAGATTCGACACGGGAATATGGCTCCTTTCCATAACGATCTGTCACGGTTGTAATACGAGAGTTGCACGTCTACAGCTGCTGCTGCTGTTAAAAGCTTACCCAGTTTGACATGACGTGAACGCAATCACTGGCTGCTTTGATATTCCTGCCGCAGTGAATACATTGGTCAAAGGTAACACTTCATAACTGCTGAAAATTGAAACTAATGGCGAAGCAGTTCGACGAGCCCGTATCTTGCGTAGGAACTATTGAGTAACCACCCGTCGTCATCTGCAAAAATCATTCATAATTTGTGCGGCGTGCTCTTTTCGGCACGGTGCTTTATTCGGCATAATTAAGGCCCTTTAAACACTTGAAAGCCGCGGCACTGTCACGAAGTTTAGCGTTAAGACAAACTGGTAACCAGTTTAACTCTTGTAACACATGGGATATATGCTGGTACTTATTGGTGCCAGTTAATTGCGGGCCTGAAAATTCAGGACCTGCAACTTATCTTTTTAAACGTATTTGTCTGTCGCATTATTCCCTTCATTTAAGTACATCAAGGTAAAGAGAATTCGAATTATCGCGCTCGTATTTTCAATTCGGACTCGTGCTTTGTTATCCTTGAATTGTGCGACAGTCTTCTTGCCATTCAATTGCGTCGCCAGTCAACATGTCAAAGCTTTACTACTTCACGCAAGATGAAATTTTTGCCTCTATAAAAAATACAAGGCATAAAAAAGTCAAGAACGCAGAGACATCTCCGTCTGTATGGTACATTGATCCTTTAATTCGACCATCTTCTGTTAAAATACTTGTGGCTAAAATAGGATAGTACTCAATAATTTAAGCATGGGGATAAAATAAAGACATGTGTGCGTACGAACTATGGATATTGCAAAAGAACAGCAGTGACTCTCAACCATGTACTGCTTTGCAAATGGCATATTTTACATTCGATTTTTCGAATGCTCCTTTCCTTGCAATGGTATGCTCGCGGCTCCTATCATGAGGTGTCCGTCAGGAAGTGATGCTTCAGCAACTCATCGGCTGAAGGCCGCCAATCTGGGTCCCTAGAATGAAGAAAAGGAAGGGGTGATCAAGGCTGCTTTAATCATAAAATAAGATCAAGAAAAAAAAAGCCGAAAAAACTCAGAGGAAATCACTTGTTATTAAGGTAGTTTTTAAGAATTAGGCCTAATAATGCAACAAGGAAACCAACCTCCTGAGACACTTGCTGACAAAGTCTCGGGCAGCTGATTAGAAATCCTCACTGAGTTGTGGCACTGCTAAAGAACCACTTCTAATTGCAAAGATGGCTGCCATGGGAGGCATGTCAGACCTGACAATAAAGCAGAAGATGCAGCTAAATTACTTCACTCCGTTTCCGAAAGCAACATGATACTTCGTTGTTATTTAGCAGTTACGTACACGTACTACATGAAAGCTTTCCTTCTTCTGAAACCGAAAAAACTGTATCAACGCCCCCAACACACACTTACATACAAACCAGACCCAGGTTGGATGACACTATCCACTGGATAAATCCCCATCCGGTGGAGAGCGCATTATGTTCCATTCTCCATTCTTTATCCGTTAGATAGCGTCGTCCACCCTTTAAACAACTGGGCCAAACCCTATGAATCTCAGAATTTCCTTTACTAGCAGGGAGTGTAGTAAGTAAGTATGGTATATTCGAACATAATTCAGGTCATATCAGACAACAATGAAATCTTCGTGAACGCACCATGGAGGTTTTCCAGTTGCCATTTCAAAGACTGTGCAACAAACACTCCTGTTTAAAAAAACAATCATGTTAAACAGAGAAAACAAAGCACTAGCGATGAAAGAATCAGTCGACCAAATAATAAAAAGCGGGTAGGTTTCTAAAGAAACTGGCGCTGCGTTGGTGAGAGAGTTTAACAGGGAAATTTGGTATTATAAACTGACTTGATAACGTCAATTGGCCACCGTAAAGAGTTTCAACGCTGAAGTTTCGAAGTTAGCCCTTCGTCACACGAATACGCAGAATGAAGAGGCTCTGACGAGGGGAAACGTCAGCGTTGAAATTCTTAACGGTGGCCAAGTTACATTATCATCTCAGCTGATAATACCAAATTACCCCAAATGGTCAATGGTTCGATTTTGGCTTTTATTAGAAAAAATCTCTACGAGTTGACTGACATTGGGTATACGTGGGCGTGCAATAATAACACATTGGATAACCAGCAAGAATTTTATTAGGAAGTAATTTCACAGAAATACCATACTAGCTATGTTAAGTTTTGTTGTAACTGATGATCACACTCACCAGATATCAGACTTTGTTGTAACTGATGATCACACTCACCAGATATCAGACTTATGGACATGCCCAGTCTCCCGTATAACCTCAGGTGCCATCCAATATGGCGTACCCTCCATGGAGCGAAGGATGTTACTTCTACTCATGCTCAGATTCTAAAACAAATGTAGTTGAATTCGAGGTCATGGTACTTTTTGGGTCGCTTTAACGACAATGAAAGGGTTTTGAATACCGATATAAGACAATTCACCGCTACACATTAAGAGTTCCTTCTTGGCGTAGAAGACACAGAACACGTTAAAAGATAACACCGCCTCATTAGCCGTTTAACTTCCAAGATCTCATTAGTTATTCTCCTTTCTACCTGCTATACAATTCTTCTGATGTTACTTCACCGGTATTAAGCAAGTAATCACGCAATTTTGGCCTGAATTTTCTCCATCTTCGACCAGCTTGATCAAAGTAAATGTGTCAATCATACAGACATATAGAGCCCTTTTCGATTAAGTGTCGTAAAACCATACCAAAATAATCACAACAGCAAATCAGAGGAAAGGAAAATATCCGAAAAAGCTAATCAGAATTCAAAGAAAAACAAGCAAACTGCTCAAAGCGCGGGAAAACAAGAAAACTTAAAACAAAACTTAATCGGTGTACTCCCTAGAAAAGTTGAGAGCCGACGGTAATCCGGGATCGCCCGAGGTTTCCTGAACTTAGTGCTATGATTGTTCCAGAGAAGTTGCGCCATCTTTCAACCAGTCAGATGAAAACCGAAACCAATCGTGGCTTCTACGAGGTTTCTTTATTTTCCAATTACATAAATTCTTAATTGGCCTCCTTTTTCTTATAAGTGATACCTTTGTTTATGGTTTAAATGAGCCATGCTCTCCGAAGTCCTCCATAACCCTTAAACTTCAAGAAGTAATTCTCATGTAACTTCTTCCCATAATTTTAATGTATTGTTTCAAGAACAGTCGAGAAAGCGAACCAAACCATTCACAGGCCTGTAAAATCTTGCTTACCAGGCTTTCCTCTACCAACCAACCCGGAGCTGGCCCTGGAACTAGGGGATAACTCGGGTTTTAGAGCCGGCGGAATTTTTAGGCGTGCGCACGTCAGACGCTTCTCTTGATACGGGATGGCTTGTTCTACACAGAAAACATACAAAAAGAGCGATATGGACGTAATAAGTATGTAGAACAACAAATGTATGAACAACTAAATACACAAAACACTGATCTACTGGCAATTAGGCAACCAAGAGACCAAAAGAATGCGGGATCACTTTGTGTAACTGCTTGAAAGACATGGAACAATTATAAAAACTGTGTTTATAACCATTATACCTTTCTTCAGGTACAGAAATCTCCTTTGAGCAACCCTGTGACATTTTCCTCAGTTTTCCTGAGGGAAGAGAGAGAGCGAGCCTTGTAAAAAGTTATAATAACAAATGGTAAAACACCAATGCAAAACAAGAATCGTTTCGTTTACATTGGTAAACTTCTGGCTCTAAGAAATATGTGTGAATGGCACGATTTGCCTAGCTGTCGATAAACTCGCAAATTTTGCCTACACAAAAGATTCAGATGTTAAGTGAAGTAAAAAAAAACCTTTTCGATGTGACACTCAAAACTGTACCTGTGGTACATGCAAGTCCTGCTTACAACTAAAAATGCTCTTTAATCTGTGCATTTCTTCAAGGGAGGGGGGGAGGTGTCTATTGGCAGACATGAATGGGCACACGGGCCAACTGATCTTGGATGATTTAACTGAAACATTTCGGATCAGAAAACCAACTCAAAACTTTCCACGAGAATCTCACGATTAAAAATTAACGTTCTTAATGCATGCGATGAAAAATACAAGAGCAAACACTTAAATGGAGATCCAATGAAATGCATAGACCCATTCATCGGAAACTTCGATAAGCAAGTCTTAATTAACGACCAATGCAAGGACAAACTACTTGAGGGTAAAAGCTACTTGCACAGCCTTACGTTAAATCACGAGTCTTGCATATGGGCTTCAAAATAATGAGACAAGTCCAAACAATAACAAGGACCTAGTAAAAAAGTGCGCAAGACGACTACTTTGAGAAACGATATTCAAGGGCGAAGAATCCCGCAACAGCGGGAAATGACGGTTAAAAAACGGGAAACTCGTTGTTAGGACTAAACCTCAAGCAACCTTGTACTGTAAATCAAAATAATAAGTAGACACTAAATATAAACAAATCATTAAATCGGAATGAATTAACTGAACACTTCATAACATAAATCATATAAAATAAAGACTTCTAATTTCTTGGTTCCTACAGACATCATTGTGAGGTTTAATATCATATGTACATCTCAAATAATTGAGGAAAAATCAAATGATATTCTTTCTTCTCCTCAAACATGTTTATCCTGTGGCCTTCTCCTCGCGTTTGATGAAAACTTTCCCATGAGGTTCCCGTCGAGAATTAGCATAGCGATTTCACTCAACATCTATCTCGCTATAAACAAATTTCTACCTAACTGTATGTGCTTCTGTGACTTCATTGCTTGTCCTCGACTCTTAACACTATAGGATGAGAACGTTCTCAAGCTCTTTGATCATCCTCCACTGATCAGGTCTTTTAACCATGGAAAGGAAAATAACTTTGAACTTTGTGTCCAGAAATTGATCTTTCTGTTGCGAGAAATGGCGGATGTTTTATCAACAGGTTATATTTGTTACACTTGCTGTGTTCTCCACATTTACTTTCATGATCCTTAAAGCGCCAAGTATTTAACAGATACATAACCTCGCTCTTTGCTAATTTAAAACATTAGGGATGGGTGATATCCGATGTAGGTGGTACATGCGTGCCATTGTCGCTTCTAAGTGTTCATGTCCTGATGAATTATAGCACAATGGGAACTTTTCATCTATTTTTATGAAGAAGAGGCCATCACTAACCCAGGCACTCGCATTTTTTATTATATGCTAAAGCCAAAATGACGTTGACAACCTGATGGAATCGGTATGGCGCACAAGAAATGATTTAAAAAAAACTGGATTAATCTTGACATGGGTGCTATAAAGTTCCTTTTGTTAATCTCAATTTTTACAAACAATAGAATCTCTTTGCTTTCAAAGCAGTTACCCTTGGTTTCAAGTATCAGATTACTAATGGTTTTTAATGGATTTGACAATGATTCCACAAGCTGATCGAAACTTCGTTATTTTAGTTGTGGCAGACTTGACTTAAGGCCGTCAAGAGGTTATATGAAGTTTATAATCTCCTGAGGCCGCTTAAAATAAGATTCTGACGAGTTTCGTTCAAAACTCGATATTTTTATAAAATGCAAAGTTTTATTGAGCTTCGAAACTGAAGTCAGCAGTGATGTAGGAAGGGCTACCTCGCTAGCTGATTGTAGAGTCTCTGTAAAACATTGGAGCGTAAATTCGAAGGTGTAAGGACAAGTCCGATATTTGTTTCCTCGACAAAGATGTTTTTCCTTTTATCCACCATTCGTGACAAGACGAATAATTTCCATCTCGGTTCGAGTACTGGACTTGAGAAATGACAGTCAAAAACAGCAAACTCATTTTTAGGTTGAACCTCAATCAACCTTGCACTGTAAATTAAAATAATGAGTAGACACTAAATATAAACAAATCATTAAATCGGAACAAACTAACTGAGCACTTCACAACATAAATCATGTAGGATAAAGACTTCTAATTTCTTGGTTCTAACAGACATCACTGTGAAGTTTAATTTCACATGTACATCTGAAAGCGATTGAAAGGAAAGGCGAGGATAATGATATTTTTTCTTCTCCTCACACACGTTTATCCGATGGCCTTCTCCTCGCGTACGATAAAAACCTTCCTATGAAGTTCCCGTCGAGATTGTGACGATTTCACTCAGTATCTATCTCGCCGTAAACAAATTTCTACATGACTGTATGTGTTTCTGTGACTTCATTGCTTGTCCTCGACTTTTAACACTATAGGATGAGAACTGTTCTCAAGCTCTTTTACCATCCTCCACTAATCAGGTCTTTTAGCCATGGAAAGTAAAACAACTTTGAACTTTGTGTCCAATGATTGATTTTTCTGTTGCGAAAAATGGCGGGTGTTTTATTGCTATATTTGTTACACTTAAAAACCAACTCGCGTTGTTCTCTACATTTACTTTCATGATCCTTTAAGTGCTAAGTATTTCACAGATACATGACCATGCTCTTGGAGAATTCGAGGATCCGATTTTCTTTCATCCAACATTCGCGATAAGACGAATAATTTCCATCGCGGTTCGAGAACTGGATTCATTTTTAGTACATTTTTGATGCATTTTCTGTTCATCTTTCTTTCACGGATATCAACTTACTTGCGTCATCTGCGGGTACAAGCAAGATCCCATTAGACATCTAAAAATTTGGAACAGAACTTAATGCATCCACAAGCAAGAAATTTGTGTCTTCCATTTTTAATAAGGGAATGTGATCATGCTACCACAATTAAACATTACTCAGTGAAGGATAAAGCTTGAAGTAAACACAGATTTGGTTATTTCAGTCCTCAAATTCATTAGGCTGTGTCTTAGAGGGACTTCTGGTACTGCGGGCTCCAGAAACTCAGGTAATGTTCTGTTCCCCATGAACCTCTACATGTTTCTTTCTTTCTTTCCGCCTTTCTTTTCAACATATCTTGTGTGGAGAGAAGTAGCTAGAACTACTTTTCCTCTTTCTTCATTTAATCTTCTGCGCTTACCGTTTGACAGCTTACTCCCCAACTTCTCAAATGGTGCGAAGGAAATTACTCTAAGTTTAAAATCCAGCTGTACAGATTAAAGCGCAAAAAGGAAGTCATGAACTTTAAGTTGTATAAATTTCGATTTACCATATGGCCAAATTTTTGCCTATCATTTTCTTTTTCTTTTCTTCGCCTATGGGTGCTTCCACTGTACTCGAATACAACCATGTTCGTTCATTTTTACATTACATGTTATTGCAAATTTATTTTTAATCATGACTTTAGGTGATTCCTCAGTATTGCACTGCGCATCACATACTGCGCATATAAATCTCGTAATCAGGCGAAAAAGCGCGCGCATTCCGAGAACGCGGTATTGTTTTTCAATCACTACACCTTTTAAGGGGTATGATGGTCTTAAGTTTTTGAACGAGTACGACAATCAACATATTGCATAATTCTAGTGTACAAATTATCACCTTTAAATTGGAGAAAATTATTATTTTATTAAAGTGAAGAAAAAACATTGAGGGGAAAGAAAGATGTAACTAACAGATGGTCAAAGCGCGTTACTCGAGGATACAAATTATTACCTAACAAGCAATGAGTCGAGGAACGTTTTGAATGGATTCCTTTTAAAATTGCGTGATATTTCCTCAAATTATATACTAAATTGCTCCATACACTCGAGACTTTCTAGTTATCAAGTTGTTTTTTTTTTTTTTTTATCAAGTATTTCTTTAAAAACCCTAGCTTCCAGCTACCGCAAAATGTACCATGAAGCGAGGAAGTAGCGCGATTAGCGCCAGCACAGGCATAAATGAGATAATTTTAGCCCATCATATCTTTTAAACAAACCCGGTGACCTATTTTTCTCACTGTCTCATTTTTCGAAACAGACATTGGCAGGAAAATTTACGTAAAGTTAAAAAAAAAATTGTTCAAAAACTTCTTTTCTGAGGAATCATCTTAAGCATCATGTCAGTTAATTTCTCGCTCGACGAGACATTTTCAGTTGTGGGTTGGTGAATCTTTTCCATATACCTTACACTTTAGGTGGATCATACATTTCTTTGAAACTTCATGTTTAAAGATCATGGCGTCGAAGTATCTGTTGATTGTCTTGTTGTTCGCTTGGAAACCAGGTGTGTAAAATAACAGGATGTTTTCTTTTCTTAGTTAAAAAAGCAGCAGTATTCAAGAAGAATCAAGAATGTGCTTTTTAATAATGATCAACAGGGGCGTGGTTTAAATTTGTTTTTAACAGGGTAGAGTCCACTATTTTAAATGTTTGGATGACATTTGAGCCTGCTTGCTGTATATAAGCAGTGTTTTTTGTGTTTTTATTTATCCTAAGTATTCGTTTACGCAAGAGCTTATCTTTTAAAGTGAAACATTTACAAATCATCCAAATACATTGTTAAGTGTGGAAAGATGTTCTGTTACCCTGGGATCCTGTTTCGGAGGGTTCGTAGATATATATGTTGCTCTACTCAAATTGGAATTTATCTTTTTATTCATTCAGTTATTCATTTTTATTCCTTCCTTTTCCTTAGATTGTTTAGTCAAATCGGAATGGTGCGAAGTCAAGTACAGCAAAGACAGAATATTTAAAAAAATGTATTCCGAAGCCATGGAAACCTTTTTTCGAAGAGCTGCAAAAGAAATCTGACAGTGTCTCCTTGTTGAAACGTTTGGCAGACAATCTTATTGATATATGTGAACAACTGGAAGACGCCATTGAACCACAAATGCCATGGTTGTTTAGGGCCTTGGAGCTGGTGGAACCAGAGAAAGTGAGAGTGGTGATTTTAGGCCAGGATCCAACTCCACAAAAAGACAAAGCTACTGGTGTGGCATTTCACGTGAAAAAACCTCGTTTTGTTCCAGCGGTACTGCACATGTTTTTAGAAGTCGCCTTTGAAGGTTTCCCTGTAGACCTTGATAAAAGCAATGTTAAGAAATGGGCAAGGCAAGGCGTCCTTCTGCTTAACACGGCTCTTACATGTCCACACAAGCCTCCGAAGAAAGTAGATAAAAAGGATATGTATAAGTATGGAAGTCACTCAAAAATATGGGAAGATTTCACCATATCCCTGATCAGGTATATTGGGGGTAACACAGCGGGTCCTTCTGTTTGGCAATTGTGGGGGAGAGAGGCTAAAAAGTTCTCAACGTATATAGATAAAAAGCACCTTATAATTGAAGGAGGGCACCCTTCACCTATGGGCACTGCCAAACATGGAGATTCGTTTTTTGGTGGCAACTACTTTAATGGTGCCAATCAGTTTTTGTTGAGCAATGGGCGTGACACTATAGACTGGTCATTATCTAATAGCGGGTTGAATAGTTTAAAACTAATCCCTAAAAATTGGAAAGACCAGCTTCTAGAGGAAAAAGGGGAAATAGAACGTAAGCTAAAAAAAAATCCTCTTGGAATACCTGAAAAGATTAGAAAAGAACTCGAAAACCGCCTGAAACAAATCGACAAACGATTGTTTCAGTTGCCATTAGCACTATTAAAATACAACTACAACAAAATGGTGAGTAAAATAAACCAATTTTAGTGAAAAGGGGTGTTTGCTGCTTGCAGTTTTGATGATAAATGAATGTTTAGTCATGATTCTAATGACTGAAAGTCTCTGTCAATTGTAGAGCCCAGTAGTTGGTCACTATCTGAAAGCGGGTTGAATAGTTTAAAGCTAATCCCTGAAAATTGGGAACATGTCCACACAAGGATAAAAAGGATATGTATAAGTATAGAAGTCACTCAAAAATATGGGAAGATTTCACCATATCCCTGATCAGGTATATTGGGGGTAACACAGCGGGTCCTTCTGTTTGGCTATTGTAGGGGGGGGGGAGGCTAAAAAGTTCTCAATGTATATAAATAAAAAGCACCTTATAATTGAAGGAGGGCACCCTTCACCTATGGGCATCGCCAAACATGGAGATTCGTTTTTTGGTGGCAACTACTTTAATGGTGCCAATCAGTTTTTGTGGAGCAATGGGCGTAAAACCATAGACTGGTCATTATCTGAAAGCGGGTTGAATAGTTTAAAACTAATCCCTGAAAATTGGGAACAACAGCTTAAAAATGAAAAAATAAAATTACAATATGAGCTAAATGAAGAAAGTATTCAAGAAGAAAGAGAATTAGAGCTCGAAAACCGCCTGAAACAAATCAACCATCAATTGCGGCATATTCCATATGAACAACTTAAATACCACTACGAGGAAATGATAACGAAACTTCCTGAGTAGGAAGGGAAGGTTTTTTCATCGCTTTTTTGATGATGAATGAATGTTAAATCGTGTTTCTCATGACTGAAAGTCTCTGTCAGTTGTAGAACTAAGTAATTGAGAGCGACTCTCCGAAAGACCGATCTAGTCGATTTTGCCGGCGAATAAAGTAATCAATAATCCCACCAAGAAAACCAGCGATTACTCTTGTGTCTTCCTTCTACTTTGCAAGGAATATCATGTTCAAATCAATAACCCAAAGAGTGCCAATGGTAGTAACATGTTTGCTAAATGAAAATACTTTAAATCCTAAATCCTAAATCGTTTGACACTTTTAGGCCGTAGAAGGATGACTATGTGTTGTTGTATACTGGTCAAATAGTTTAGTTGCAGTAACTCGGATAAATCTGTAAATACCATAAGATAGAAGTCACTTTCGCTGTTACTCGAGATTTATCAATTAGAGACTCGCATTAACAGTCTAAAGTTTAAAATAAAAGTTTAGGTATATGTTTTATATGCATTTATCATGTGATATCACTGCTTATAAAATATCGCTGGCACCATACACTGGTACACCATATTCAGAATTTTTCCTAATCTGTTCAAAACCAATAATTTAACATTGTAGCTCAAAATATCAATGATCATGTATCAATAAATGGATGAATATTTAAATCGATATCCAAATGAGAGAATTATAAACGAAGCCGAATGAAAAAAAAAACATAAAATTGTACAATCTACGTAATGCAGGCAATTCAAATGGGGTTTTACAAGTTGATATCTTGCATTCAACGTTTGGAGCGATATATTTCTGAAAGGTCAGCTATGATAAGCGTATACATCATAGGCTTAGCTATTTCAAAAGCTAAATATTATTGCCTAACATTATCAGTTAATTATAATAGCCTCTCAAATCTGATATAGCCGCCCAGACGACTGACTGAATTGTTCTTTTCATCTCGCTAAGAGTACGTAGCTTGTTGGTGATACTTAGCTACCCTTGTCACTTCACGCATTAGTTACGTTCTGCCCTTTGTCAGAAAAGGTTATATCCTTCATAAGTCATATATATCCATCACAAATATGTTTATTGGACAATAAAGTTTATCCTTCAACTCTACTCTGGAATAGTTTTACAGATTGCACGTGAAAGGCTGCAGCCCTTAGTAGAAAAAAAGTGGAGTTGGTAGGGGTTTACACGAAACAGATGCACTCAGTAGTCCAGAATGACTACGACCTGCCGCAATTTTTTGTGCACCTCTCTGCCCAATCCCCACCCTTCCTTGACACGGGATCTACAGTTAGACTTTTTTTTTCGTACTATAGCGGAGTAAGTGTCTGATCTTTTGAAAAACATTTCATCCATTTTCATCCAGGGGGAGCGGCCTGTAAAATGCCGAATAGAGTGTCGCCCCGAAACGAGCAAGTCTGACGCTCCAAATCTTGCAGTCTATTAAGCACATACAGAAGAATTGAGGATTTTTTCTCCTTCATTTTAAAACACTAATTCCGTCTGGGAAGATTCGACACGGGAATATGGCTCCTTTCCATAACGATCTATCACGGTTGTAATACGAGAGTTGCACGTCTACAGTTGCTGCTGCTGTTAAAAGCTTACCCAGTTTGACATGACGTGAACGCAATCACTGGCTGCTTTGATATTCCTGCCGCAGTGAATACATTGGTCAAAGGTAACACTTCATAACTGCTGAAAATTGGAACTAATGGCGAAGCAGTTCGACGAGCCCGTATCTTGCGTAGGAACTATTGAGTAACCACCCGTCGTCATCTGCAAAAATCATTCATAATTTGTGTGGCGTGCTCTTTTCGGCACGGTGCTCTATTCGGCATAATTAAGGCCCTTTAAACACTTAAAAGCCGCGGCACTGTCACGAAGTTTAGCGTTAAGACAAACTGGTAACCAGTTTAAATCTTGTAACAAGTGGGATATATGCTGGTACTTATTGGTGCCAGTTAATTGCGGGCAGGAAAATTCAGGACCTGCAACTTATCTTTTTAAACGTATTTGTCTGTCGCACTATTCCCTTCATTTAAGTACATCAAGGTAAAGAGAATTCGAATTATCGCGCTCGTATTTTCAATTCGGACTCGTGCTTTGTAATCCTTGAATTGTGCGACAGTCTTCTTGCCATTCAATCGCGTCGCCAGTTAACATGTAAAAGCTTTTCTACTTCACGCAAGATGAAATTTTTGCCTGTATAAAAAAACACAAGGCATAAAAAAGTTAAGAACGCAAAGACATCTCCGTCTGTATGGTACATTGATCCTTTAATTCGACCATCTTCTGTTAAAATACTTGTGGCTAAAATAGGATAGTACGCAATAATTTAAGCATTGGGATAAAATAAAGACATTTTTTGTCTGCTTTGCACAGAGAAGACGATATATTATCCTTTCGAAAAGGAGAGAAATTTATTCATTGTAAATTTCACTGTAGTGTGCGTACGAACTATGGATATTACAAAAGAACAGCAGTGACTCTCAACCATGTACTACTTTGCAAATGGCAAATTTTACATTCGATTTTTCTAATGTTCCTTTCCTTGCAATGGTATAAATCAAGGTGCATCTACTCGCGGCTCCTATTATGAGGTGTCCGTCAGGAAGTGATGCTTCAGCAGCTCATCGGCTGAAGGCCGCCAATCTGGGTCTCTAGAATGAAGAAAAGGAAGGAGTGATCAAGGCTGTTTTAATCATAAAAAAAAGCCGAAAAAACTTAGAAGAAATCACTTGTTATCAAGGTATTTTTTAAGAATTAGGCCTAATAATGCCACAAGGAAACCAACCTCGTGAGACACTTCATGACAAAGTCTCGGGCAGCTGATGAAAAATCCTCACTGAGTTGTGGTACTGCTAAAGAACCACTTCCAATTGCAAAGATGGCTGCCATGGGAGGCATGTCAGACCTGGTAATAAAACAGAAGATGCAGCTAAATTACTTCACTCTGTTTCTGAAAGCAACATAATACTTCGTTGTTATTTTGCAGTTGCATACACGTACTACACGACAGCTTTCCTTCTTCCGAAACCGAAAAAAATTGTATCAACGCCCCCAACACACATATACACAAACCAGACCCAGGCTGGATAACGTTATCCACTGGATGAACCCCTATCCGCTGAAGAGAGCATTATGTTCCTTTCTCCATTATTTATCCTTTGGATAGCGTTGTCCACCCTTTAAACAACTGGGCCAAACCCTATGAATCTCAGAATTTCCTTTACTAGCAGGGAGTGTAGTAAGTAAGTATGGTATATTCGAACATAATTCAGGTCATATCAGGAAACAATGAAATCTTCGTGAACGTACCATGGAGGTTTTCCAGTTGCCATTTCAAAGACTGTGCAACCAACACTCCTGTTAACAAAAAAAACACTCATGTCAAACAAAGAAAACAAAGCAATAGCGATGAAAGAATCAGTCGACCAAATAGTCAATGAATAAAGTGGGTAGGTTTCTAAAGAAACTGTAGTGCTGCGTCGGTGGGAGAGTTTAACGGGGAAATTTGGTATTATAAACTGACTTGATAACGTCAATTGGCCACCGTAAAGAGTTTCAACGCTGAAGTTTCGAAGTTAGCCCTCCGTCAGACGAATGCGCAGAATGAAGAGGCTCTGACGAGGGGAAACGTCAGCGTTGAAATTCTTACCGGTGGCCAATTTACAGCATCAAATCGGCTGATAATACCAAATTACCCCAAATAGTCGATGGTTCGATTTTGGCTTTTATTAGAAAAAATCTCTAGAGCTGACTGACATTGGGTACACGCGGGCGTGCAATAATAACACATTGGTTTACCAGCAAGACTTTTACTGGGAAGTTATTTCACAGAAATACCATACTAGCTATGTTAAGTTTTGTTGTAACTGATGATCACACTCACCAGATATCAGACTTACGGCCATGCCCAGTCTCCCGTATAACCTCAGGTGCCATCCAATATGGCGTACCCTTCATGGAGCGAAGGATGTTACTTCTACTCATGCTCAGATTCTGAAACAAAAGTAGTTGAATTCGAGGTCATGGTACTTTTTGGATCGCTTTAACGACAATGAAAGGGTTTTGAATACCGATATCGGACAATTCACCGGTTCACATTAAGAGTTCCTTCTCGGCGTAGAAGACACAGAACACGTGAAAATAGAACACCGTCTCATTAAGCGTTTAACTTTCAAGATCTCATTAGTAATTCTCCTTTCTATCTGCTATACAATTCTTCTGATTTTACTTCTGAGAATTTGGTATTGGATCAACTAATAATCCTCTAATTGATATTTTTCTTGGTTCTCATCACTTGTCTTCTTGATTTTGTACTGATATTGTAAGGAGAAAGTCTGTCTTGGTCATTTAGACTCCATTGGAGGAGAGAGCCACTGTGAAAGTAAAGTGTTTTGCCTAAAAACACGACACGATGACCCGGTCAGATCTCGAACCCAACTCTCTCGACCCGGAGTCCTGCGTGCTGAATACCAGGTCACCGCGTCCCCCACACCCTACTCTAAAGCAAGCAGCAAACCTTACCATGTAAAGACGTTTAGCACAACCAAAGTCGATCAACTTAAGGACGCCGCTTGGCATAATAAGAATATTACCACCCTTGATATCTCTGAGTAGCAAAAAGGATAAAGTAACATTAAATACATGAACACCCAAGAAAGAAAAAAATAACCGTTAATGACGACAAACTGATATTAGACTTGGTGGAAGACGGGATTGACTCAAATACCTATGAATGACGTTGTTTCTATGGAGATAAGACACGCCCGACAGCAGCTGCTTCGTGTAACGACTAAACACGGGCTCGTCAAGGCAACCAAATCTGAAAAAGAAACAGATAACAGAGTTATTATTTTATAAACTAGTGGAAGACTCGCTAGTGTCCAGTCATTAAATGATGTCCGCTTTCCACAGATCGGGTAAATTGCACGCCAACAGTTGACTGTTAAACTCCAAATGGGACAGACTGAGTAATGAGCAACCTTTCGAATTTGGCCGATATGGGATGATAAAATAACCCCTAGTAATCAGAACCGCGTAAACAGATGTTTACAGTATCTGTTTACAACTTCTGGTGAGATTAATCTTGATTCGCGGACTGCAATTTACTGATAATGAAAGGTGTTATTGTTTAAAGGGGCTGTACTATCACGATGGAAAACTTATGTGTCTCAAGAAACGATCAAAACATGCTGTGAAGCAATTGGGAATCTTCTTCTTCAATACCATTTTCATGGACACCACAATCTATAAAAGACTTAGTGTTTTCAAATGATGGAGACATCTTCCACAACTTTGAGGTCATAAAACTTAGAAGTTTGGATGTTAAGCACAGGAACCATAAGATCGAAGAGTTACTATGTCAGTTTAAGTAAAAATTGGGAACCTTACCGTGCAAGTATGGAGGCAATGGACCCTCCTGGGACGAACTCCATGAAGATATTTACTACACCCCCATCTAAACATGTTCCAATGAACCTGAGAATGATGGTCAGAAAATTAATTGGCACAAGAAAAAACGTCAGACTGTTCAAGCAAGCAACTAGTCCCTCCTAATACCAAAAAAAAAAAAATAAATAAATAAAAATTGATCAGTACTCACTTGACGATGTTTTCGTGTTGTAACGATTTCAACAATGACACTTCTTCTTGGAGTTTCTCGTATTGCTAACATGAAAATAAAAGATGCAAGACGCTGAATATTGAAAGAATTTCTAAATAAACTAACGAAGGAAATATAATGGCAGTTAGAGAGGGTACCATAAAGAGAATTTGGAAGTTTAAGGGTCAGTGATTTGCCTACCCTAATTAGACTTAAAAACGGGACATTGGAATTTCGACCCACCATACCATTCTTAGATAATTTAATTTTATCAACTGAGTTGATACTTGGCTACCGTAAAGAGTTTCTAGCTTTTAAACTTTTAGTTCCGAGTTTTTGGCTTTCGAAACTCTTTGCGGTGGTCAATTATGTTATTAATTCGGTCGATTGAACCAAATTATCTCGTAAAACCCCCACCGACGCAGCACCACAATTTCTTTAGAACCTTACCCCTATATGCTATTCTTAGCTTTGTGTAATAAAATTTACGATTTGCTTTTGCTTTTGTGAATCAATTAAAATCGATCCTTCCTCGGTGGTAGAAAGGAGAAAAAAGCCCGTTGCTGCAATACTCGGGTTTGTCGCGCATGAAACGAATTACCTCTCAGCATTAAAGAATCTAACACCTTACCAGTCTTTCGCAAGAAATTGTATAATAATTTTATAATAAGTTCAGTGCCAATTTTTTTATTGCAAGACATTGTTTCACTATGTTTATGATAAGTTCAGTGCCTATCTTTTATTGTCATTATCTTATTTCTATAATGAGGTTAGAGTATTTTTAACACTAATTTTTTAACTAAGTAAATAATCAAGGCTGCTTATTTTAAGGAATCTTGTATTCTGTTTTGAGCTGACCTCAAATTGATTGAATTGACTTGTTCAATGTAATTAATTTGGAATTTGTATTAGTGTTAAAGTTTAAATTACTCGGCCGAAAAATTTGCAGAAAGTCAACGTACCCCTTCAGCCTCGTCAAAATTGCTGTGGTTGAGCTCCACTTGTTTGACAGCGATCATTTCTCCTGTGTTGGTGAGTCCGCACCAAACCTGCACACAGACACCACAAAAAATGAGAGGGTAAAACATTAGTGCTAAACAATTTACAAATGCTTTGAAGAAATAATGATACCAGATACCTTGATCTTAACCATGATGAGTATGGACGTTTTAACTGCTTCTATTTGATAATTTAAATGTTTAATGAAGCAAATGATATAATACACCAAGTCAATATGGGATGGTTCCTTCCTTACTCTATTTACTTGATTTTGCACTTCAGAAGTATACTTTAATTCACTCAATACGTAATCCGGAGCTAAACCACAAGTACACTTTCAATCACATACTGATAACAAGAACGACGAGACTTAAGTTTTTGACAAAAGATGACGACAATTAGCGCAAGTGCCGCGCTTATGCAGATTGTCTGAAATACGCTAAGAAAAGATCCTACAACTTTATTTACATATGAACAATATAATCATAGTTCTGGATTTTGCCAACGGGTTTTCATCGATGGTTTGTAATCCATGACGCTCAGTGTCAGTAACTTACCGTTTGAATTACGAGGGTTGAGCAACTACGTTAATTACCTTTATTATACATAGATGAATTCCAATAGCTACACCAGAAACGTGAACAATGGTTTTTACTCCGTAAAGCCTAGTATCAGTAACTTACCGTTCCAAACGCGCCTTTTCCAAGTATGTTGCCCTTCTTCCAAACTATCTCCTCTTCACAGCTTGTGGAGGACTGGCTACGAGACGACGCACTGAGTCGACTTCGCACCACGTTTTCAGCGATTGAAGGAGCGAAACTTCCCATGGAGCCCTGGGAAATATTACCCAAACTTCCAAGCGAGATGTTAGACCGAGTGCGAATTGTAGAACTACTGCTACTACTACTGCTGATGGATGACTTCTCTCTCGCCACTTGTTCGTAGTAATCAATTTCTACCGAATTTTCCGAGCGCATTTCTCGTTCCGGAGTCGGTGTTTCGGGACACGAAGAGTCACGTGGCGAAGAGAAGTATGTATCGCTACTGTTCAGCGAAGAGGCCGGAGAAAGAGGCCGAGGTGAGGCCGATCCCAAGCTGTTGTACGACGAGTCCGTATCCGAGTACTGCTCGGAGAATGAACTCGCTTCCGAAGATGTCCGCTCTTCACTCGGTAAATCTGACTCGCCTAATATCTTAGAAGGGAAGTCTCTGGAATACCGGTAACTCAAAAGTGATTCTTCCCCGGTACTGATTTGTGATAAATTAGACGCTGCACGAAACGTCTCATCTGGCGAGAAGTTCTTAGTAGTTTGATTGTGCGAAACAGAAGTCTGATCCACTGAGTCTGTCCTACCACTTTCTCTTTGCTCTTCCAAACTAAGCTCGCGTTTAACAATGGCCTCCATAGCGTCGTCAGCTTCATCTTGCACAACCTGATGTTTCGCACCAACTCCTTTCACACCCACAACACTCTCTGTATCTCTTGCAATACCTTCTTCCGCAAAATCATGTAGCTGCTTCGTAACCCTGCCACCTCGAGGTTGTGTAACAAGAGCTTCAGTACTCTCTGCATCGGATCCCGAATCAGAAACCACGTCGGATTTCCCAAATCTAAGCCGAGGGACACACATCCCAATCAAACTACTAAACATTCCACCGTCCACAACATCGAATCCACCTTCTTCCACCATTCCCGCAGAATCCTTCCCAGCTCCTATAACCGCCACATCAGGGCCCTTTTCGCTTTCTTGCTGAGAGGCAACGGCTTGTGCGGTACCCTCTGTGTTCTGAGGAGTACCCTGTGTACTTCGAGGCGACTCTGGTATTGGGCTAAGAATTGGATGTTTTCCTTTAAACATGCTGAAAGGGCGGAAGGTGGAAAGATAGTCCATGGATTCCTCGGCTACGTCCAAGCCTCCCTGGGATATCGTCCTTAGTCCGAGTTCCTCCTGGGCGTCCCTTTGCTGCACTGTGACCATTTTAATGTCACTTTTCTTTTTGGCCTTTCCTTTCTTTTTACCGCCTTTAATGTTTTGTTCGGGTACTTTGCTCTTCGTCCTTGGCTTAGTTTTGCAAGTAGTCCCTGTTTTTCCTCCACATTTCTTTCCTTTTTTACCCAATGTGTGTTTTTTATTCCCCATCCTGTTGTCGTCAACGGGGCCAATCGGGGGATGTACAGCGGATTTGTCCACGGGTGGCACAGGTGACGGGAAAGGGTTTGTGATTTTAACACCACTCGAACCAGGTTCTTCGACTCTGGGTGTTGCCCATGCATGTTTCGGCGGACTAGGTTCTACAAGTGCCTTGGAAATTGTACCATCGCGATCGTTGTCTGGGTTGGTCTCTCGCACAAACGGCTGTTTTGTGGCTTGACCTGGCACGTTTTGATGAGCTTCGACCAGGTGCTTTTCGTTTTCTTCGATATTTTTCAGTGTTGGTTTAACTGTGCCTTCCACAGGCAAGTGATTAGAAACATCATTTTCGGAAAACGATTTAAGAACAATGTCAGTTCCGTTTCTTGCTGATGATTGACTTTTGGAATAGGAAGATGCATGTGGAGAAGAGGCGTACTCATTCGCTGGCCGAGAAACTAGGGTAGATTCTACCAAAGAACTTGTCTCGCCTACTGTCTTAACGACGCCGGTACCACCACTTGCTTCATTCAAAGTATTATCAGTTGAAAGAGAAGACACGTCTTTCTTTACAATTGTACACGAGCACAAGCCAGTGTTATTGTCACAAACACAAGAGACATCATAACCTGTCATGTCCGAGGAAGAAGGAAGGACAGATTTGCTTAGAACAAGAGCTTTGCTATCACCGCCCTCCATAACAGAAGAACTCACATCAGATTGTTCGCTCTGAGGACGAGGTTCTCCATTGCTTCGCTCGGCGATCCTATCTTTAGAATTTTTCCTCCCATTCGTTATCGAGGCATCACCTCGAAGTCCATTTTCCATTCCACTCAAATTTTTCAAAGCAGACGCTTTTCTTTTGTCGGTAAATGGGATCCAAAAACATCTTCACTTGAACGGCGGCGTGGTTGGCATGATTCACAAATTTCTTTGTCAGCGTTAGATGAGACAGACCCTCTTTTTGATTTGGTTGTTTCGGGAACAGAACCTCCACATAGTGAGCACTGGCCTGTGGCTAAAGCTTCTAAGTTAGTAAGATCGATGTAAAATTTTGTCCCATTTGATGACGATTCTCCAACTGTTGGAGTACTGGTTGGTCCATTCTTTTCCGCGCTACTACTATCCACGGGAATCCAAAACGTGGGGCGTGAATCTGATTCAAACGTTCGTGTCATAACTGATTCGTTATCTTTTTTCGTTGTGTCGGATTCCAGTTCAACGTCCTCTTGACTATTGCATGACACATTACGCGGGGACGGAGGAGGTGGTGTGACTTCTCTCACCCCGGAAAAAAATAATGATGAAGCTTTGTCATTGTTTAGGCCTTGTTTTGTGAGCAGATCTGAAAAAGAAAAAATAATAGCAATAAAAAATAACTAATTCAGGCTAATTTCAAAATAACACCCAATCTAGTAACGATGAATCAGGAGAAGTATTGCCGGGAACGTTACTTGAAATCCGTTCATAGGAGTACTCCGTTACTCTGTTGTCTTGATTACTTATTGTGGCAAATTCACGTTAAATTTTTTAAAACCTTGGAGTTGGTCAAGCAGGTCTCTCATCTAACTTAAAACTCTAAACCTCGTGAGCTTTCTCATAGTCAGCAAAGAATAAGCATTACTGAAACAGGAAAAATAAAATAATTTGCTCTCCGTAAAAAGCACTTATGAAGAGACTCACCCAGATCGATGACCTCCGGTGTTAAAGTCATGTTCTCTATGACCATTTCTGGCGTCGTAATGGATCGAAGTTCTGGTGTCAGGGCTCTTTTCCCTCCAAGTGGAGGCACTCGTGAGGGCAGCGCCAATCTAGAACTTGGCACCTGGCTTTCAGAAGACGATCGAAGACGCGCTTCATTGCCTGGCGTTCCAGGCGGTGATAACTTTCGTTGATATGAGAGGACTGGGCTCGACAGTCGATGATGTAAGCGATAGCTGGGAGGAACTGGTGACTGAAGTGATGTCTTTCTCTTACGTATCACTGGTTTTGCATTACGCAAGTTTCTGTGGAGACGAACGAAAATCAAACTTTCAAAATAACATAAAATTTTTTCCCAAAAATCACAGCTTTCAGTTTGTAAGGATTAGTTCATGCTTAGAGCTTTTCATTTTCTCCGTTTATAAAGTGTTGAGCAGTAAACCACGCAATTCAGTAGCTTCAAAATTTTGGCCTGAATTTTCTTCATCTTCGATCAGCACTCGTCCTTTGCACCGCTTCAGTATCTGTAGACAAGCAAACAAAAACAACACTGAAAAAAAAAACAATTAAAGGTTTGATTTCATTACTTTACCTGACATTTCTAAGTTCAATGTTGAGAACTGATACGACTGGCCGCAGTGCTTCTGAAGATCGTTCGTCTTTTAATCCTGGACCTAAATCAAAATAAATACGTCACGGAATCATACCGACAGATAGTGCGCTTTTCGATTGAGTGTCGCAAAACCAGAACCACGTAATCAAAACGGCCAATCAGAGAAAAGGAAAATGCCCGAAAAAGCCAATCAGAATTCAAAGCATAGCAAGCAAACTGCTCAAAGCGCGGGAAAACAAGAAAACTGCTCAAAGCGCGGGAAAACAAGAAAACTGCTCAAAAGCGCGGGAAAACGTGGGCTTTCGAGTCGTGATTGTTTTGCTTTGCATCTGGTTGGTTAAGAATTTCTGGACCAATCACAGAGCGAATCAAAGAAAAACCAAGGCAATCCCGGATTACTTTGGACAATCACTACGTAGAAGATTGCCCTTTTAATTTAAAAACAAAACTTTATCCGTGTACTCCCTTGAAAAGTTTTCATTTGGGAGTCGAAGTAATCCGGGATCGCCATAGGTTTCCTAAACTTAGTGCTATGATTGTTCCAGAGAATTTGCGCCACCTCTCATTCAGTCAGATGAAAACTGAAACCAATCGTGACTTAGTCATTCACGTTTTCCCGCGTTCCAGGAGGTTTTTTTATTTTCCAATTACATGAATTCTTAATTGACTTCCTTTTTCCTATAAGTGATACTTTGCTTTATGATTTAAATTAGACATGCGCTCTGAAGTCTTTCATAACCCTTAAACTTCAAGAAGTACTTAACACGTTACTTATTCCCATAATTTTGATACATTGTTGCAAGAACAGTAGATAAAGCGCATCAAACAATTCACAAACCTGTAAACTCTTGTTTACCAAGCTTCCCTCTACCAATCAACCCGGAGCTGGCCCTGGAACTAGGGGATAACTCGGGTTTTAGAGCCGACGGAATTTTAGGCATGCGCAGGTCAGACGCTTTTCTTGATACGGGATGGCTTGTTCTACACATAAAACATACAAAAAGAACGATATGGACGTAAGTAAATAGTACAACAAATTATGAACAACTGAATACACTTGTATACTGATCTACTGGCTATAAGGCTGCCAAGAGACCAAGAGAACGCAGGATCACTGGATGTAACACAACTGCTTGAAAGACAAGGAACAACTATAAAAAGCCTGTTTATAATCATTATACCTTTCTTCAGGTATAGAAATCTCCTCTGAGGAACCCTGTGACCTTTTCCTCAGTTTTCCTGGGGGGAAAGAGAGAACGAGCCTTGTAAACAGATACAATAACAAATGGTAAAACACCAACGCAAAGCAACAATCGTTACGTTTACGTTGTTAACTCAGAAATATATGTGACCTGCACAATTTGCCTAGTTGCCGATAAAACTGCAAATTTTGCCAATACAAAAGATGTAGTTGGTAAGTGAAGTAAAAACAAAAAACTATTCGATGTAACACTAGAAACTGTACTTGTGGCCCATGTAAGTCCTGCGTACAACTAAAAATGCTCTTTAATCCGTGCGTTTTTTCAAGGGATGGGTGGTGCATATCTAAACTATATGACTGCAGAAACCTTTTCCTTCAACTTACGCTCTTTTCCTTGTGAAGGCGCAGTGTTGACTCGAGAAATTAAATCCTACAAAATGGTAGATACAAAAACAGCGTATAAAATCAAACATGAGCAGTTTTGAACCAATTATAGTGATTATAACGATATTTCACTATTTATGTCGTTGTTCATGTACTTTGACAGAAAAAGTATTCATATCTAATAACTTTTCACCCAGAGGCATGTTTGTTGGGTTGCATCGGAAAACTTACAGCACTTAAAAGATTGCTTTTCTTCTGTCCAGTGGTGTCAAGTTTGGTTGGAGCTGACTCTTGTTCATTCTTAGGTGGGGCCGGAGCTAAATGGTATCATAAAAAAAGATTCCAATGAAAATGTAAACACAATGAGGAAATTACAGAAATATACGTATATTGGACCAAGCATCTAAAACAATGATAACAATCTGAAAGTAAGGGAGGCAAACCGTTAACCTTTCAGTTATTGATAGGGAATCACCAGACTACACAGTAATAATCATGCTACAGTTTTTCATGATTGAATTAATTTTTTTTTTCATGAAAACACACATGCCATCCTACTTACCTGAATAGATCCGCTGCAAGTGGTTTTTATTTCCATGGGTTTGCCCTGCCCACGCCTCTGTAAGAAAAAGGAGGCAATTAATAAAATAATTGAGTGAACGTTGTTAAGAAAACACATTTTAATGGCAATCCTTCTCAGTTAAATTTATAAATTGAAGTTACCTTTTAGAGCCTGTTTCACTCTTTCGCCTTTGGCTACATCAACAGGAGAAAGTCCTACAAGAGAAAAAACAAATCAAGACTTCAGGTACAGATAAAGGTGAAAGTCAAGTCAGACAACAAGTTGGAAAGCCTGCCCTGCCTTAAATGCCATGAAACACTTCGGTTATCGTGGTTTAAGTCAGTGCTAGTAAACTTCAAATTGATCATCATGTTACACTAACCATTATCATCTGTGATGGTAACATCAGCTCCATGATATAGAAGGGTATCAGAGACTTGCTCAAATCCATGTGAAGCCTGTTTTATTCAAAGAATAATAAAACTAAAAAAATAGCACCAATAATAGGAGGCAAAAATTATTTCCCCCTGTGATTAACAGAGATCTACATCAGATCTATTTATAGGGCCTCCTATGCTCACTGACAGCTCACAGTTTGCTTAAGATTCTTATTTAATCCCTTCTATGGTCACAACTGCCTATTTTGCAATAGTCCCCCATGCCAAAGGACTAAATTCAAAACTTAAGTGCATGTACAGTACCAATACAATTTTATTGATCACAAGTTGGAGTTCCTCCAGATGTCTCTAAAGCAAAAAGTAGTCAAAAACTAATTGTTTTATTCTTACAGCTATGTGAAGAGGAGTCTTTCCAACATGTCCCTTGGCATTGACATTGGCACCTCCTTCAATCAGGGCCAGCAAAATGGGCTGATTGTCCACTCTTGTTGCCCAGTGTAGGGGTGAGTAGCTGAATCTATCTGGTACGTCTGTAGGAGGCAGGATCAAGAAAATAATTAAAAAATGGTATTTTGTTTCTTTTAGTTGGGAGGCAAACAGGCAAACAGACATAATGAATCAAGGGGGTAAGTTTCTAAACAAACTGTGGTCTTACGTCTGTGTGGTGGGGGGGGGTTTGGTATAACAAGAAAATTTGGTTTCATCAGCTGCATTGATAATGAAAACTGGCCAACCCAAAGAGCTGACGTTTCAAGCATTGACCCTTACTCATGGCGACAGACTGGTAAACTGAATTCTGGATTTCAATTTAAAAGAAAAAATAAGTTTCTTCATATATTCTGTATTTCCAAGCCAATGGTGTTCTATTCTGAGTAAAACATTTTGATAACTCACCAATCTCACTGGCTCCCTCCTGTATCAGGACATTAATGACACCCTGAGCATGGCTTCCTTTTCCGTGGGCAGCAAAATGAAGAGGTCTTTTACCTTCACTATCTCTGGCTCCACAATCTCTATAAGTTTACATTATACATTAAGTGAGCACATGTCTACTGTGCAATCCAATTTGTACTTGGTAGATCTACAAAATTTAATGTAACCAACATGTTGGTAACATGTAGGTAACATTTCTGAGAAAGTACTGAGTATGGGATTTTTTTTTTCTCAAAAAATCAACTTGAAACAATTCAACATAACAGAGTACCAACTTCAGGTTTTGTACAGATCTTAGCAATTTAAGCAATACTCATGATTTATGGGACTCTTGGGTTATAAATGTACAACACTTACTATATCAAGCTCAGAAAACTGTGAACACTTTTAATTTGATTCTGTACGTGGGTCAGTTATGTACTGGCCAATCATAATAGACTTCAAGATACACATTTAAACATCAAAATCTTTTGGTTTTGTTTCCCACACCATAAAATTGGCTTCTGTTGTAATATACTGACAAGCACAGTTTTCTCAGTTTCACGGTAAAAAATAATGGTTACTGTGACTTACGCATTGTGGGCTATCAGTTCCCTGACGACTTCAACTGGGTGATAGGAATTCTCCATAACAGCCTTTTCAACTAAAGGATTAAAGGAGATTTATCAGTTTAAGAGGATGATGTTTAGGTATTAAAAACTGCATGACTGAATCCAGGTACCAAGAACTATAAGATGCAAATTTTTTATCACAGAAAGGAAAACTCTCTCATTCATTCGCTATTAGGCTGCTTTATAATGGTAATGAACTGAGTGGAGTGCAATTTGGGCTAAAATCATACATGTGAATTCGAAATCAAAGTGCGCAACACAAGTTCGACTTGAAATCACAAGTATGATTTCAGACCAAAATTGCACGACACAAGGCTCAACTACCACTTTATTACATCCATTTTGAAATTGCCCAAATACTGGACTTGTTCAGTTCAAATATTTTATTAATGCAGCACTGAGCTGGTTTGAGATTAAATTCATCCATTGAAAAAAGAGGTTTGGAAACAAAAGTTGCAAAATTTGTCATATGATACTCTTTGTCTTTCATTTCCTGCAATTTGATTCAGGTTACTTTAAACAAGCCTTGAAATCTGATTGGATGTTATGTTTTTAGTGTGGTCTGCTCATTGGCTGGGAAAAAGATGCAATTTAAAGCAAAAAATAGTGCAATTAGTGAATAAATTGCACCGATTAGGGCCAATCAGATTATAGGGACCACCAGTGATTTCAAAATGGGTGTAAAAAACTCCAAATAGTCTTTGTGCTCTACAAAACTTGTCATTAGCTTATTGAACATCTACTGTAAAAGTTAGGTGATTGTGTTAACTGATCTTTATGGTGAGAGCAGTGACCCAAGGACTTTAGTGGGTAGGGGTGACAAAAATTTCCACAACCTCAGGTGGAAGTCACTATTAGAGTCACCTTCACTAAGTTTGTTGCAATTTCAGCCACCAATACCAGAAACCACCCTCTAGGGATTACCCTTACCAGAAGGATTTGACTCTACAAGGTTTTGACAAACCAGTTATTGCAATAAATTACCTTACTTTTTTCAAAGAGATTTATATCTCTAGTGACAAGCAAAAGAGGTGTCAATCCATCAGCATTCTTGCAGTTTACATCCAGCTCAGCCTTAGATGACTACAACAGAGATCATTATTAAATAAACAAGATGAAAAAAGACTTCATGATTGTGAGCTCTATTATGATTATCTAGGATGTAAGCAAGTTTATGATATAAAACCAAATCCAAAAACTTTCAACTATAATACTTTGAAGTACTAAAGTACTATGTCACCGAACCAAGTGAAACATCTTTTGTTGCAGCTTAGCTAAGTGTAGATTACATTTTGCAAAAGGCTCCCACACTTACCAGCAATTTCTTGACAAGTTGAAAATTTCCTTGCCAAGCTGCTTGTAGTAAATGGCGAGAGGAATATCCTGGGTACAAGAAAGATATATGCTTTTAATAAATGTATCTACAAATGCTTTAAACTAGCATCAGTTTTCATTTGTAACAAAATATCAATGTGTATAATCTTTACAGTGTAAATGTTAAAATTAATTGTCAACATACCTTGCCTTGCCACAGAACCTAAGAGGTGAGACAAAATATCACGTTAGGAAAAACCACATCAAGTTTGGACCAGAAAATTATTTAAAAACACAGCCAACATACCCAGCAGGAGTGGTCTCATAGAATCAGTTGCAACATCAAGCACTGTCTCCCCTTTCTTGTTATGTAAAGTGATGTCTGCTCCATAGTTTAACAACAGCGACACCACCTGAAGCAGAAAAATACCTGTTTGTTACCGGAAACTCTCTCCTTACAATAGCCTCCTTTCAACAAACAGTTCATATCCAACCCTTTTGAACCCCTCTAATAATTCATCCCTCTTTGTCCTCTTTAAAGTAGAGACAAAATCTGCCCCTGTGACTGATGCCATTACAGCCTTAAAAAAGCACTGGCTTCAACAAGTTGACTTCAACAACTTTGCTGAAAAGTATTTAGATCAAATAGTAGTAAATAAGTCTCTCCTGTTATCCTAGTGTATCGTTGTGAAACAACAAGAGTCTGGAATTCAAATTACATGGTTTCACTTTCTAGTTCTACAGCTTCCGAGCTATGATTCCAAGGTGCACCTTAAGAGCTTTACAAAAAGTCTGCTGCATGTACATGCATTTGCCTTACTCTGGAAACTAGAGCAATTAAGTTTTATCTTCTTTATCCTCAAGGGTTCAAAACAATATCAGTACAAAATTCCTAAATGATGCTGTTTGACGCCATTGTATATCGGCCCTGATTGATCTTACATCATTACCTTTTCGTGTGCGTTCATGGCTGCAAGCATAATAGCGGTGAAACCTTCTTCTCTATCTTTTACATCAACGTTCACTGACTAGAAAAGGACAGAAAATTAAATTAAGGAGCGGAGGTTGTGTTGTTTATTTCATAGCAGAATCATGCTACTAGCTGCCAAAAGAAACGGAAAGCTGATCAAAATACAAACATTCCAATTTGTAGACAGTTGGTGTAAATGTAAATGTAAATGAATGGAAATAAGTGTACATTTAAAAAGTGATGAAATGGCTTTGTGCTCGAGGTCACAAGAAGTTCGAAATATTAACTTACTTCCCTCAAGCCAGGTTCTACCATAGCATTATCGATGATAGGGAGAGTCAGAACATATTCTTAAGAAGGCGGAAGGTGTTTGGATTTAAGTAAATATGAGTAAGGGGTTGCCACAAAAAGAGAAGCTTTATTTCTTTTGTGTTGATTTAATTGCCATGCTTACCGAATTTCTCGATGTGCGAGCGAGAAAGTTCTGTACCCTCTCGATGTCACCATTCTGCAAGGTGAGAAGGTCGTTAGCATCTCGAAGCAAATGTAAACAGCTGATCGAGAGAGAAAAATAGCGTATACAGCAATCAGAACGGACGCCGTAGAAACTTACCTTGGCTGCGTTCAAGAACAGTTCGTTGAGATAATCGTCAGCCCTGGGAAAATACAAGAGCACTTTTGATGTCGAACGGAAAATTTTAAATAGATACAATAGCTGATAGGAAACAGTGAAACAGGAAATTCGAGTGAATTGATCTGATCTATATTTATAATTTACCGTCCATCGTTGAATAGTCTCGAAGTAAAATCGTAGTAGTGTCGCATGCAGTCTTTGCTTCGGCGAGCGCGAGTAGATTGGCAAGAGAAACCTCCCTTAGTCATTGCACCGATGGTTAAAGATAGAGGAAAACCGCCGTTTGTTTGGACACCATTGGCGGAAAATCAGCGTGAACGTAGACGCTTTTCAGCCATTAAAAAACGCGATATTCCAACAACAATATAACAACAGATCTCTGGCTTATAAGTGATTCCCATAATTCAACTTTGTATACTTCGCTACACCATGGCAATAGCCAATCAGAGAGCGGCATTTCAACATTTCTGTTAGATTATGTCATTTTCCCGCAAAACATCCAAATTTACATCTTTAGTGCCTTCATTGATAGCTTTTGTCGTACATACGCAAATTTACTTATTTTTAATGTTGGTTGATCTAAAAGTAAACTCGCGTGAGAATATATTATAAACAAATTACTTGAAATTTCATTTCGAAGTTTACCTACAATTTTCTTTAAATCCTATTGCTGTTGATGACTTCTTAGTACTGAAGTTAACTGTCTCGATCGATCATCAACAACATTATTCTAGTATAATCGGCTCGAACAAGCACAAAGTTTGACTCAATACATTAGAGGCCAAAGGCTATTTTCATATATATTATACTAACTCAGCAACATAAATAACAACAACATGAGAAAGAAACTTGTCTAAGGTCATTTTTTGATAGCAACGACGTTGGCAATTTATGCATGGCTCGCGTGAGCACCGAGTGTTTATGAATAATAATTTCGCGAAGTCATAACATTTTGTGATAAATTGTTACTAAAAACTTTGCTATAAGGACTTCATCTCGACGATTACAGGGTCTTCAAAAATTCGACAACTTTCACACGAAGACTTTCAAGTAAGGATTCATCGTAAAACCATCCTTACGGCAACCATCACCAAAAGTGCTTGATCCAATACAAGTCACGCAAAGTTATTACGCTCGGAGTTAACAAACATGGAAAGAAACTGTTACAAATGATTCTGGAAACACGATTAGGAACGGTTAATCAACGAAATATTTTCTTTACGCCCCCTTACTTATCTTCCATGTACAATTTTGTATTTCATTCGTCTTTAATTTCAACTTTTAACTTCCTTGAAGGCAATATCGCGAGGAACAGTTAAATCGTTGCTCATCGACCAATGTTTCAGATATCATTTTGATTATTTTCCTTTTCACCGCTTCATACTCTCAGAGCAACGAGGATATACGGTGAATTCCTGTAAAATAAGTTGAATTTAAAGAATACTCACTTTTTCAGCGGTATCGGGTTTTGCAGCCTGAAATACGGCATTGTATCTGACCGCCCAGGAAATCAATATAACGTGTATTTAACTGCCAAGAGAGTATACCACTGCTTTGCCTCAAGAGAGTATTTCTCTGCTATTGCGATCAGTCTAAATCCTGATCTTCTCATGACGAAAACAACTTGCTAAGTCCTTAGATCTACTCGGTGATAATTTGCAATTGTTTCCTTATTTCTACAATTCGGTATTATGATTGGTAAGTCTTCCGTGAAAGCTTCAGCTTGAGAGGACACGAAACAATTGTTCCTATTTCCATGAAAATGGTACGTGTCGTCAGCAGTCACGTTTTATGCTTGAGTGGCACGCACGCGACAAACTAAGCAAACAAAGCCCGAGACAGTTCAAGTGGTCTTTCTAAAAACGGAATCCTTTGGCTTCCTCTTTCCCATCAAATGACGGAATTACTACATTCGAAATGGGTTACACGGAGGTTGAAAGCCGTAGAGACCTGGAGCTTATAACTTTATTCCAAAACATCACTATCCCTTGGCACGCAATTCATGAAGTATTCTTGTGTTATGTTCTTCTTTTTACTAAAGCAGGTTGCTATCAGAATGTTTTATTCGTATTACTGCTATGAATTATCCTACTATATGAGTTTCTCCTCAGCTCCGAGAACATTGTTCAATAAACCCCTTGCTCTGTTTTAATTGATTATCGTTTTCCCTCAGCAATTAATCATTTGTATTAGGTCCGCCTTCGGAGAGTAATGCAGCATAATCACAGAAAACAAAGAAAAGGAAACAGCCGTATATACACCTCGTGCCTTTTATTTAGCATATCAATTAATTTATTTACAAAATGGCAAAATTCAATTCTGAGGAAAATAGAAGAAAACTCTTTAGTTCATAGTCTTCAAATCGCAAAAAAATTATTTCACAAAGCCATATTACACCTCAACAGAACGATCCGATTCATTTAATTGTTCATCCAGCGAACCAGTGACACGCCACAGACGAACCAACCTGTCACTGAAAAACAAAAATAAACATTTTAAAGAATTTAGGAAGCCATTCGATATTTGCAGTACTTGGAGAATTAAAAAAGAAAACTTCGCAGATCAGAACAGTAACTACTCCCCGGAATACCCGATCTAGATGAGATGGGACCTTTAAATCGTTCTATTGGCCCTACAATTCACTCATTGGTATTTACTGCTCACACTCTTGGGTGGAAAGAGATGCAATGAGAGAGAATAGGAACCCACCCAAGACTCTGGACAACTTCTAGTACCCCGTGGCTCTATATTTAGCTCATCGAACTACAGCCCAGGTTTCAGCGCACAAGTTACTCCCACAAAATGTAAAATAAACTCAGTGGGTGAATGTCTGAGGCATGAAACGTTTAAAACTTCTGAAAATGCCGGTTTTTCCTTTGTTCAGTAATAAACAACCACTTACCTTGACGCAGTAAATACACAAGACGAATTTGTACAAATAGCATTAATGGGATGCCTGTGAGCTTTGATTTCGCCTGCAAATTGTAAAGACAGAAGGATTTCGTTTCACCTTTAGTTCTAGTTTTGTAAAAAACGAAGGGAAAATGGGGCGACGCCAACAGGAGCGAATGTTTAAACCTCATAAAAAAAAGGAAAACGAAAATTCTCGTTTAAAATCGATTAATTCTAATTAATTTTTGCTTTATCGACAATTCAAATGTGTAGATATTTTTCCATCAAATTTTTCTGGAACTAAATTAAAATCAGATGGGTTTTCGTGTAGATGTAATTAATCCTCGACTCCCAAGGGTCGGACTGTCATTTAATTTGTCGTCACAGTATCCATACTGAATCAAACATTAAAGTAAAACGAACACCAATATTGGTTATCAAACACATTTCCCTCATCAGTACCATACGAAATGTATAGAGAACAGTAACATTATGGAGAATATTCATAGTGATGTTAGGGCGTAAAGGATTAAAATATATAGATGAGTAAGATAACATAAGAGAATAACTTACAGACTGGAGCTCCAGTTTCCACCCGCCATAATTTTAGCATACCACCGCGGCAACCGCTAAGCAGCACGTCTTGAGGGTGTAAGAAATCTAATGCGCAGACCCAGTCCTTATGAGCTGCCGTCATATGCTGTGGAAGAAAAAAAATCAACATTATGGAATATCCCACAGGTTTAACTCATTTGAACAAGCATGGAAAGGTGTTAGAATTATAGGCACTTGGGGGCTGTTTCGTGATCTTAAATTTCTTTAAGAAAAGCTGGTTACTCGAACAAAAATCTCCAAATTTCTTTGACATCTTGGATCACAAAGTACTAGGACATTCTTAAAACAAATCAAATGCAAAGGAAAACAAACAAAAACATCGTGATCTGCAATTGATCGTACGAGTTTTCCTGCGCTTAAGATCACGGTGGGATTTCCCAGAGATCCATTAACCCTTTAACTCCCAGAGGTGATGAACATGTAACTTCTCCCTGTAATATTCATACATTATCAAGCAGACAGGTAATGAGAATACTCAAACTTAGAGAAGTAGAATTTGTTATCTTGATCTATCACCAAAATCTCGTAACTAACTTACAAGGGAATGAGTAAAAGCTGGAGGGGAGAGATAAAAATCGGATCTTGTGTGTTTAAGGGTTTTAGTCTCCACGAATGCCCACGTTGATTCATTTGGCTAGCAGGGTTTGTCCATGACATGTTCTAGCAAGAAAAATCTCCTTTTTCAAAATATTAGCCTATCCTCCCAATAAATCACTTGTCAACTAAAAGAAGGACATGAAAAACTTGCTAACGAAAAGCAGTTGGAGAGGGGATTCTGTTGTGATGATCCTGTCCGTAACCAGCCTGAACACCGAAACCAATTAGATAACGAACCAAGTTACTGTAAATATATCAAAATCATATATGTGAACAGCGGTTAAAGAAACGAATATGGAAGTGATCTTCGCAGTTATGAACACTTCTCAAGTATTAGTGAAAATAAGGCCTGAGAAAAAATTCAGGCCTTACGGGATTTGAACCCATGACCTCTGCGATACCGGTGCAAAAAGTACCGTAGTACTAGGTACTACGTTAAGTAGTAATGAAAATTATTTTCACTACTACTTAAGTAGAGTTCATAACTGTGAGGATTGCTTCTATACTCGTTTCTTCAACCGCAGTTCACATAATTATGTGAGTTTCACATATTTACGGTCATTAATTCCCACTTCACGGGTAATTTGGTACCAACATAATGTCCAGCTCCCAGTTGGCTTGTTAGCTCTGTTGGGAGAGCGCTACACGGGTATCTCAGAGGTCATGGGTTCCAATCCCATACAGGCCTAAATTTTTTTTCAGGCCTTGTTTTCAATACTACTCAAGTATTGTTCATAACTACAAGGATCGCATCCATATTCGAACCAAGTTACATTTTCAAACTGCGTACGAACCTGTATAAGTTGCTGCGTTTCAATGTTCCATTTCTTGATACTATTGTCACGTGATCCACTGAACAAATATTTGCCTTTGAGAGCCAATGACTGAACACCATCATAGTGAGGCGGTTCTAGTTTGCTCTTAGCCGACTGTAAGAGAATAAAACACTAAATGTGTCACTCCTTCATTTATAACACAAACAAACAAACGAACGAACAAAATGAAAACGAAATTTTACTTTCGACAAAGGCCATCTGGTTTTTCCATAGGGTTTTCTGAGTTAATAAAAATGAATGAAATAACTCCTTGTCCACAAACTAGTGCCAAATGTGCCAAACTTCCTCTGACTCGCGGATTACTACGGTCTACATTCTTCAAAATTCGGCTAATGTCTTAACTATTGAAATTGTGATAACTAATTGATGGTCATGCCAGACACCATACCTGTACACCGACGTTAGAACCATTTACTTCAAATATCTATCAAAAAAGAAATAATACACTATTATTTGAATATGCTGGCTTCAAGTCTACGACTTAGATCCCCGAAAAAATGTTGAGTAGTCGTCATATAACTACGCCAACACTATACACCATTTTCTATTTCATACACGGGGCAATCACCCCCCCTTCCATAATCCACCCACCCCACCCCCCTCCAACTCCACCCTTCCCCATCCTCGCCGACTGCTGAAACACAGAGCAAGTTTAACGTTACCCACAACTAAATCCACGTCACATCCGAAAACAACACTCACCCTAGGTTACCCTTGCTCTACAGATCTGACAACAGTGTGCTCTTCACATGCACGTACCTTAACGTAATGATCTCGCGACCCAGTGAACACGACAGATTCTTTATTGGTTTCTCGAAGTAACACCGTCATAACAGGCCCGGCGTGACCACCGAGTTTGCCTGTCATGGAATAACTAAAACAAAAAAAAATGTAATGGTTAATCTGAGCCACTAACTTGTTCAGAACGGAAGGTAAGTGAAATCAAATTTCCATGGTCTGAAATCTGCTGAAAAAAAATTGAATGGTGCCAATCATGTTGGAACCCTCCACTCATCAGTCAACGCGGCCAGAAGCTGACTAAGCCGGCATAGAGCATCTTGATCAAATTTAATAGCCGCAACCCCAAGACTTAACAAAAGGCCATATGTATTGGAGTTCAAGGCGAAAGTTCCAGAAAGGAAAGCATAGCTAAATTTTCACTAAACACATCTGATGACAATTGCTTGGGACCAATGAAACGGACGAAAAACTTAATCTGAACTAACAGCTTCTGTTCAGGTTTAAAGACCACACTACGCATGACCCACCTTTCTAGGTCCCAGATCCTGACCGTGGTACCCATCGCAGCATAAAGCAGAGAACCATTGGCGGACAGTTTCAAGTCGTTAATCTGAGTCTCTGACGTCATGTTGGATAGAAATGAACCGAGAGAGGATCCGGGCGGTGTAAGGCTCCTGATACATTTGCCATCTCTGATGTCCCAAACCTAAAGATCGGAATAAAGAGTAAGAGGAAAAAATCCCATTCATTAACGTTCTGCACTGGCGAAGTGTTGGACGCACAAGCCTAAATTGTATCGGCGTCATTTTACTTGCAATAGAATGGTGAAACAGAGGACGGCTGATGTGGGTACAACATTAAACAACCTCGAACTTTCATAATAAGGACTAAAAAAGGTTACTATTCGTACATTTTTCTTTTTCACACCCACGAGCTGAGTTGCCAAAACACATTTCTATGACAGAAGTCTACAATCGAAATCGAACGCTGAAATAAGGATAGGGCTACAGCAAACCAGCAAACCCTTACCTTGTAAGGGTTTGATGACGACCACCGGTTCTGCGTATTTTTCCAAAGAAAATTTGTACAGAATTGTAAGTGGGATTAAATTAGAAGGATGAGCGAGGAGGAAAAGGAGAAAGTGGAAGTTTTCCCGCCCATCAAGTCCGTCACTCTCAGGTTTTGAGTAACTAAATCGCAACCATGTCCAGAAGTTCAAGTGTTTCATAAATTGGAAAAGTAAAGGACGTCCTTACCTTAATAACATTTTGTGCTGCACCAAAAACCCGCTGTGTTTTAGGACAGTAACGTACAGCTACAACATCTCTCTTGTGACCAGCACAAGAGAGTGTTTCTTCACCCGTATTCAGATCCCAAACCTTGACAGTGCGATCTGAAAAACAAAGTTAAAGTGTTTCAAGGTGTCACTGATGGAAGATACCGTCCGAGCTTACTTAATGAAATGGTAAGGGGAAATGTTCTTGAACTTTTCATAAACCAGAGTTTCTTCGTATTTTCTGAAAACGTTACGCGCTTGACTCGTCTCCTCACTGGGATGACCAATACATAATCTTTCCTCTTAAACTAAATACATTGTCAAGAAAGCGGGTGGAAAGAGTGAAAAAATAAATCAGCTAAGAAAAATGAATCAGCTGGTGTGATTTGACGCGAGGAAAAACCGATAGAGCAAAACAGGAGGGCTGGCTTCTGAGAGGCAGGAGTAGGTAAGGGACATTAAAAGTCCTGTGGAAGGCATGCAATAATTGAGCATTTTGCACAAACCTTTCGAACCGGTGAACATCAAGTCTTCTGTTACGTCAAGAGATAAAACAGCACTATTGTGCCCAGTGGCGGCGTATGTACACACAAGAGGAGCAGGCTTCCCTGCAGGGGGACGGAGGGGAAGCATTCTGCCACTATTGAAGACAAACAGAAAATGTCACTAGGGCTCCAAACTAGTAAACATTTTTAAACAAATAGATAAAGAAATAATTCACCGAACGTCGCGAGTCAGGTTAGTGACCATGATGGCACCGCGGTATGAACTCCGTGAAAAAATACTGGAAGAGCAGTCTATGATATATGAGCTGATATACCTTGGGCTCTAAACCAATCGGAGGTTGCCACATACCAAGGCTAGTTTTTAATACTGTTAAATAACAATACCGTTTCTCAATGGTCAAACCTTTAATTTGAGAAAAAGTCTTCAAACAATCATCATAAAAGATGATGAGTGGTTTTGACAAAATCTGACTCAAAGAGGAAGATTAATCGAGAGACTTACATATCAGGGTCGGATTCCTGAGCCAGACTACTTGTCAGACGAGCAAATACGTCTTCTGGGGTCTTCTGAACCACAACACTATCATCCATCCTGTAAACGAAGACAGAAAAACAACATTGAGCAAAGTATTAGCAAATGAAACAACTGAGCGTTAAGTGCTGAGGACGTGCTGTATCTGGGTTTTTAAGCGAAGAATCAAAAATTAACCATCGTGAAAGAATGCACGTGGTGCAGGTAAATCATATGGAAATTTACTTACATATATTTTTACGACTGGGGATATGGTGTACATCACCAATCACAAAATTTTACCATTAAATTTTCACGCCCAGAGAGTGAAATTGCGGCCGGTTCCATGTAACGTAGCATTACCAAAAATAAGGTGCCTATTTTAATACTGGTATAACCTTCCTAGGCGGATTAATGTCAAACCGTTTGAATATTCTTTTGCAAATTTGGGGTAACACCCATTCATAATTTTGAAAGAGCGGAAAACCCACGCAAAAATCAAGAGCAAAACGGTCGGGAAAACTTAATTCGTTATTTTTTATCAACGCACTGTAAACCACCAAATGTACAATCACGCTTACCCCGCTCCAGGTTTATCCGGCAACGACTTCCTATGAAGAGCAGGAGAGGTGGGCTGGGACCTAGGCAGATTACTGACACCAGATCCCGAACTTCCGAACCTACTGACAGGAAAACTCCTCGCTGACTTGGATTTGACATTTCCGCGCACTAGCGAGGTGGGGAGCGGTGCCGAGCTATTACCATTTAAGGAGTTGGACCTAGATGTCTTGACGGGTGGTACCCCCTGACTCTGGTTCTGGTTGCCTTGAGAGCCAGGAGGGGGTGGCATAAGAACCTCTGAGCTCTGCGCTTTACGAGACTTTTCCAGCTCAAGCAGTTTTTGCATTAGTTCAGGGGAAATCTGACGGGATCCCTTCGGTTCCCCTGCAAAGGGAAGCATGGGCACTAAGGCGAGGCTCGGTACCGAAGCAGCAGAAGCCTCGTCTTCGTCTTCAACCGTGTCAAGCCGGGCGTCTCTCCTCGTTTTGACTTTCTCCGGGTACAAGAACTCTTCCTGGGTTCCAGTTCTACGACGCGCCTACAGACACAATTTTCAAAATGTCAAAAATGCTGCTTTGAAATGGGTGTAATCCAGCGTCGACTCTCTTTAGATAGTATGAATTCCGAAGATTTGAACTTACCAATCTTAATGAATTAACGAAAAAGAAATTTTAAAAAAACTTAATTGTAGCCATTGTGGAGCATGACATATTCATAATAATTAAAATGGAAACCATTACAGGCTTCAGGTATACTTCGGGCTGAACACCAAATCTAGTTCTTACTTACTCTCAAAGTTCATGATAAAATCTATACTCAGAATTCAACTTTACCGTTAACAGTCAACTATACCCTCTCTCTATCCCCTCCCCCACCTCCCTCAATTCCTTTCCCCACTTTCTCCATCGATAAACAAAATGCATGCGCATAACGGGAAAACACTTAATGGCCCATGCTACTCACTATTGAATCAAAAATGACAGAGAGGTGAACGACTGACCTTGTCTTTTGTTTTAGCTTGTGCTTGAGATGCTACTTCACCATTAAAATCTTTTAACGTGCCACCGCTAGAACTTTTGCACAAGAAAAAAAAAACAACAAACAATATCGATTTCGAACTTTCAAAGTGGTTTCTAAAGCAAGTTAGATTCCATTTGCATTCTTTGTCCTCTGGCTTAGCATATATAAAAAACCTCCAATCGCTTTCCAAAATCTTCTTTACTGAACGCGATCAACGACTCAAATACTAGCTACAGAATTGTTGGTGTGATAAAATTTCACAATACCTCGACAGCGTTCCGGCTTCATCTTTCAACGAATCCAGGCTCGTCTGAAAAATAAGAATTAACGATAAAGGTTAATGATCAAAATTGCCTTTCTTCAGTAGTGGATGCTGCTTTACAAAGCACCCATTGAGATCAGCAAAATAAGTTCGAGGAGGTGGGATGTAAGGGGGGAGGGACGAGCAAAGTTTTACTTTATCGAACGATTGACGTGTGAAAGTTAACCTATACATGAACAAAGGGGGTAAGTTTCTAAAGAAGCTGTGGTGCTGCCTTGGTATAGGGAATTAGGCGATAATTTCGTCTAATCAACTAAGTTGATGTGACTTTACCAACGTTAACAGTTTCTAAAGCTGACGTTTCGACCGCTAGCCCTTGGTCAAGGCGAATGCCAGGTTTCGTACATATCGTTTAGCATCACCTTTCGCTGACAAAACAAAAAAACAAACAAACAAACGCTTCCATCCTCTCAAAGTGAGCTTGGATTGCCTGTGCATGGCCAAATATAAGTAAACCACAGTCATACCAAAGATCCCATTAACCGATCTCTAAGCTCCGAACCACTGAGCTCCGAATCCGTTCCCATGGCAGCGGCGGCGAGATTCTCGATGCTGCTGAACGAATCGTGGTACTGCAGCACGTGTTGCAATAGTTCTTGTTGAAGTTCGTTGTGCTGCTTCATGGCATTGAGACGGGCTTGGACTTCTTTTGCCGCGGCTTCTTTAGAGGTGGCTTCTTGACCCTGTTAAGGTAGTAATTCCGTAAGTAAGATCTCCAGCATCTTTAAACCTTTTCTTTTACGTTCACGGCAAAGTGTGAAGCAAGCGGAAAGTATCCGCAAGGGGTGACTTGTACAAGCGTGCCCTTTTTTTCAGTCGTTCAAGTGTACGTGATGTGTTTGGAGATCAAAGATTTAGTTTCCAACGAGGGTAACATTGAAAACATGCTAACCTTCTGGAAACGAAGTACACTTAATGGAGCCTAAGTTGGGTTACCTGTGTTTTGTTCTTGAGAAAAACACTTTACTCTCATAATGTTTCTCTCCCGGAGTAAAATGACCGGAGAATTGTCAGGTAAACTTAACAAAATACCGTGGGATAACCAGCAAATAAAATTCACTAGCATTCCACCCAAGGGAGCAGCAATACTCGTTGCCGCGTTATGGGAAGAAGTGCAGAAACTCTTAACAGTGTACTACATCTTTTTTTTACCCTTTCTTCAAAACATTTGTTCCCACATCTGTAAAGATTTCGGATCGGGTAATATTCGCTTTTCATATTTCAGTCACTTACTTCGCTGAGTAAACAGACGATTGATATCTTCTACTTACCAAAGATATCACTTTAGTCAAGAAGTGCTCCAACAGGATACGTGCCTCTGTTATTGTACAGGTGGCGAAAAATTCTCCTATCTCAGCAGTGTCTCCACCTTGCTCCTAGATGTACATAACAAGTATACAATACGACTGTTGGTTCATTTGTTCGCCACCCTCCCAAGGTTAAGGAAAGAGGAGCAACAAGGCCTTTCTGTTCTACTCCAAGGAGTCAACACCAGTGGGTTCACGTACAATTTTAGTACACTTTCAAGCACACAAGTTACGACCACTAAGAAACTTATGAACTAAGGAAGATGCGTTCAAAGAGAAGATCAGATTCTCAGAAACGGTCAACGCATTTTGGAAAGCTAAGCCGATGAAACCAGATTCCTAGTTAAAATGGCTTCTTGAAAATTTCCTCCTTAGCCACTCTACGCTTTACTGTCTCCTTAGTTAAGGGTCTACAGTTATAAAATCAAATAAACTGGATGTAAGATTTAGTCAAACCTCCATCTCCATGATGCTTGTTTGACAGTCCGTAATGTTATCTTGCACATAGTCCATATGCGCCGTCAGTGCTTCCAGCTGCTCTTTCAGTTCTTGTACGTTACTTTCTTCCTACGAAGGTTCAGACAACTATCTCCGTTATAGTTCTTGTACGTTACTTTCTTCCTACGAAGGTTTGGACAACTATCTCCGTTATAGTTCTTGTACGTTACTTTCTTCCTACGAAGGTTTGGACAACTATCTCCGTTATAGTTCTTGTACGTTACTTTCTTCCTACGAAGGTTCAGACAACTATCTCCGTTATAGTTCTTGTACGTTACTTTCTTCCTACGAAGGTTTGGACAACTATCTCCGTTATAGTTCTTGTACGTTACTTTCTTCCTACGAAGGTTCAGACAACTATCTCCGTTATAGTTCTTGTACGTTACTTTCTTCCTACGAAGGTTTGGACAACTATCTCCGTTATAGTTCTTGTACGTTACTTTCTTCCTACGAAGGTTTAGATAACTATCTCCGTTAAAGATTATCAGCAAACAACTGCAACACAAAATGTTGTACACAAAATCGTACTTATTACCTTCTGCAAAACTGTAGCATTGTCATATTTCATTTGACACTTCTCTAGCTGTTTACTGAGGCGATCTCTGTCCTGTATCCAGCGATCCATATCCGATTCCATATTTGCAATCGTTTGCCGCTTGATAATCAATGACGTTATCTGAACGGAAAAGAAAATAACGAGGTTACGTTTTTAATATTGAACAACAATTGTACTTTAAAACTTTGCTGAAGATATCACGACTGAGTCATTAGTCTGAGATGTTGCAGAATGTCATTTAATGGTTGACTATAAAAGTGATAAAGTTAAGGCTTTCACCTTCTTGTCAATGACATCCCATTTCTTCTTCGCACTTCGAGACGCCTGTTGGACGGAGCTCTTTCTTCTCGGCGATTTCACAGGCAATCCCGACGGTCGACTGGCTGCTCCTGAAAATCTTGAGGTTGAGGAAGAGGACACGGATACTGATGAGCTGCTGTACGACGTATAGGAGCTGGTGTATGAGCTGGCATCCACACCATTCACTTCGCGTACTGTTAACAGGGTTGCCTGGCTTCGTTGTGCTCCCAGTTGGCCAGACATGGGTTTCTGTTGACGCCTGAGGGCCTTTACCTGTGAATGAAGCGAGAAAAATTAATGAGGCGCGTACAGTGGATTTCACATCTTTCTTTGCAGGGCAAACGTCACTTTAGATGGAGGGTTCATACTATACTGAGAAACCCAATCGTTTGCGTGTGCAAAAAAAAAAATTCTTAGAGGGCAAAGTCACAGCTTTATCTCCAACAAGTTTAGGGGCTTTTAACAACATTTTCCATAAGCCGCTGCTGCTGGTGTCATATGCGGCTCTGCCCGGAAAGGGATCGTAACGTGAAACCCAAACAAAAGAGCCCGCTCGCAACTTTCATTGAAACACCTACTAGTCATGTGATTTCTGAATGTAAAGAGTGCGTATTTTCAGGCTAGTTAGGATCGACTTTACAAGCATCGGGCCGTTGCTATTCGACTCGGTTACGTAAATGAAACCCGTACAAATCTTCTCCCTTTTCGCCCATCCATACCCTTCCTTGGCTTTTCCGCGGGCCCTTGTTTTGTTCTTTTACCTAATTCATTTGCATGTTTCAAGCAGTGGTCTGAGTTTGACTGGAAAATGTTTATCATAATGATGTATGTGTATAATTTCAAATAGGAAGAATATTAAGGATGAGGCACGATTTTGATGGACACCACGGCAGCAAACTAAAATGGTGAGGGGAAGGTTTACAAGGCGCTCGAACTATTTTGTGGATCGTATTGCAAATCTTGCAACAATCAGGAAACTGTACAAAAAGGAACGAGTCGGTCTTGTAACAAGCTCTACCGCGGAAGAAATGATACAGCGAGGGAAATACCTCCTCCTGTTTTCTCTTGAGTACTACTTCACGCTGTCGTCTTTCTGTTTCCAGATTCTTAATTGTCATCTGTCTCAACCGTGACTCTTTCTTCAGTTGTGCAATCTCTTTATTCCGCTGCGCCTCCTGTTGCTTGCTCTTGGCCGCCTCTTCCTTCATTTGTTTCATAAGACGCACTTTAGTCTTCTTCATCTCTTTCAGTTCAGCTTGGAAAGTTCTCAGCTGCTGCTCATTTTGCGCTTTCTGCCTAAGAAGCTGCGCATGCTCTTTCTTGGCGGCCTGCATCTTCTTCAGTTCTCCCTGCAGCCGACTAATTTTTTTCTCGTATTCGTCGCGGATTTGTCGAACCTTTTCACCCGATTTCGAGTCTTGATTTTTGACACTTTGCAAAACCTGAAAGCGAAAGAAAAATTACAATTAGCATAAATCATAACAAACAACTTTCCTTTCGACTGGTAATACAAGCTTAGAAATAGACGATTCTTTAATGATCTGCAACAACATATACACTTAATGTTATATCAAGGAAAGTAATAAAACGTTCGATCACGCTGGCCTATACCCTTACAGTATATGTCCAACGTAAGACTCTTTTTTGAAATTAATTTTTATCAAGAGCAAGAAAGAGAGCGTTTCCCGAGGAGAAGAGATGGAAGTTGTACTTCATAACTTTTCAGGTCAAATTATCTCCCTCCCCTTCCTTCGTTAAGTAAGAGTGACAGGCAGTGGGCAAACTACGGCTGTTTACAGAAAGATGGGCAGCAACTCACTTTCTTTCTGCTTTTACACCTTTTTCTCTCATAAGTGTTACACTACTACCATCAGTGACGCGAATTGCCTTACATTAACCATGTATATCATTTGTGGCAAAGCTGGCCATGCAAACTTGAGGAAAAACGGAGGCGTTCAAAAACCGAAATGCTAAGGGTGGTGACATCAAAAGAACTCCAACAGTCTGTATGCCGTATGCGCTGAGGACTGTCAACGGTAATGTACTTTCGCGAGGACGGATAAAATGCGTCTACACCAGTTCAGCTTATTAAGGGGAGATTTTGATGTTCTCCATCTCCGTGAGGCACCAAAGCCAACGATAAGGCTTAGGAAGACCACAAATGAACTAACCACACAGTAACTAACCAAGAAACAAAATAAACAAACAAACAAACTAACTGGCACCCACCTGATCCCTCTCTGTCTCCGTCTCCTTGATCTTGTTGTGGAGAAGAGACAGTTTCTCTTCGTATTGAGTTTTCAGAGTGTGGATTTTCTTCTGACTCGTCTCCAGCTCGTCGATGAGTTTTTCCTTGATGGATATCTCTGTTGACAGGTCCGCCAAGTCGCCTGACAGGTCGTTCTCATTATCTGTTAAAAACGTGGAAACATGCAACGCCTTTTACTAATTTGAACCAACTGAACAAACAAACAACACAGAACAACAAATACAATCTTCAAATAACAAATGAATTTCGAAATCTTATCTTTAGGAAATCGATCCTCATTGCATTGCACCTGAAAATTACTCTTCCCCGGTGTTCATGACCAAATATGATAATTAGCTTGTTCTATTAGATCGAATCAGTATTCTTGTTTCCATTCCAGCTGCAGTATTCCCCCTGGTAACTTATACCCCATCCACACCAGCAAAAACATGTTTAGCGTTTAACTGAATGAAACAGAGAACTGAAAAACTTAATTTTCCGTAGGGTTTAAGTGGTCACTAACTTTTCCATTCAATGTGCTAGATTTGAAGTCGGCAAAACTTGTTTTACGCAGTTTCTACTAAGACAATTTTCAAAACAGCTCCCAACATGTTTACGCTTTGTTGTGAATGGGGTATTAGACAGGAGAGTCTAGAGTTTTATCAAGATCACACTGCTCAGTTGATGAAAGTGTCAATTCTAGTTACCTCTTCGGTTGATTACGTTTTGAAATTCTGAGGAAACATGACTTTCCCGAGTTACCTTGAACAGCGTCATCATCATCAGAGTCATCATCGTCACCATCATCAACGTCATCGCCTCGTCCTTCGTTTCCCGCCGATTGATCTTCATCATTTTCCTAGTTGCAAAAAGCACATCAACTCAACGGCGATAAAAATTGAAATGACTCCCACTTCCACCCAACCCCTCAAGGTTTCACAATGAACAAGTGTTAAAGAAAGAACGAGTTTTATTTGTGTTGAGGAGGGTGAAGGCACAGATACCACTCGAGCCGAGTGGTTCACAACACCTCGCAGCTCGGTTGGAACTTAGTCCTCTCTTCGTAGCATGAAAAGACCAAGAGGAACACCAATCCCGTTGGCTGGGATGTCAATTCATAAAAAAAGTTATCTTCCAGTATTTCGTCAGGTTTTTCAGACACTTGTTCAGTACGCATTGGCATTCTTTGGTAGAGTAATTGGAGCATTTTTCGATTGAGTACCGTAAAAGCAAAACCAAAGTAAACAAACCGGCCATCATAAGAAAGGAAAACCCCTCAAAAAGCCAATGAAAACTCAAAGTAAAAACAAACAAACTGCCTTAAGAGCGGTAAAAATGAGGTTGACCAAGAGAGACCAAGATAGACCAATGGAAACCAAAACAAACAAAGAGAGACCAAGATAAACCAAAAGAGACCAAAATAGATCAAGATAGACCCAGATAGACTAAGATAGACCCAGATAGTCCCTGATAGACCAAGATAGACCAACATAGACCAAGATAGACCCAGTAGACCAAGATAGATCAAGATTGACCCAGATAGACCAAGAAAAACATAGAGAGAGACCAAAATAGAGCCAGGTAGACCAAGAGTGACCACGAGACTAAGAGAGACCAAGAGTGATCAATAGAGACCGAGATAAACCAAAAGAGACCAAGATAAACCAAAAGAGACCAAGATAGACCAAGATAGACCATGAGACCGAGATAGACCAAGAGAGACCCAGATAGACCAAGAGAGATTCTCAATTGGAATGTTTCAGGAGAGGATGGAAGTTTTTGCACCAAGTCAACAGTTGTTACGAAGGCATGTTACTAATTAAATTTTAATCTAAGAACATAGAACTCTTACTTCATCGTCCTCACTGCTGCTTTCATCACTGCTTTGTTCACCCCAAGGCTGATCTGCTCCCTCTTCCTTGTGGTTCAGTTTCTGGTAAGCAACAGTACATGGCGTTACAAGATGAACATAACGAAGGGAAGTAACGTGAAAAGGCTGTTCAAGCGTGGGACAACGCGAGCAACAATCTTGCGTTTGGTTCTAGTTTTGAATATGATTGGTTAAGAAAGTGGCGGGTGTTTTCTGGACCAATCACACAGCACTGCAAAGTAGACCCAATGCAATCTGCATTGCCTTTGACACTCAAATGAAACTTGCTTCGTACACACAGAAAAAAATTAAAGTCACAATGAACATAACAACGAGAGGGCTTATAGTTATCCATAGCTGACGCACACAATCGTAACTTTCTCCACTTTTCAAGCCGTTTGAAGGCAAGGGCCTATTTCTAAATGTTATATAAATCATAAATCTTCAGCATAGCAAATACAGTTAAAAAAACATTCAACTATTGATTAAATATTACTAACAAATTGCGTCAAGTCTCAAGCTTTGACCGCTGACATCAGCTTTGCGGCGCACGAGAATCATCTGAAACCCTTCACATGTCAAAGTATGGTCAAGAAGAGAAATTTACTCTTACAGCATTACTGAGTAATTTTCACCGGCGGATATACCACAATTTTGACAATAAATTGATCAAAATAGTTAGTTTAAATTGTTATTCAGCAAAGTTTTACACAAAATCATTAGCGTGTTACTTTTTAACTGATTTGTTACCATATGTTTTTTAAAACATCCAAAAATCCATTTTAAACTTTTAAACCATTTGATAACTCATGATAAATGTTCACTTTTAAGTATTACATCAACTGTCTTCCGGCTAGAGACAAGAGGAATTCTTAAATTTTACAGCAAAATACAGAGTTAAAAAAAAACTACGCCACAAAGAAAAAAACACAAAGCAAAATGACATATATAACGAAATAAAAGTGACGTGAGTAAAAATTGGCTGAAACGTTGTCACATCCCAGCTTCACGAGAGGTTTGGCTACATTTAGCTAGATTAACAGAAGACAGATATAGAAGCATGCAAGACCTTACCAAGCAGACCTTGAACACTGAGCTTGCAGCCGAGAAAGGAAAAGAAGTAGATCAGTGACCAATGCTGTGATTTCCATGGTAGCATACATGAGGTGATAAGCTGAAGCATCATAATTGTCAGTTTTAATAATAAAGAGACTTGTATGGATAAGTACACAAAAACACGAGCATGTGGATAACGCCTTCACAGATCAAATGTGTCTGGTAAGACAGAAACGAGTGACAGCTACAGTACCAAAGGAATGAATGAATGCATGAATAGTGAATGGTTGTTTCATACATAGACAGGAAAGACAGTCAGAAAACTTCATGGACTTGTCAAATTGCAGCAAGGTAGTCAGACAGACCGACGGTCGGACAGACAGAAAAACAGACAGACATGAGTTACGTAGTACCCTCGGTCAGACTGACAGACTCACTGACCGACAGACAGACACGCACACAGACAGAGAACCAGACAGACAGACAAACATAAAGTATTCCTAAGAGTTATTAGGACTCGACATGATGCAACCGCACCATAAAATATACCAAGAACCTCTTAAAAATCCCTGGGAAACGTTTGGACACGCTTTTGGTTACCAATTGGCTGTGTATACGTATTCCTTGAGAAACCAAGTCCCTACGCTTTAGAAACCCATGGAAATGGCCCCCAACAGCCGTTTGGAAAACACTCGAGAAACTATTTAGCGGAGCCTCAAAAAACCCTTTGTTTCCAAGAGGTTTAAATCTAAAGTATAGCTGTGGGGTTTCCGAGGGGGGATTCGTGTGCGTAGCAGGTGTGCCATTTCCACCAACAAGACTCAGCTTTTTCACTACAGCGACACCTCAGTAAACGGAAAAGAAAGCAAGAACAGTTCACAAAAAAGTAGACAAGTTGGGCCGCAGACTACCCACCCCATGTTTCTCATAACCACATGCAGTACTCACTGTTTCGAATCATTATCGCTACTCCAAGATTTCGTTAGGGGACCTAACATAACTTGTGTATAGTTACTGAACAAAGTGAAACAAAAGTAACATGTTGCTACTCTGCGAAGCTTTCGCATGCAAACAGAAGGAGTAACAAATGACACAAGCTAAAACAATACAAGGAAACAAAAACAAAGAAAATCTAAAACAAAAATACAAACAACCAGTCAAAAGAAGGAGAAAGCAAAATAACTGAAAACGAATTTAAAAAAAGGAAAGAAGAAAAGAAGACATCAAAAATTGAAAAGTGAAACAAAGCATGCTTCTCAACAAAATGGTGGCAGTCAGAGGAATTAACAAAATAAAATAGGAACAGGCGAAACGGAAATAAGAGTTTGGTAAACAAATGGAGAACAGATGAACTAAATCAAGTATTTAAGAATGGGAAAGAACACAGAGAAATGAATTCCGCTCAAATTTTTATTTACTTAAAAATGTTCAAAACGAGCCTTTCTATCTCTTTCATTGCTATGGAGTTTATAGCATCACTGCGAGTTCATCATTACAAAACTTGGGTATATTAGGTTTCATTCGTACGTTATCCGTACTTATCAACGTATTTCCTGTTTCAGATTGAACTAACTGTCTTGCAAGTAGTAACTAAAGTTATGTGAAAATCGGCCTGCAAGATTTACATTTTTCCGACGTCTTAACAGTCACAGAAAGAACGTCACATGTCAAGACCACAAAAGGACATTAATTAAAAACAATTCTATGACTTAACGCAAAATACAATGTTCTTTATAGTTTACAATTAAACTTTACTTCCTCAAAAGACATTACTTTTTTTTTAATAAAATTTTTACCATTCATTTGACTTAGTCTTATATATTTCAATAACTATTGCCATTTATGCATTTAGAGCGAATTATGCAACTTAATCTGTTCACTCAAACTAGGGGGCGAATTCTATAAATAAATTATCTAACCACTACTTACAAACATTCTTGAAATGCGTATCTTTTCCACGTATTTAACAATTTAAATTTAAAAGACCGTGCATCGATTTTTATTTCATGTTTACAACCAGTCTATTGTTACAAGTAGTTCATTGAAGCTCCTTATTTCAATCAAAAAGCATAAAACGACATTCTCTCTAGTATTTCAAACACAGTGTTTACTGTGGGTTTGTCGTTAGTGTATTAAATAACAAAAAATAAAACAAAACAAACAAACAAAACATAAAAAACGTACCATGATTTAACGTTCTTTCAGAACATGAATGCTTTGTTATTAGTGCAGGCGAGAAAAAAAAAAAAACGCGCACTAGAGAAAAGTTGTCTTGAAAACCTCAAGATTATCAGGAAAAGAAACCAACAGGAAACTTAGATAATTGATCATTTCAAATCTTGACCTCGAATATTGGCCTGAAAAATGCAGGTGGTGTGTACACAGCATCAGGAGGAACACCGCCATTCTTACCAGGGAGTAGCTCACCGCCTTTTCCAGGTGCATCAATATTTTCTAATGCAAAAGCCATAGAATCAAGCAACGAGTCAAGATCTTCCTCAAGTTGAAGCTTACGCTCTTGAATACTGCCAGCTGAGTCGGTCCTTTGTTCCCTCAGCAGATGAGGCATGGGAGAATCTAAATGTAAGTTTCGTCTGTCCTTTGTCTTAGGCTTGTATCTGTACACTTCGCTGTCGGAAGCGACAGTCACTCCGTAATCACTCTCAGTCTGGCTATCGCTTTCAAAGTGATACTTATAACACTCTGTGTCAGACACAATATCAACTGGTGGAGGGTGTTGCACTAATTTCTCTGCTTTCAACACCTCTACCCTCGAAACAGATGGCTTTGGAACTGAGCCGAGTTGAACATTGTTGTTCTCATCAAAACGAAGTTCTGGCAGAGAACAATTAAGATCACTTGTAGAACTGAAGGCATCAGAGCACCTACTAGAAGCACTTGAGTCAAACACCCGACTTAGATCTTTGCGGCACTTAAAACACTGCACCGGTGTTAGGTAATTGTCCATCGCATCACTATTTCCACCTAAAGAATCCAGGCTGCGAGATCTACGCTTAACAGCCATAACTTCAGAATCAACCGGCTTCTGTTTAGGTCTCCGCAATACTACATTAGCCGTAACATTGTTCGCCAAGTTAACAGTTACGCCATTCAACGGTTTATCCCGGTCTGCCGGAGTTAAATAATTGCTAGGTCTACGAGGTTTAGGATTGGCCTCTTTCAAGGTCACGAGACTACTCCGCTGGGACAACCGAGGGCTCAGCCCGGAGTCCGTTCTAGACTGGACAACGCCAGTATTCCAAGGAAGCCGCGGTGTCACAACCTTAAGCCTGCCACCATTTGTTTGAAGAAAAGATTTAGTTTGAGGTCGAGATGAGTTAACAGGAAGGTTAGAAGAAGTTTTTACTCCCTTCATAGTTGAATGAAAACTGCCTCCGCGAGGCTTAACAGGTCTAACGCATTTGACTTTGGAGAGAGAAGGAGGATTTCGTAATACCACCTGTGCTTTTTGCCGCTGTTTCGCCACATCCATCTTTGCCATCTCCAGTATAGACGTGGTCGACTCCTGGGATGACGGTGACGTCATCCGAGACTTCAAGGTGGCATGACGCGTTATGGCCATTGCCATGGCTTCACTTTCCGTAAGTTTATTTCTACAAGAGAAAGGAGAATACGGCGCCATTATTACTCCACTTTATTATGCCACTTTATTCTACAGTCTCAGTGAGTTCGCAAAACTTTGATTTCTTTCTCCCAGGTTTTTTTTAAGCTTGTCGTTTTGAACGAAATTTATTAAGACATTTAATGTTTCGTTTTTCTTGTTTTCGTCTTTAATTTTGGGTTCCAGTCCTGGCCAAGATCAGTGTGCTGTTTTCTTAACAGTTCCTTGATGCTACCAGAAACATATATGTGTACATAGGTACCGGCGATATCCTGCGAGTTATCATTTAGCTCTGAATGGCTGTATGTAAGGTAAAAAGTGCAAGCCATCAAAGTGTGTTGCCTCGCAATTTCCTATTGGTTTCGGCGTGATATCAATCCCTGCTTATCAATAACTGTACACATCGCTACAATCTTTACCTGAGCTCTTCAATTTCTTTTAAATATTTCTGGATGAGATCTTCCACTCCTCCATCAACACCTTCACCTTGAAAAAATATTTCGACAATATGCGATCAAAAGACATTCTCTTAATAAAATGAGGGGCGCAAAGTTATCGTTATCTGCTTTTATATCTCTGTAACGTTGTCTTTGGTAGTGACACTAATAACTCCAATAAACAAATACACTGTATCGTTTTCCATACCATTCATAGACGCCAAAACTTGAGAGGAGATAAGGTCCGCTATTCTGACTGACTGTGTATCAATAGTCTGCTGCAAGGCCTTGATACGCACACGAAGTCTGTGTAAAAGATAAATTTTGATTAATATTCAATACTTTTCGAGTCATATTATTAGGCACCAACATGAACCACCAAACGTACATTACAGGTCAGTCTGTAACACAGTAAATGATTAACTCATAATACACTTTCCTTTCTCTCAGTAGTTTTAAATAGGAATATAGAAATCTTGACATTCAATTCATTATGAAACAAGGACAAACGCAAAATTAGTAATTATATGGGTGTAATAATAAAATTAAAACATACGTACTTGTCATTTTCGGTTTTTAGCATCACATTTTCATGGCAAACATCACTGATTTGCTCACCGTCCACTCCAGAAATTCGTTTTCCCTACCCAAAAAAAAAAAAATTATTCACAGGAGTGCAATTAAAGTTTTTCAATGTAATAGCATAAATTTGATAATGCATATCAGAAAAAATGGCAGCATTTATTACACCCATTTGGAATCACTGGTGGTCCCTGTAACCTGATTGGCTCTAATTGGTTCGATTTATTCACGAATTGCACAATTTTTTGCTTTAAATCGCATCTTTTTCCCAGCCAAAGAGAAGGCTACACTAAAAACCAAACAGCCAATCAAATATCAAGGCTTGTTTAAAGTAACCAATCAAATTACACGGAGAGGAAAGACAAAGAGTATCATGTGGCAAATTTGGCAAAATCCTCCCCCACCCCAAAAAAAAAAAAAAAGAATTTAATTTCAAACCAGCTCAGTACTACATTAATAAAATATTTGAACTGACCAAGTCCTGTATTTGGGCAATTTCAAAATGGATGTAATAAAGTGGTAATTGAACCTCGTGTCGTGCAGTTTTGGCCTGAAATCATACTTGTGATTTCAAATCATGCGTACGATTTCAGCCCAAATTGCACTCCACTCAGTTCAATTACTATTATTAATTACACTTAGTATAAATCTGCAAGCACTCTGTCACTAATGCTGCACTATGATTGGATAGAGAGAAAATTAATTGAAAGTGAGCTTAAAATGAAATTTAAAAAAATTAGCCCATATTCTAATTAAGTTTTAAAAATAAGTAAATACTGTTCAATCGGATTATTCCCTTTTAATTTCTATGCAAGATAATTTATGTGAAATTACTACATAACAATTTCTAGCTCATAATTTAATTGTTTTGGCTTGACTTCCACGCATACACCTGTACATATAATGTACCTGTTTATATTCTGTCAGCTCTAGACTAAGTTTCTGTATCTCCTGCCTCAATGCAGCCATCTGTTTACTCGCTTTATCTTGATTCACAGTCACCTTGGAAACAAAACCAACTGAATGTTCACATTTCAGTTTGAAGAAAGATGGAAACTTGGCTTGTGGATTTAGAAAGGCATAGAATTAATAACAATAGTAAGACCTGATGAATGTCTCAGAGTCTGATAGGAGGTAACATACAGGAACATTGTGTGCATGATGATGCTGTTAGGTGAGAGCACCTGCCCCTAACTGTTGAGGACCACATTCAGCTTGTGTGGTTCGTGCCCAGGCTAAAAAAGGGGGCTTCTCTCTCTCGATGTTCCCAAACTTCAATTACACCAGGAATCAATAGAATCAATCCAACTTCTCATCTTTCTTAAATACAACTGTAACAATGTATCCGTTATATACTGCAAAAAAAGTTGGAAAGTAATTCTCTCTTTACCAGGTGTAAAGTGGAGAAAGTGGTATTGTAAACTGAAACTGATTAACCTGTCTCATTACATGCAAATCAATAAAACTCAGCTAAGAAATCAAGTCACCTTGTTCTTGATATTTCTAGCACGGTTTGCATACTTGAGTGTATTCAGGGTTTCCATGAAGTCTCGGTCAGATGGTGATACACAGGCTATCATTAGAGTGCGACTAAAAGAAAAAGAAAAATCATTAACTACTTTGATTATTATTTACAAATCCAAATGGGCCAGTACTGTCAGTTATCCATTCATTGCCAGTGCAACAACCACTCACTTTGATTTTGTGGGAGACAGATTTGCTTCATGAACCAACACCTCATCCAGAGGTAGTTGCTAAACACAATGTTGCATCATGCTACAGAAACTTAACTTTAAACTCCTTTGATCTGAATACTGTTGGGCCCACTTATTGAGCAAGTTAACCCTTCAACTCCCAAGATCTGATTGTCAATTCTCCTCTCTAGCTGTTACACTTTTCCTAGTAAATTAGTGACGAGAATTTGGTATTAGATCAAGATGACAACTTTGACACGGTAATTCTAAGTATTCTCATTACCTGTTTACTGGATAATGTGTGTAAATTGTAAGGAGAAGTTGCATGTAAATCACTTCTGGGAGTCAAAGGGTTAAGACAATCATATTCAGTAAACTGCTTGAATGAGAAGTCACCTGTTGCCTCCCAGAGAATCTTGGAGTAATCTTGTGAGTTTGGAATCTCTGTAAGGAACATGGCTTCCCCTCTTGGTAGCATCTCCAAGAGCACTGATAACATTCCCAAGGGCCAACTAAAATCATGAACCAAAATAGATAAGAGTCAGTTCACAATGTACAGGTTTAACTAAGTTTTGAAATCATTGAGGCAGAATAAAAGTCTAAAGTCTCACAAAATAATCCTTGTGTGAACAATACAGTGAGCAAGGAACAATACATATTAATATTTAAACCCTAAGAGAGACTAGCTTCTCATTTTCCCAACAGCACTACCCTTGAATCAAACATTGACATCATGAGAAAAAAGGAAATGATCACCAATTTATGAAACTCCCAATTGTCAAATTCTCCTTGTCAGTACCAAAGAAATGTAAAGAGAAAAGTGTAGAAAATAATTTTAAGGGATAAGAAAATCTATTAGATTTAACAAGACTTACATGATACTGTATCCACTCAGAAATCACCTAACAAAGTCATTTAATTTGAAATAAACCCATAAACCCATACACAAGTTGTTGAGTTGAGAGAAAGCCCCCAAGCAACATCACAGTATACAAAGGCTAAATTGAAATAAAGAGACTCTTTAATTACCAAACCACAATTGATAGAGATGCCTTCTTTTGCCCGGTCACCAGTTGCCCCAGTCCTTTTGAGTCTCTCAGAGCCAGCAAGATCCACAAAGTTGAATTTGGCTGTAAGCATCTCATATTCATAGTTACTGATTTTTTCAGAGCCTTGCTTGTCATCACCATCTGTTAGCTGATTGAAAAAAAGAAAACTTGAAATTCAGACGTCATTCTGTCGGTAATGTAATTTCAACTTACATGTATATGCAATCTTGGTAAATCAGTGTCCCAAATTATCGGTCAAAGTGCATGTCACAGAAACCTCATAAATTCAAAGTTTCTATTTTTCTTTTTGTAAAATTTTCCTAAAAATCAACAACTTTTACCCCAAAGCAGTATTAGGGAGACAAATACAATCCAATTTGATTCCCCTGGATTCCCTTGTGCAGTAGAATGAGGTCACTCCCCTAAATACAATATACACCGTACATTGTAAAAAAATCACAAATCAACAATTTCTTGCAAACTGCATTAAACCCACCCAAATGCACACTGCATAAAATTGGTTAGATGAAGGTCTTTTAGTTCAGAGTTTGGTGGTTTAGCAAATTTTTGTATACTTTTATTTTTGTTTTTATTTTTTACAGTCCTCCTGGTCAAGAAATGTTCTTCTTCTCTTCTTTGGATTCACATGTTGTACATCTGTGTACAAAGTGTTACCTTAACGACACGCTGCTGCTTGACATGAATAGCAAATATGGCATGAGATCTTGATGACTGTGCATTCATGTTTGTACTGGCAGTTGTACGAGATAAGGCTCCTTGTTGCAGACAGTTTAGAGTCTGAAATAGAAAACATAAAATAAAAGACAACTGTCAGTGTATTCAGGTAATATTTGTTCTATAATAGAGGATATATCCACAAAAAACAAACACATAGCCAGAATACCCTGATTTAAACATGTCTACTCTCTTGTACACAATACAGCATTCTGTATGTCATAAAGTAACTTTCAAATGTGTTTCAAAAGTAGTTCCAGATTCCTTTGATTTCCTTTAATTTGTCTCAGGAACTAGTACCACTTTCTTGGCCAATTCAAATCCAAAACTAAAATTAATCTCCATTTGGCCACTCCTATTGTTTTTTTCCATGATAAGACAAATTCCCTTGTTTTTAATTAGAGTTCTCATCAGCTCTCTCTGATTGTTTCCTACACTTTGATTGGTTGTTTTGATTATTTTGGTTTTGTTTTTAAATGACATTAAATCAAGATGCGCTCATCATGAAGATAAAATCATGCCTTATGAACAGCAATTTAACCCTTTAACTTCCACGAGTGACTAATAACAGATTTTTCTGTAAATATCTGTATTACTCAAACAGATAACAGGAATAAAGAAAAATATCAAGTAATAAGTTGAGAGAATAAGTTGATCAAAAATCAAATTCTCCAAGGGAACATGATAAAAAATGTATCACAGAAAGCAAGAAGAATTACTCATGAGATCTATGGAATAAAAGGGAGTGAAAACTTACATCTTGTGCTGAGTTCACTGGCTTCATAGTGACACCCACAGTATAAATATTTCCATTTGCATCTTCATGAATTTTTACATTACTCTTCCGACCCTTGGAGGCAAAAAGGACAACAAAATTTTATTTCAAAATACACATACTAAATACTCTTACTGCCAAATCTGCAGTTTCTAGTTCTTAGAAATCTTTTCCCTATTTTAAGACAACGTTCCTTACTAGTAAAATGTACCTCTTCTTAACATTTGTTTGGGTAACATTCACAGAATTGCAGAGGATATGTTGGTTAGAAAAGAACTTAAGAGTTAATGTGGCATGCATGCACATAAACATGCACAGCACAAAACTGGACCATACCTTATTGTTATCCAAATCAAACAAGTCCATAAGTTCTTCATTATAAAGCTGGAAGAAGTCAGAAAGTCAAAATTAAAACCAAGAAGGATTTGCAGATTATGAACTAATAATAATCCACAGATGATAGTATACACCCTCTCTTCTACCATCTCAACGTAAATAACTGAATTATGCTAACTCAAACTTCCTGTAAAATATAATTCAAGGAGCAACCCCTAGGGCCATATTTTAAGATCAGTTAAACTCTGCCAAATTTAAATTCTTTTCAATTGACATTTTAACTCAACAGAGCTGTACTGTAGAAAGAGTTTAGGCTCTGCAACTTGACAAATTCTGCCATTTCTGCATGCCATAAATTCTGTTTAATTCTTTAATTCTACAGAGTGACCAACATCTGCATGTCATCCCTCCTCTCAGTAAAACAGCTGAATCATTCATCAAGATTATCAGAATAAAAGAATAAATGATCACCAACAAGAAGTTTTGATTTTTAAAGAAAATACTCCTTGTCAGTACCAAAGAAAAAGTATAGGGAGGAGTATCGAGAATATGGATACTGATGTTAGAGTTTTAAGGTTTAAAGTCAATAGAAAATGCTCTTTTTCATCAGAAAGTTCATGAACTGTCATGTTGATTTTCTTTCACAAATAAAATACGGGAAATTTATGGTGTTGCTCATAATAAATTTTAGGGAGAAAAAGAAAGCAAAAGAAAGCAAGAGAAAATTTTGCTAAAAATGGAGGTTAAAGTTGTTATTTGTGCACACCTCCATAAATTGAACAGTGACTTTAAAATCAGGCTGAGGTTCATTTCTTTGTTTGGCATCTTGTTTTCTTCTGTCGATTCCCTCAAATAAATGTGCAACAGCTCGCGGAATGATTCCCTCCTCTTCTTGTGTCACAGTAACATCAAACCCTGTCCCCATTGTGTAAGTCTTGCCAGCTCCTGTCTGTACAAAGAGGAAATTTACAAATGTATTTGTTCCATAAGAAAACTGACAGTAAATTTCTTTTCTCTTTTTTTTTTTTAATTTTCTGCATTCATAATGCACTTTGTGAATCTGTTGATTATTCCACAAGGGTGAACCAATCTCCATGGCATTAAGAGTACACAGGAAAAATGAAACAGTCCACCACTTACAACAATATAACTTATGAAGACATATACACAAAATTGAAAATTATATCTTGACATTTTTAAGGCATCAGTCCAATATTTCATAGAAATCAATATTGTGTTTATACCCTGCAGTTAAATCCACCTACTGCACCAACAGCCTTTTTTTTTCCTTTTATCTGCTACTGAACAATAGAATGCACCCTCACCAAACTAGTTCATTGTAACGCAAAATGGCAAAGGAGGGTCGATAGTTAATCTAGATCTATCTATAAAACTTTGGTGATATGGCAAGAGCCACAGTTTGAAAACATCCAACAAAAATTAGATCAATACTGTCACTTTTCACTCTTGAGATTGTAAATATTATCTTAGCTAAAAATAGCTACAAAAACAATCAAAAGCAAGATCAATACCTTCAGTCAAATAATTTTTCTTTTGCTAAGGCTACAGTTTAAAACCCAGTGAATAAAAAAGTGTAGCGCAAGATTTAAATTTTCTCAAAATTCACCAAAAGGATTCTCCAACAGGTTGTGACCCCGCTTAAGTATTAGGATTAGAGTTTGCACAGTGCAAATAATTATTTACAATATTTTCCCAGTATTTTTATGGGTTGGTTTAATTCAAAGCAAAATTTTACTATTTAATCACTGATGCCACTCAGTAACTCCAGGAGATAAAGTTAATGTTTACTGAACCTTGTAAAAATTTTCAAGATGATATGTAATATCTACAGCTTTGACAAAATGTAAACAAAGACAAAAGTGAAGGGGCGAATTGGCATTCAAATTAAAATTAGCGCAGAACAAAAAAAACCATAAAATTCCATAACCAAACACTCTAAGCTCGAGATATCAATAATACCAAAGGTCTTAATTTTCACAAAAGCTAGACGAAATAAGAAATAATCTGAGATTATACATCTTATGGTAAAATGAAATATTGTGGTTTACATTTAGGTTCTCTGATTTTGTGTAATTAAATTTCAAATTCACGGATGAACTACCGCGTAAATGGATTACATTTCATCAACCGTGAAAGTGGCGAATAATTTGAGAAAATTCGTGTCCACGGTAGTTAATGCAGAACAGCAATGGACCAATACACGTCTCAAATATACAATGTACTCTATTATTCCTAGATAGGAATCAAATGGACTCGAGATAGATCGCCGATTACAGGCTCAAAGGGACGAAATCTACAATAGTCATTTCGAACGCAAAATACGAAAATAAATACAAACAGATTGCATTTAGTTTTAATGAACAAGACCAGAATTTGGGAGATGGACATGAAAACCTCCCGGTGAACATTTAAATGAAACCAACATTAACAATATTCCAGGGGAGACTGTTTTATTCACAACAGGGATTAAATGATATAGCCTCTTTGAAATAGAAAAATATCTGAACCGTGCAAACATTACGGCGTGAGAAGGCATTAAAAAGCTTTGAAAATAAAGTTACGCCGGAAATTCACTTTGACTAAGGACACTTGCCCATAATTTCTTCAGTGCAACACCGATTACATTTATTAAACTTTTTTACGCATATACAGATGCAAATTATATCTAGACGAACAAAAGTGTAATTACCTGCCCATAAGCAAGGACTGTAGCGTTATAGCCATCAAGGCAGCTGAAATGAAGAGGAAAAAATTCTTGGCGTAAGAAAAGCTTACTTCAATCACGCAAACATAAGCTTATTTACAAACGCAATTTTGGCACTTGCGAGCGGCCAACGTCGATCAACATATGAAATGTACAACAATCATGACAGCATGAATACGGCCTCAAAATAAAGTCGCCAAAACGCCATTTAAGTTAACTCACCCTTCAACGAGTCCTCTAAGACACTGCTCATAGATTACAAACTGTTTACTCTCGATGTCAAATACATGATCGAACGTAAAGGCCTTGTCTTTTCCGAGAACAACCTGAGGATGTCCTGGAGTAACGCAAGTACAAACTCTACACATTTCTATTCGCTCGGCGGCACTTTGAGGACGAATCCTACAAAACAGAAACATAAAAAGGGCACAAATAGATTTAAAAAGCCACGCTACACAATACTTGGCAGGGCGTCTAAATCATTTGATCTGGTAATAAACTGTTGGCGTATTTCAAAGAATTTTCCTTGATCACCGTAAACCCTTACCTCAAAGCCACTCGAACCGATGTTTCGTCTTCCATGAGGTTATTGTGCCAGAAATTAAAACAAAAGAAAATTTCCAGGAATAGAGTCCGGTTTGTTAATACGAAGCCAAGCACGACAGCGATAGACTACTTCATTCATATTCGATCTCTCCGCGGAGATGGTTAGAAAAAAATTATTATCACGTCGCTGCAAAATTGCGTGGATGGACTCTGGATTTCTGACAAACGTTGTCCCTGCTTCACGCCATATATTGGTAATTATATCGACGATCAACACAAGTTCAGAGCTTCGAAGACATCGTCAAAGGCTTTCAATACCAGCGAAATGGACAGGACAGGTAAATGCGCTTTGCTGCTTGAACGATTTTCACTCGATTGTGAATATCATTAATTAACATTCACCTTCCAATACAAAATGGCCGCCAAATTAGCACGAGAGAGCTGCATTGTGGGTTGTATCTGCCTACGTCGACCAATCAGAAAACTGCTTTTAAATTAGCGCCTTTTGGCGGGTGATTTTGCGGTGACGTCAATAATGTCTAGAAAACACCGGAAACTTCGGCTCTTGACGACAACGTAACAACATTGGCACTACAAAATTGAAACACTTTAAAGATTTAATTCAGATTTATCGATTTAATAATAAGAAAAAAGTTCCAACAAGTCACTTGACTATCTCTAGAACATGAGAGGAGCACGTACCATTCGAAAAAATTTGTGGATTCATCCCACAAGCGTCTTCATAATCTCCAGTTAAATTTTCATTTTATCCCGGAATTTCACTTTTTTTTTAAACTTCCCCTCGAATTCTAACCCCTAATTAACAATTCAGCGATTTGAATTTTGTTGGAAAATCAGAGCGTTTAATGTTGCAGTAATTTAAATGTTACCGATGAAGATCACCATTTTCTTATGCGCTTATTAAAATTGAAATATGCAAAGTGCATAGTTTCGCAGGTAAGTTAAGACAGCCACGCACACTCTTTAATGAACAAAGCTTTCAAAATAAATTATTCAGTGTTACCGGCATTGTTTCCAATACAACGATTTCGGGTGACCGATAAATAATTCAAGATACTGACTCTGAATAAAAAGAAGCTAGAGATTTTCTACAATTTTCAACCCCCATGACGTACTCAGCGAGAAAGCGCTAAATTTTGATGAAAAGCTTACGTAGTTATCATTTACATTTTTTTTCAACCGGTATTTTAAAAAGTGATTAAGGAATTAAGAGCGATGAAATCGGCACGCAGGGAAACCAAAACAACTCTGCGGAATTTTCTTCATTCAATCTGAAAGTCAAAATATATTTTCGTGATTTTCAAAACAAAAACGTAACCTGGGCAACGTCTAAATCGCGTTCAAACATTCTCAAACATAGATTATCGAATATTCTCTTAAATTAAATTTCCCAAATTCATTTATTAGTACGCGGTGGGACCAGATTGATTCAAAATTTTAGGGATTGTTATTTTGCGCGTATTTTTGAAATGACAAAAATATACCCTTTTTTTTAAAAAACGGTCTATGATCTAGTAGAAAACACAGTGTAGGAAATAATTAATCAGTAAATATTTCTATAAATTTTGTGCGGAGATTTTAGGGTTCGAGCTTAAGTTTCAAACTTAAAAAGATATATATTGATTTCGAAATCTTAATTGTAGGCGAAAAAAGTAAACAGTCAGGCGAGAGATTCAGTCTCTACTTTCAGAATACATGCTTATACCGACTCCAAGAAATCTCCTATGGAGTAGAGAACTTCCTCGTTAATAATAAATTTGTCATAAAAATAACAAAGAGATGAACTGGCCTAAGTCTCAAGTAAAATGAGTAATTCTCAGTGTTGACCAGTCTCGAAAACATATTAATGACAGTTTGGTGGCATCGCACGCAGGAATCTTGCCAATTATAGAGATATCGAAACAGATAGAGATATGCGTTGTTGACTTAGCGTGAGGTGAAGTCGGCTCGATACCAGCCGAGTTTTTTTTTTTTCTTTTTTTTTTTCCTTTTAATGAACCGAGACGACAAGGAATTAGTTTGTTTGCTTGTTTTGTTGATTCGCTTTGACAAAGAGCGAGAAACGTCAGCTTTAGAATCTCCTTACAGTGGCCAATTTACATTACCATCTTAATTCATAAAACCATATTATGTCTATCTTGTTGTTGTTGTTGTTTATTTGTTTGTTCGTTGGTTTGTTTTTTTGCTTCGGCGCTTAAGTAAGCTATGAAATATTTCAAGACAAATAAAATTGAATATTAAGACCCTACAGATCTGTTATAAAAACAAAGCAGCAACAAAAGATGATTTTGCAGTGCCATTGCTACCTTGAAATTTCAGTTAGTTCTTTTTTTTACCAGAAGCACAAAAATTGATATCTTTTTAGATTCGGGGGCTTCCTCTGAGATCAAAGAGATCAAAGAGAGGTTCTGTTATAGTACTCTTCCTCTGTAGAACCAGTCTTCTGTAGGACAGGTTTAGGAAATTCCTTCACCAGATTAGAGACCTTTCTGATAGATTTTAGCTAAAAAGGAAAACGAGCCATGCCAAATGAATCATACGAAGGCAGAAGACGTGTGCTTAAGTTTAAACTTAACTCATACACATGCTCATGTTGAAGAATATGTACCAATTAAATGTTTTCTCTCGCAAAGACAAGCGTCATTTGTTAGCAACAAACACGGACTACTATGGAGGCTATTAGTACCTACACCAGTGTTGAAACCTTACTTAAACTGCTAGTTTAGTTGGTTTTCGATGAAATTTTAGTCAAATAGCGAGAGAGACATTCGTGGAACTCGTCGAGTACATCTCATTTTTTCCCTTACAGTTGGTTTGCACTGTAACGGTTCCCTTCATGGCCCGGCTGTCGCAGAATAAGGTAGACACTTTTGTCATTACCAAAACGTTATGAAACACGGCGTCATGGTTTCTCCCAGCTATCCACGATTTTCTTAGTATCCCTAAAGGTCCTTTGGTTTTTCGTTTGAGCTCATGGATGATCATATCTCTTTCTTGAGAACAGTCTGTTAATTTTATGGCAAAGGACTGTCAAGTAAGGTAGTCTGACAAAAGCTTACTCAAAATGAGCTTTCGGTTCAATTAAATAATATCGACCAGGACTCTGAGGAAATTCATCTCAAATGGGTGTGCTCGGTATGTATTTGCAAGTTATTTCCTCTACACGGGCATTCAGAGTCAATTATAATCGAACGAATAATATCTGTAGCTGTGATCTTTTATTGTTACTATCGCTGTTTAAAAACGTCATTTAAAAACCAGGACAAAATTCTAACTTCTAGCTTTAATCAATCAACTTGCTAAGTTGCTATAATGTAATTCACTTTGGCTTGAGGCCTAAAGCGTAAAATCTAAAGGATTACTTTCATTTTGAATATTAGCTTAGCGGATAGAGTCAAAGAAGGTTGTCCCACTTTGGCAGAGCTGCAAGACTTGGCACAGAAGCTTGAAAAGTGAAAGCCTCTTAGGCTTCATTTGCTTCACATGGAAGAGTCCAAGATTGACCAGATTGAAATGCGATAAAGTATCGCAGAAAAACGCTTTTCAGACTGGGTGAGGTTGGAAACAAAAAACCACACAGCTGCAACATGTAGAGCTCTATACGCTTCCCTATGTAGGGTAAATCGCGGGGATTTGGCCGGGAAATTTTGTTCTACGGACACAGATGCTTCATCTTTGCCATGAACGATTCTGCCTATGCAATTTGAAAACACTTGTTCATTTTCTCTCGACAGCCTGCTCAGTTTTCATATTGTACTCACAATGATATATGGTTTTCACTGGCCAAGTGGTCCGTATTAGCAGAGGGCACAGTCTTTCGCAATACAGACCAACAATTGTTTTGTTGTTTTCTTAAATCTAGAGAAAAACGTGCTAAAAAGGCCCGAACGATTTTGGGCTGTAGTTGTGACAGGATTTTTCACCAACTGAATAATCTTCGAGAGAGTAGATAGAGTAGAAAAGAACGTAATGGATATCAAGATATACAATTATCAACCGCATTTCTTAGCGAGATGATAAAAGGCTTTAAACTGAATTTGAGACATTTATCCGAACAATCGGGGTGGAAACCAAACTTAGATTAAAAGATTCTTGCAACGACGTCTTCGAAAGTGGAGAGATGATCTAACGAAAATATTATCTTCTTTAATCGACGATTATTCTACGAGGTTTATCTCTGTACAGTTTTAGTCCAATAACAAGGAAGTTCAATGTCAATGAATCAAAATGACTGGTTTTAAGCCGTGATAGTGTTATACCATAGCCATCTCTCATCGGGCTTGATGACTTAGTTAGCTACACGCCTTTCAGGTCTTTAAGGAGTGCCATGGACTCGAGGCTCGGGTCAAGTAGGTTTTATTGTCTCAACTACTCTAATCATAATTTCTAACTACGATGATCAACTTTGTTAAATGTTACTATAATTTGCATCGAACTGGAGTGAGTTAAAGATAAATAACGTCAGCTACCATAGTGATCCCATTAAGGTTTACACAATAATCACATGAAAAAAGTTTTTTACAAATAGCTATGGTAATTGAAGCAAAAGCCGGCTTGATTATCATTTGCCTCTTGCAAATTATTTGAAATGTTAATATTGCACAGTTAATGAAATACGTTGAAAGCGTACAACGTTTTGATATCCTCATGATATCGAGTGAAACAAATGATTACTAACAGGGTATCCTCGAGTAAAATGTGTCAAAAAATTCCTTGCGAAAGAATAAGGTTCTGCCGTGTAGGCTTCCAGCACATAGCATAGAAGAAAATTCTTCGATTGTTTAAGTAAAAGAAAGAAAAGAAAAATGGAAACCAGACAACGAGAATCAGTTTTTAGTTTCGCTGCTCTGGGTCTGGCTCTTCACCATTTCAGCGAATATTCCACCGTTTCTCAACAACACTTTGGGTTTGTCAAACTCCACTAATCGTCCACCATCAAGAACTAGAACCTTGTCATAGTCCATGATAGTGTTCAGACGATGAGCAATGGTCAGCACCGTGGAGTCTTTAAACTTGTGACGAATAACCTGCTGGATCAGTCGGTCAGTCTTGAAATCTACATTGGCAGTGGCTTCATCCATGACGATGATCTTGCTCTTCTGGACCAGAGCTCGAGCCAAACAGATCAGCTGCCTCTCACCAACGCTGAAGTTTGCTCCGGATTCTTTCAGTTTGAATTCGAGCAGACCTGGGAGATCTTCCACAAGAGCTTTCAACTGCACTTCTTCCAACACCATCCAGAGTTCTGCATCTGTGTGCTCTATGAATGGATCCAAGTTCCTTCTCAATGTTCCAGCAAAGAGCACTGGATCTTGTGTTATAACGACCATGGACCGCCGAGCCTCCTGGAGATTGATAGACGTAATGTCAACGCCATCGATGAACACCTGCACAGATGAAATACAAATTATGGATTGTAGGAAATTTACAGTTCAGCATATGTCTACCTGCAGGTATAAATATGGTTGTAATAAGATCCATGTCGTAAAAGGGTACCAATCGTTCCACAAACTTATTTTATAACTGAGACATTTCTGTCACAAGGTGCCTAAGCCTTGCTGCTTTCTTCCCAAATCTAAACCAGTGTGACTTGAATGTAAAAAATAAAGCTAATTTGCATCGTTTCATACTATTACCTTCCCTGAGGGTTCTGGCATACGGAACAAAGCAGACACCAGAGATGACTTTCCAGCGCCAGTTCGACCCACAACTCCAATCTTTTCCTTCTCACAAGTGTTAAAGGTGATGTTCTTTAATACACAAGGTCCGCCTTCATGGTAGGCTAAAGAAAGTTGCTTTATTTTCAGTCTTCCTTTGTCGGGCCACGACTGAGGGGGGCGGGTTTCAATGCTGTAACCGGGCTCAGAGCCAATCTTTGCATATGACATCACTCGCTCAACTGATGTCATCAGATTTTCTACTTCTGAGGCCAGGCGTACAGAATATTGTGTGAGATCCAGAGATTGCAGTACGTACGTTAAAGCGAGTCCAGCCAATACTGAGAAAAAAAAGTCTCTAAAATAAGCTGCGATATTTAAGTTGGCTGGTTTGGAACTGCTGGAATTGATATTTGAGGGAGGCAAGAAGGAGGGCACAAGATAGGTAACCTCGCAAGTAATCGCCTGACGGTTTTAACAATTTAGCATCTGTAGCCAAGCTAGCTTTGTGTGGCATTTTATATTCCTAATATACCCAAGGAGAGCTAAACCAGCCAAATGGAATTCAAAAGCACTTTATCGTTCAGTACACATCTCTTAAGTGAGGCGGAGAAAAAAAATTGTAACAAGACTTTTTCCCGCATTGTTTCAACAAATGAATAAAGGGGTAAGTTTCTAAAGAAACTGTGGTGCTGCGTCGGTGGGAGAGTATAGCAGGTAATTTAGTGTTAACAACTGGGTTGAAAACGTAAATTAGCCACCGTAAAGGGTAAAAAAGCTGACGTTTCGAGCGTTAGCCCTTCGTCAGAGCGATTGCTTGCGTGTACTCACCAGGATTTTCTACGACCAAAATAGCAGTTAATGCGACAATCGTAATAAACAAACTGGACATCAGATCCAAGCGAATACTCAACCAGCGGGTGCATGATATCACCATGATAAAAGCTTGTGTGTTCTCGTCCTGATACCTTCATAAGAAAGAAATACAGCGAATGAATTCTGATTGAAATGGGAACAGGCAGCGAAAAGGAGGAAAACAACTTCCATTGAGCGAACTGCATGTAAATAACCTCCGTTTTTTAAAAAAACCGTAATTTAGCTACCACAGCTCAAACCTCTAAGCAATCGCAACCACTTTCAAGGCCAGAAATTTGACAAACTATGCTGAACCTTGTCAAACTGTGTTGAACCTTTGATGGTAACAATTCTAATTAAGGGTAAAATCTTTTAACAAAAGGAAAGAGCTTATGATAATAATTTGCAGTCGAGCTTCAAACTGTTGACAGCAGTTCTCGAGAACTAACCTGTAAAATTTTTGTATAAAGGTGTCCTCCATATTTGAAGTATGAATTATCTCAAGTCCATTTAGGGTGTCTGTAATATGTGAGTATACAGGGCTGCACTTGACTGCCTCGATCCTTTTCAGTCCTCGTGAAGACTTCAACTGATAACGCGCATAATAGCCAAATATTGCAATGATTGGAAGCAAGGCCAAGAAAAGCCAGTAGTTTGTTGCAGCAGGAACCAAAACAGCACATAGCGAGAATAAGGAAAACTTGATGGCTTCCAAGAACAGAGGCGGTAAAACGTCGTCCATGCAGCCAACATCTCTGGAGAATCGATTGAGGATACGACCAGCTGGGTTTGTGTCGAAAAAAAACACAGGAGCCTTGATTGTCGCCATGGTCATTTTGTTGTGCAGGGTTTCGGACGCTTTTAGGAGAATGTAGTAGAGCAAGAAAGACGATGCTGTCATGATAATGATTGACACAGCAACCAGAATGGCGTAAATAACATGGGTGTCCACGACTTTCTGCTTTTCATTTGACATCTCAGCAATTTTAGCCAACCACCAGTTTGGAACTATTAGGGAAACTGAAACATTTCAAGTATTAGAAAAGAAGTCTTAATCCTGACCTGATGAAAAGAAGGCGTTCGGTACAAAATCAAGACCCTACAAATCCTTAATGTAGATTAGATTTATTTTAATATTTTTCTATAGTTATTTGAACGATAATGTATGGCCAAAGACGATGCCATTGAAGAAAGGATCTTGACGTTAGTTTGGAATTCAACTTCTCTGTTAAAAAACTGTCGTAAGTTGAATTGGCAATAAAAGCGATCTTTTCCCTTGAGGGTCGTGAATGAACCTCTCGCTGGTTTTCACTTCCTTGTCGTGTTTTAAAGTTCAAGGTCAATAAGACTCAAATGCTAAGAAAAAACAGAAAACTCCTAACATGCTAAGGGACCTCGAACATGCGATACGTTTACATATGTGCGCATGCTTGTAATTCATGAACTTTATCACAAAAATGTGGACATTTTGTATTAGACAATTATTCCGTAACCTCCAGGAACTCGGTTGATGATTTTGAAGATAGAAAATGTCTGAACGCAGAATTTTCTTTGGTGAAAATAAAGTGTTTTGTTTCTTTTTTTAAAATTGCCTGTTTCTGATGATAGAAAAAAGAATTCATGCGGGCCTCCCACGACACAGTATCTTCAATGAAAACTGTCGTTACCTTGTGCTGCTATCAAGGAAACTGCAAGAACCAAGATCATGGGCAGTGGCAGACCCTCATTGAAATATTTCCAATAAAGTCGCCAGGTGACAGTGCCAGACATCAAATTTTCTTCGTCTTCTTTTATACCAACAACGGGTTGTTCGGGAACACTGGGCACTGGTTCCATTTCTGAAAGGTGAAAACGATCTCTCTCCCCCACTGTAGACAACTCTCGATTACCTTCAAATTCCAAGATGCTTGTTTCTTTGTTACCTTTGCATTTTGAGAGAACATTTGAGGTGGACAATTTTCTTTGGGGCTTTGTACCCCTTAAATCAAACATAGTTACTCTTCTTGAGCTATTTGGGAAGTCATCTGCAGTTTTCAAGAAAGTAGGTGAAACCAATGATAGACGTCGGTTCGTCGTCCACGCGATATGTCCTTCTTTGCTACATTGAAAGTGACTCAGCGAGCTTTTTCGTCTCTGCTCGGGCCCATGGTGCTTGAACGATTCTTCAAGATCAGAAAATATCTCGTCTTGTTTAAGTTCCGTGAAGGTTCCCTCATTGATGATTGAGCCATTTTTCATCACAGCGATGTGATCCAGACCTTTCAAATGTTGCAGCTGGTGAGTGACTAATAAACGTATGCTGCCAGACAAATGATTACAAATACAGCCCTCGAAAAGTTTCCTTCCCACTTTAGTATCCACTGCACTTAATGGATCATCAAGTAAGTAAATATCGGCATCTGAATAAACTGCCCGTGCTAATCCCACCCGCGCTTTCTGACCACCACTGAGGGTTGCTCCTCGCTCTCCGATCTCTGTGAGATCACCATGGACGAGATCCGTAAAATCTTTGGTCAAACCGCATACATCTACAACATGTTGAAACTTCTGCTCGTCAAATGGAAGTCCAAACAAAATGTTCTCTCTTATGGTTCCAGAGAATACCCAAGGTACTTGAGGAGCATAGGCTATCTTGCCTTGATAAGAAATCTTTCCCTCGTGAAGAGGTAGTTCTCCAAGGACAGCTTGTAACAGGGTGGACTTTCCACTTCCAACTTCACCTATTATAGCGAGGATTTTGCTACTTATGATGTCTAAAGTAATGCCAGTTAAGGTATTGAGTAGATCCTTTTGGTTCCAAGAGCAAGAAACATCAGTGATTGAGAGGCACGGCTTTTTAAAGTGAGAGGCATTTCCTTGATGTTCTCCAACAGTTCCATGAGTAGTTAGCCAATCCGGTCTATCCCGGGGCAAGTAAGGTGTGTCATCAAAGGGGACTTCTGTAGTGCTTATGGTTGGGGAGTTGTGAGTGCTTGTTTGGTGTGAGTTGCCTGAGGAGCTCTTTCGTCTCTTGTAGCTAGTTAACTTGACAGACAGATTACTTTTCGAGCTCTCAGGGCGCTCGTCCTCGAAGTTCATGTGGTCTGTCGAGAGCCCGTTATTCTTTTGATCTTGGGTTCCCCCAGGGTGAGTATCACTTTCCTGGAGAGTGAAGATAGGATTTACTAATCCATATTTTCTAACTCTTTCCTTTGTCAAAAGCCAATCATCGTTTTCTCGGGATCCTTCAGGTTTCGCAACATATTTAGATATCTGTTCTTCAAGAAACATCTGAATTCTATTCAGTGCGACTACAGCATCTGCGACCATTTGCATAGACATACTCAAATTGTAGCAAAATGTCGCCCTGATTGTTGTTAAGCCCAAAAGCAGAGTAAATACCGTAAATGCAGATAACTGTGTCCCCGTAAACGCCAATGTTACTACCGAGATGAGAGAGGCGATCGGAAGTGTTGTGAAGTACAAAACGACTAAGATGGCGACTATGACACCTTTTAAGCGTATAATGGACATCTCCTTTCTGCGAAAAAACAAAACAAAACTAAACGATAACTTCCTGTGACGAAAGACTCATCGACCTCTTCAGACTAGCACATTACTACTCCTGGCTTCAAACCATTTACCCTTTCTAACATATTTACACGTATTTTTTTTTCTTTTTACCTGCGAAGGTCATGCACAAGATCTCTAAAATTCCACTCCCAGGCATACATCTTTACTGCACGTATTCCAGAGATAATTTCATTCATTACCATCAGCCGCTCGTCTGTGAAAGAAGGCTGGCAGCTTTTTTTCAATAAAACTTAGGCTGGACAGAAAAACATTTTCCCAACCGACCAATACCAAAGATCAGAAACGCCACGAGACAGATAACACCATGCCCAAAACATACCAGCACTAGATTTATGGTGTTTCCAGATGCTGTATTTATTAGGCTGTAACGATCCAATGAAACAACCAACAAATTCGACCATTGGGGTGGGATCCATCAAGCGGAAAGAAAATAAAATCCTTCGATATCAGAATACGAAATATATTGCATTGTGAAATCACTGAGTTTCGATCGGACCAGTGAGAGCTTCCCAACCGACCAGGTACCATAAGATCAGAATACTGATCACCAGCTGTAACGGAGCAGATAACACCATGCCCAATTGGTTCAGAGACTTCTCTATTTTCTGTGCGTCATTTGATACCAGATTTATAGTGTTTCCAGATGTTATATTTACGAGGCTAAAACGATCCAATGAAACAACCTGAAAAGAGTGGGGTTCACGTTCTGATTATAGACAAAAAGGACATTAGGATCTGTGGGATCGAGGCGTTTCAAGCGGAATTTCAGCAAATGAAATCTTTCGGTGTACGTACGAAATCATGCATTGTAGCTTTGCTAGCAATATTACTCAGAATATTAAGTCATTTTCTGAGTTTCGATCGGACTTTCCATGTCACTACTTTGCTCGCTCCTTCCATCAGTTTCTGTTAACTCGTAAGAAAGATTTAAAATTGACACATTGACTGTGATTAATAACATAAATGGTCGTAGCCTTATAGACTCAGAAATTCAGCAGTAAATCGAAATTATCCATAATGCATGCGGTGGCTTTGTCACGTGTTCAGTTGTGCGGGTAAATCATCTCATAGCATGTCGAGGAATAAATTGAATATTATAGCTGTTTTCTCACTTTTCATGCGGTTATGTGCTGATGTTAGATAGCTACTGTTGGTGTTACCGTATTCAGAGATTCTAAATGTCCCACAGAAAAAAAAAAGTCAGAAATCCAGCTCATCCCAAGAAATGCCAACTCTCCTAGTTGGTTACAGCTACTCCATTATTTGATTAAACAATAAACTACCTTACCTTTTTGTAAACAAGTCCTATTAACGCCACTTTTAATTTCAGTCCCCACAGCTCTGTAAGGTAGTCATAGTGTTGTGTTGTGACAGCTTGTACCACACTCATTGCACCTAAGAGTACCACGTAAGAAAACGCGAACTTCGTGTTTAGTTCTGATCCATCGTTTAAAACTTTTAACAAAAGCCACAGACATAATGGCAGCAGGGAAAAGCTCAGAGACCTGAGAACTTGCAAAGTTAGCATTGTCATAGCTGATCTCCTAGGAATAATGGCAACCAATGCCTTCCATAGGCGTGGTTTCTTGTTTCTTAATTGCCTTTCCTCTAATTCTCTGAGCCAATTCTTTTCCGCTTTTCCTACGAGAAGTTCAGTTCTTTGGTCTTCAAGTAGAGGGAGCAGATCTTGATCACTGAGCGACCTCTTATTTCCCAGTTTCAACACGTCATTCATCCAAAAAAAAAACAGAACGGATAGAACACCCGCTCCCGCTCTTGGATTTGTGCTGTTTGCAGTGTCGACCATTTTCCTTGTTGATTGGAGAAAGAATCAAATCTACGTCATGATACATATCATTGGGATCATTTGAAGATTATCCTTTAAATAGGTTAGCTGATAACACGAATACTTCGATAACAATTTATAATTAAGTTCGGATACAACGCGTGCTGTCATTGGTTTAAAGAACGTCCTCTATGAGAGTTCATATGATAAGCTCAGTTATACATGCATTCTGATTGGTTCTCACTTATGATCTATTGGAGGACAGACGTATAGATGACGTCATCATTAAAACTCTTTTTCCGTATATTTTAATTCTTTATTATATAAAACAAATAGATTCCAAGTTGCCGTGCGTCTGTTCAGTAAGAGATCACAGAGGACGTCAAAATGTGGTAAGAACATCAGTGACACACTCGGCTACGCCTTGTGTGCCACTTTTTTGTGCCTACCACATTTTGACGTCATCTGTGGATCTATTACTGAACAGACGCACGGCAACTTGGAATCTATCTGTTAAATAGAGCATAGAACTGAGCTAAAGCTGTCACGCCATCTGCCAAATTGTACCATATTCGACCTTTTCCAGGACTTCTTTCTAGAGCACAGTGAAGGCTTCTCTATTTGTTAAATAATTACCACAAAGCGCTTCAACTTCTTAATGAGCAATAAAAGAAACAAAATCATAAGCGATGATAATAGTAATGAAAGCGATAATGATAATGTTTATGCAGCATAAAGCCGTCAATGTAAGAAGCTCTGGTATTAAAGGAGGTCCTGTTACTAGAGCACATAAGTAAAAATACAAAAGGTCGAAGAGGTTAAAATTCATTAAGAATTGTCACACAGCAACATCTACATATAAATTTATCATCTAATTAAGGAAAAAGTCTTTAGTCTCCTTGAGAATTCAGTGAACGATTCCTCTGATTTAATATGGCAAGGAAGACCGTTAAATTCCACCGCATCAGTAAAATAAAAAGATCTTATGGCAAACTCTTGGTTGACTTTCGGAATACGAATGTCATTACAGCGTCTAGTCAAAACTGTGTGTACAGAAGCATTAAAATAAAAACAGTCATTTTTCGATAAGATGGTACTAAACCATCTAGGCATTTCCTGGTTAACAAGACGATGTGAAGTCTACGCTTATTAATCAAGGGCACTAGACCCAAAGTAGCATTCAGTGCAGCTCTATCGCTTGTCTTATGATGTAGCTATCACTTTATCGCCTGTCTCATGATGTACTTAACCTTATCGTTTTATCGCATGTCTTATGATGTAGTAAAATTCAATGTGGGTTACGACGTTCCGATTGCTTACCTTTAGTCACCTTTAAACGAAAAAGAAGCAAAGTAACAGCATACATTCAAAATGCGACTATTCAAGTCGGAAGGGAATTCACGTAAGACAGGCAAGAACTATTCGCTGCCGCTATATTCACGACTAACAACCAGAACCTTCTTTACGACATCATGTAATTAAAGAACTCTATCTATTTGTTGCTTCTCGAAATCTATTCTGAGCGGTTTGGTGGATTGCACTGGCACCTACGGGCGAAATCCATTTCTACTTACCACTTTCTTCAGAGAGCTCTAAAATCCAGAAAAAATATGAACTTGTTCTTTGCTTTCACTCGTTTGCATCAGATTTTTGGAATCATTAGAAAGTATTTCCTTTTGTAAGTTTTGTATTGTCTCGTATGCAAATATCTGGTACTCTGAAATAATATCAAACTGAGGATAAAGTTCACTGATTCAGTTACTAAACACAAGCGTGAGGAAGATATATTGTTAAGAGCCTCTTCATTTGAAAAACATGACATGATGCGCATAGAATTAATCTATGTAGAACTCTTTTTCTTTTTCTCAAGATTTTGCGCGATATTGCTTCTTTCGTGCATGAAACGTAAGTGATTACCTTTGTCTTCCCACTGTCTAGAGCATCAAAACTTGAATGATCTTATCAACGATTATTTTCAACTACTCGAGACAAGCAATTATGCTTTTATCAAAAACAGACTTGTTTTCTACTTCAGTACAACAGGCTTGGCAGCGGGTAGGCGGAGCGAGGCACGTTTTCGAGTTGTGGTTGGCTAAAAATAAGCAATTAAGGTTTTGTGGGGGAACAATTGCAGACAAGTCAGTTTGTTGACTGTTCACACGAAAAAAGATGCACCGACGCGAAAAACTTCCAGAAACACTAATTGTGCTAGCACGAGGGTTTTACTTTATTTTTACTTATCTCGTGTAAAAATTCCATAGAAGTATGCAGAAGGTTTCTCACTGCGATGTACGCACTGTTTGCTCTTCGTTGTTCGCTTAGAAGAGAGTAAAATAAAGTTTCCCACCACAAGCGAGAGAATCTTTAGTATCACCAGTTTTTATTCGAGTTATAATCATATTGTATTTATTCATGTTTCAATGCACTGCAGACACTGCAAACGGAACGCTGAGAGACGTGGTTGAAGCACACAGTGTTGCCTTGGGGCAAACAATAACTCAACCAAATTTCCGAATTTTCAATCTACACTAGCATTTGTTCGCGAATTTCGAAGAAGTGAGGAGGTAGTTCCGTCGCTTTGGGTCGTTCTCGTGATTCAAGCTGTTTCTGAACTTCCTGTGGCTCAATTTCACGGAATGACTTGTGAAATGAACTCTTGTTTCTGGGAAACCATACAGTGAAAGTATACTTATCCATTTTCTTTTACAGTGTACTTTATTGGAGTGATTGTCAGCCAATTTAATCATTTTTTTCTTACTCGATTTAGGGAAAGTGCGCTTTTTATTGGAAGGGGTGGGTGAGCCGGGGCTTCGGAGGGGAGGGTCATTAGTAAGTTTTTTACAAATTGGGGAGGGTCAAACCTGTTTTATTCGCAACCGGGGGAGGGTCACAATTTTTTTTGGCAAGGAAAAAATTACTCCATATCGCCTAGTTGATTTTTATTTGTAAGCAAACACGCGAAGTGTATAGAAACCTAAAACTTGTATACACAAGCAAAGCTACCTGTCAAGATTAATCTAGATCATTCAGGTGTCGAAATGTTATATCAAAACGCTATCTTCTCCCAACTAACGTAGTCGTCACTCTCGACCCATGCCCGCTTTCGTCCATATTTTGACGGGAGTAATGTTTCCGCACGAGGTTCTGGTAACCAGCCCAGGTCTTCATCTTTCTACTTCTCTGGACTTACACTTAACTTGTTCTCGCACTTGATGTACCACCAACAGAGTCAGAGGAGTAGCGAGCATCTTTTTAGAATGGCGAGTCGGCAAACAGCCACGATAGCCACAAGTTGCTCCATCTGACCTCGTGAAATCCTCGCAGTCACCACAAGCGCATTTCCCTCTTTCTATTCCTCGTACATCCTTGCCCATTTTCAAGTTTTCACCGTGAAATCACACGCCACGCAATTAACTGCTTTGCGCAGACGCAGTTATGTGAGTGTGAATAACACTTCCGGTGAGTTATTTTCACTTCCGGTTATTTTTGTCTTCGAGGAGGTGGGGGGAGGGTCAGATGTTTTTGTGTAAGTATTTGTGAAGGGTCATGCATTAATCCATTCTGGGAAGTGGGAAGGCCACGAATTTTTTCACAAAAAGTGAAAAACGTACCTTCCCTTATTTGAACAAAGTCTGATAGGACTGCGGGTTTGGAGGTCCATAGCCTTCGATATTTACGTATAGAAAGGAGTTGCTCAAAATTAATAAAATAAACATACCCAAAGGCCTTCATGAGACTCTTCCCAAAAATTAGCATTCAGATCAAATGACTTGCTAAATTCCGGATGGCTTAAAACACTGTTTGTCGTATATTGTTGTTTAACTGGTCAAAGGGGTCTGAAATATATGTAGACTGAAAGAGCTGTACGTTTTCAACTCAGATGACGCTCATGTAAATTCCATATCAAACTCATTGCACTCCTTTTGGAGAAAGTTTTGGGTGTCAGAGACGACATAGCGATAAAAACCAAACACTTCGACTGAAATTAAATATAAGATATAGAGTATTCTACATAATATTATTTTTCAAAAACATCAAATGATCCTCTCCGTAGGCAAAAAACCAACCGATTTTATGCAATTGTTTCATCAGAGTTTAATTACAAAGGAAACTGTATCGAAAAGACTTTCGCATTTAATGGGGCATCAACGGGGTAGCTTTGAAATGTTTTTTAGCAAGCTTAGCACATCTGCAGTCGTGCTAGGAGATTATGGCGAACTGAACTAGAAAAAGTTGGATTTTTATGTTTCTACATCGAAATATTTATGAACATAATATGTCAAAAAGTAATTACCTGGGAGTAGACGAGCATATTGTAATCACTTCTAAAACCACCCCTCCCAAAAAGATGTTATTTTAGTGCATGAACCAGGAACGAAGAGCTTATCGTGTATTAGTACCATAAAGGGTTCATCCAAATAGTCATATTTCGATTTTAATCGAGGGTCGAAAATACTGACCAAATTTCTAGTTCGTCTTTAAAAAAAGAACCGAATAGTTGATCAACATGCACCTCCTACAGCATTTATCTTAATAGACTTTACTTATTTTCAGTTAAACACTCGTCTTCCATTCATCATAGTTTCCTATTCCCCTGACACTTAGAGAGGCCACTATTAAATTCATAACGGTGTTAACACGTGAAGTGAATAAAATTTGAAGTGAATGATTTGCATTTTCATGATAAATTTGACTCGATAGTTGACAAAAAGCCTCCAATCAAACATAAATGGAATCGCTTTCGAATTCTACGATTAAAAACAGAGAAACAAATGCACACAAAGTCTGAAGAATATTTAAATAGCAGCGCTCATGGCATGAAATGGCGTGATACACAGCGTTGATTAAGGCTAAGGAGAACCAATACCGAAATCTAAGGCTGTCCGCTGTCTTTGATAGCATAAATAGAGGTGAGTGACAAAGTCAAGAATGAAAGTCTAACTGAAAAAGCCAATTACAAACCAAGAAGCCACGTTTGTGGAGAGCAGCGATCGCCTTAATTCCTTGGAAATCAGTCATAAAAAAGTTAATTTTACAAATGCTGACGTCTTTGAGTTATGTCCTGCTGCCCCTGAGTCTGCGGTTCGTGCTGAAAGCCCTTAGTGATGGGTCAGAACTAGACACGAATGTTGCGTTCATCAGCGTGGCACTCTTAGGGGCTATGAGTGTGGTCCCAGCTTTAGCGACACAGCAGTATGACCACCTTACGGAGCTGTGGGGCTTGAAGCTGAAAGTGGCATTGATAGGACTCCTTTACAATAAGGTGAGACCGTTTCCTTGGTGAGGATAGACCACACTTAATTTTGATAGACCTATCTTCGGTAATGTTTTCCACTCTAAACTATGAGAGCTTCTGCTCGGTCTTGGTCTGCTTTTCTCACCTTGAAAGCAAATGGGGAGGTATGCGTTTTAGGCCTGCCTGAGGCTCCTTACACTTTTACTGTATGTCGTCCATGGTTTCTACTCCACTGTGATCTTTACTTGCGACTATTAGAGATGGGCGGGCAAGCAGATCTCAGTAGAAGATTCACTCATTGATAATCTAACGGGCAGTCCACCGCAGGCAATCACAGATGAGAAACATTACTCCTCTCTAAGAAAATATTGGGAAGATTTTAGCGAATGTGGAGTAATGTGCTGTAGAATGATGTTTTGGAGAGATTTGTATTATTTACTGCTTCGCTGAATACGTTGTTTCGCTTCGATCTCCCCACGTTGAAACTTAAGGTTAGCCTGGTGCGCCTCCTATATACTTATTTCACTATGTGTGAAAAGCATCAATTCATAATTTTTTTTTTCTAGATTCTGTCAATGAATCGTTACTTCCTGGAAAATACAGTATCTGGAAACACCATAAATCAAACGCATAATACCTGTAGCTGTGATCTTTTATTGTTACTATCGCTGTATTGACAATGTCATTTAAAAGCCAGGACAAAATTCCAACTTCTAGCTCTAATCAATCAGCTTGCTAACTTACTAAAATGCAATTCAGTTTGCCTGGAGGCCCAAAGTGTAAAATTCAAAGGATTAATTTCCCTTTGAATATTATCTTAGTGGATAGAGTCAAAGAAGATTGACCCACTTTGGCAGAGCTGCAAGACTTGGCACAGAAGCTTGACAAGTGGAACCCTCTAAGGCGTCATTTGCTTCACATGGATGAGTCCAAGATTGAACATATTAAGAAAAATTCAGGCCTATACGGGATTTGAACCCATGACCTCTGATACTGGTGCAGCTCAAATACATGATATATATTCACAGTCGTTTATTCACCACTTCACGGGTTTATTTGGAACCAACATAATGTCCAGCTCCCAGTGGGCTTGTTAGCTCAGTTGTAAAGCACTGTATCGGTATCGCAGAGGTCATGGGTTCAAATCCCGTACAGGCCTGAATTTTTTTCAGGCCTTATTTTCACTACTTCTCAAGTAGTGTTTCTCCGCAGTTCTTTCATATATTCGCAGTCGTTTAACAGTTTTGTTGTTTTCTTAAACCTAGGAAAAAACGTGCTAAAAAAGCCCGAATGATTTTGGGTTGTAGTTGTGACAGGATTATTCACAAACTGAATAATCCACGAGCCAGTAGATAAAGTAGATAAAAAACTTAATGGATGTTAAGATATATAATTATCAAACACATTTCTTAGCGAAATGATAAAAGGCTTTAAACTGAATTTGAGACATTTATCCCAACAATCAGGGTGGAAACCAAACTAAGATTGAAAGATTCTTGCAACGACGTCTTAAAAAGTAGAGAGATCATCAAACGGAAAGTATTGTCCTCTTCCATCGAGGATTAATCTACGAGGTTCATCTCCGTACAGTTTTAATCCAATTATCAAGGAAAGTCACTGTCATTGATTTAAAATGACTGGTTTTAAGCCGTGATAGTGTTATACTACAGCCATTTCTCATCTGGCTTGATGACTTAGTTGGCTACAGCGCCTTTCAGGTTTTTCAGGACTGTCATGGACTCGAGGCTCGTGTTAAGTAGGTTTTATTGTCTCAACTACTCTAATCATAATTTCTAACTACGAAACCAGACAAAAGGAATCAGTTTTTAGTTTTCCTGCTCTGGGTCTGGCTCTTCACCATTTCAGCGAATGTTCCACCGTTTCTCATCAACATTTCGGGTTCATCAAACTCCACTACTCGTCCACCATCGAGAACCAGAACCTTGTCATAGTCCATGATGGTGTTGAGACGATGAGCAATGGTAAGCACCGTGGAGTCTTTAAACTTGTGACGAATAACCTGCTGGATCTGACGGTCAGTCTTGAAATCCACATTGGCAGTGGCTTCATCCATGACAATGATCTTGCTCTTCTGGACCAGAGCTCGAGCCAAACAGATCAGCTGCCTCTCACCAACGCTGAAGTTTGCTCCGGATTCTTTCAGTTTGAATTGGAGCTGATCTGGGAGATCCTCTACAAGAGCCTTCAACTGCACTTCTTCCAACGCCATCCAGAGCTCTGCATCTGTGTGATCCATGAATGGATCCAAGTTCTTTCTCAATGTTCCAGCAAAGAGCACTGGATCTTGCGTTATAACGACCATGGACCTCCGAGCCTCCTGTAGATTGATAGATGTAAGGTCAACACCATCGATGAACACCTGCGCAGATGAAATATGAATTATGGATTTAAGAAAATTTTTAGTTCACCTTATGTCTACCTGCAGGTATAAATTTAGTGGTGATAAAATCCAGGTCGTGAAAGGCCAGGGTACCAATCGTTTCACAAACTTAATATATAACTGAGACATTTTTGTCACAAGGAGCCTAAGCCTTGCTGCTTTCTTCCCAAATTTAAACCAATGTGACTTGAATATAGCGAATAAAGCTAACTTGCATCATTTCATACTATTACCTTCCCTGAGGGTTCTGGCATACGGAACAAAGCAGACACCAGAGATGACTTTCCAGCGCCAGTTCGACCCACAACTCCAATCTTTTCTCTCTCATAAGTGTTAAAGGTGATGTCCTTTAATACACAAGGTCCGCCTTCATAGTAAGCTAAAGAAAGTTGCTTTATTTTCAGGCTTCCTTTGTCGGGCCATGACTGAGGGGGGCGGGTTTCAATGCTGTAACCGGGCTCAGAGCCAATCTTTGCATATGACATCACTCGCTCAACTGATGTCATCAGATTTTCTACTTCTGAGGTCAGACGTACAGAATATTGTGTGAGATCCAGAGATTGCAGTACGTACGTTAAAGCGAGTCCAGCCAGTACTGAAAGAAAAAAGTCTCCAAAATAAACTGCGATATTGCAGTTGGCTGGTTTGGGACTGCTGGGATTGATATTTGAGGGAGGCAAGAAGGAGGGCATGGTTTTAACAATTAAGAATTCCTAGCCAAGCAAGCTTTTTGTGGCATTATAGTATACCCAAGGAGAGATAAACCAGCCAAATGAAATTCCAAGCACTTTATCGTTCTGTACACACCTCTTAAAAGTGAGTTAAAAGAGTTAAGTGAGGCGGAGAAAAAAATTGTAACAAGAACGTATCCCGCATTGTTTCAGCAAATGCTTGCGTGTACTCACCAGGATTTTCTACGACCAAAATAGCAGTTAATGCGACAATCGTGACAAACAAACTGCACATCAGATCCAAGCGAATACTCAACCAGCGGGTGCATGATATCACCATAATGAAAGCTTGTGTGTTCTCGTCCTGATACCTTCATGAGAAAGAATTGATCCAAATTGTTCATGGAAGAAATGAATATAGCTAACAAGGCCAATTTTTCTTGGTCTGAACACAGTGAATGAATTCTGATAAAAAAGGGGAACAGGTAACGAAAGAAGAAAAAACAACTTCCATTGAGCGAACTACTTGGAAATAACCTCTGCTATTTCAAAAAATTTAAATTAAACTCAAATCTCTTAAGCAATAACAAACACTTGAAAGGCCAGAAATTTGACAAACTATGCTGAACCTTGTCAAACTGTGCTGAACCTTTGCGTTATAAACAGATGTCACCGAGAAAAGATAGTAACAATTCTTATCATTTTCCTATCTTGCTGCTCAAAGTTTACCACAAGGGTAAAATCTTTTTTTTAAAAAAAAGGAAGAGTTGAAGACAATAACTTGCAGTCGAGCTTCAAACTGTTGACAGCAGTTCTCGTGAGCTAACCTGTAAAACTTTTCTATAAAGGCGTCGTCCATATTTGAAGTGTGAATTATTTCAAGTCCATTTAAGGTGTCTGTGATATGTGAGTATACAGGGCTGCACTTGATTGCCTCGATCCTTTTCAGTCCTCGTGAAGACTTCAATTGATAACGCGCATAATAGCCAAATATCGCAATGATTGGAAGTAGGGCCAAGAAAAGCCAGTAGTTTGTTGCTACAGGAACCAAAACAGCACATAGCGAGAATAAGGAAAACTTGATGGCTTCCAAGAACAGAGGCGGTAAAACGTCGTCCATGCAGCCAATATCTCTGGAGAATCGATTGAGGATACGACCAGCTGGGTTTGTGTCGAAAAAAAACACAGGAGCCTTGATTGTCGCTATGGTCATTTTCTTGTGCAGGGTTTCGGACGCTTTTAGGAGAATGTAATAAAACAATAAAGACGATGCTGTCAAGATAATGATTGACACAGCAACCAGAATGGCGTAAATAACATGGGTGTCCACGGCTTTCTGCTTTTCATTTGACATCTCAGCAATTTTAGCCAACCACCAGTTTGGAACTATTAGGGAAACTGAAACATTTCAAGTATTAGAAAAGAAGTCTTAATCCTGATCTGATGAAAAGAAGGCGTTAGGTACAAAATCAAGACCCTACTTAACAAATAGAGAAGCCTTGACTGTGCTCTGTTCTGTTATAAAGCACGCAGGAAGCGGCTACAGCACGAAAGAAGTGTAGGGAGAAACACGAGACGTAGTCGAGAGCACAGTCAAGGCTTCTCTATTTGTTTTATAATAAAGAATCTGTTAAATTCCCCAAGCATTACTTTCAATTTTCAAAACAAACTTTATTTCCAAAGCGAACAACAATGTCGTCAGCATACTCTATACTCTCATAAAGCACGCTACAATAAGCCAATCAGAATCCCTGTTAGAATGGTTCAAATAGTCTGATTGGCTTTACAAGACTAAAGCTGTCAAAAGTGTCAAACCATCAAAGTTCACATTCTACGATAGTTTACCAACTAAAATAGTTCGGCAAGTCGAATTTAACACTTTTGCCTGAAGTTTTTAAGTCTCTAATACAGAATCTTGAAGTTAAATGTTCAGTGAACTTCAGCCGAATTATGGCTCATAAAAACACGCGAGTTTTTTCACATGACAAGGTAGAAAACAAACTGTTCAAGGCGAGTGTTTTTTGTATGAACGACAGCCGAATTCACCGGAACATGAAGATCGCACGTGATGACAGCGCCGCAAAACTCAGCTGCAGTGACTAATGTGAATTGCCACTCAACGTATCGGAAAAGATATCAGAGCAAGCTCTTATTTTTTGCTCGAAAGGCGGCAGATGTAGTTTCTGAGGCTTGCTTTACTGTGATGACCGGAGATCGCCATGATGAGCGAGCCGCGATGAACTTAGCATGATCATATTCGCTCAGACACCGTCATGATTAGTATGAATTTTAACAATTATGCCAGTTTGGTTATATTTTTCATCATTTCTGTTTTGTTCTGTTTTGTTTTTGAACACTGAACTTTATATACTATACGAGTGTTAGCTGTGTTTGATTTTTATTACCGTACGTAAGCTTGCAATCTAACTGAGCGTGAAAATCTTTAAAACTCGGAATGTTTATTTTGTTTTTCCTTTGAGGATGGCACCTGGTATATTTACAAACCTTTGTTTGATTCTTCTGTTGCCACTTGCCGGCTCGCTTCAGTTCCGAAATTTCACTTTCAATTATCGGAAAGAAGCTCAAAAGAAGTCCCGGAAAAGCTCGAACATAGTACAATTGGTAGATGGCGTGACAGCTGTAGCTCAGTTCTATGCTCTATACTCTCATAGAGAACGCTCTTTCAACCAATGACAGCGCGCGTTATATCCGAACTTTATTATAAAAATCCTTAAGGTAAATTAAATGTATTTTAATATTCTCCTACAGTTATTTGAACGATAATTAATAGCCAAAGACGATGCCATTGAAGAAAGGATCTTAACATCAGTGCGGAACTCAACGCTTCTGCCAAAAAAAGCTGTCGTAAGTTGAATTAACAATAAAAGGGATCTTTTCCCTTAAAGGTCGTGAATGAACCTCTTGCTGGTTTTCACTTCCTTGTCATATTTTTAAGTTCAAGATCAAAAAACCTCTAATGGTAAGATTGCCTTTACCATGCTAAGAAATGAGAAAGCCCCTAACATGCTAAGGAACCTCGAACGTGCGATACGTTTACACATGTGCGCGTGCGCATGCGCATGTTATTCATGAACTTTGTTACCAAAATGTAGACATGCTGTATTAAAAATCATTCCGTAACCTCCAAGAACTCGGTTGTTGATTTTGAAGATAGATGTTGGCTGAACGCAGGATTTTCTTTCGTAAAAATAAGATATTTTTTCCTTTTTTGAAAATTGCCTGTTTGTGATGATAGAAAAAAGAATTCATGCGGGCCTCTGAAAACTGAAATGAAAACTGTCGTTACCTTGTGCTGCTATCAAGGAAACTGCAAGAACCAAGATCATGGGTAGTGGTAGACCCTCCTTGAAATATTTACAATAAAGTCGCCAGGTGACAGTGCCAGACATCAAATTTTCTTCGTCTTCTTTTATACCAGCAACGGGTTGTTCCGGAGCACTGGGCACTGGTTCCATTTTTGAAAGGAGAAAACGATCTCTCTCCTCCGCTGTAGACAACTCTTGATTACCTTCAAATTCCAAGATGCTTGTTTCTTTGTTACCTTTGCATTTTGCGAGAAAATTTGAGTTGGACAACTTTCTTTGGGGCTTTTTACCTCTTAACTCAAACATAGTTACACTTCTTGAAATCTTTGGGCAGTCATCTGTAGTTTTCAAGACAGTAGGTGAAACAAATGATCGACGTCGGCTCGTCATCCTAGTGAAATGTCCTTCCTTGCTAAATTGGAAGTGACTCAGCGAGCTTTTCCGTCTCTGTTCATGCACATGGTGCTTGAACAATTCCTCGAGATCAGAAAATGTCCCGTCTTGTCTAAGTTCCGTGAAGGTTCCCTCATTGATGATTGAGCCATTCTTCATTACAGCGATGTGATCCAGACCTTTCAAATGTTGCAGCTGGTGAGTGACTAATAAACGTATGCTGCCAGACAAATGATTACAAATACAACCCTCGAACAGTTTCTTTCCTACTTTAGTATCCACTGCACTTAATGGATCATCAAGTAAGTAAATATCGGCATCTGAATAAACTGCTCGTGCTAATCCCACCCGCGCTTTCTGACCACCACTGAGGGTTGCTCCTCGCTCTCCGATCTCTGTGAGATCGCCATGGACGAGATCCGTAAAATCTTTGGTCAAACCGCATATATCTACAACATGTTGAAACTTCTGCTCGTCAAATGGAAGCCCAAACAAAATGTTCTCTCTTATGGTTCCAGAGAATACCCAAGGTACTTGAGGAGCATAGGCTATCTTGCCTTGATAAGAAATCTTTCCCTCGTGAAGAGGTAGTTCTCCAAGGACGGCTCGTAACAGGGTTGACTTTCCACTTCCAACTTCACCTATTATAGCGAGGATTTTGCTACTTATGATGTCTAAAGTAATGCCAGTTAAGGTATTGGGTAGATCCTTTTGGTTCCAAGAGCAAGAAACATTAGTGATTGAGAGGCACAGCTTTTTAAAGTGAGAGGCATTTCCTTGATGTTCTTCAATAGATCCATGAGTAGTTAGCCAAACCGGTCTATCCTGGGGCAAGTAAGGTGTGTCATCCAAGGGGACCGTTGAAGTACTTATGGCTGGGGAGTTTTGAATGCTTGCTTGATGTGGTTTGCCTGAGGAGTTTTTCCGCCTCTTGTAGTTAGTTAACTTGACGAACACATTACTTTTCGAGCTCTCAGGGTTCTCGTCCTCAAAGTTTATGTGGTCTGTTGAGAGCTCGCCATTATTTTGATGTTGAGTTCCCCTAGCGTGATTATCACTTTCCTTGACAGAGAAGATAGGATTTACCAACCCATATTCTTTCACTCTTAGCTTTGTCAAGAGCCGATCATCGTTTTCTCGGGATCCTTCAGGTTTAGCCACATAGTTAGATATCTGTTTTTCAAGAAACTTCTGAATTCTATTTAGTGCTGCTACTGCATCTGCGACCATTTGCATAGACATACTCAAATTGTAGCAAAATGTCGCCCTGATTGTTGTTAAGCCCAAAAGCAGAGTAAATACCGTAAATGCAGATAACTGTGTCCCCGTAAACGCCAATGTTACTACCGAGATGAGAGAGGCGATCGGAAGTGTTGTGAAGTACAAAACGACTAAGATGGCAACTATGACACCTTTTAAGCGTATAACGGACATCTCCTTTCTGCGAAAAAACAAAACAAAACTAAACGATAACTTCCTGTGACGAAAGACTCATCGACCTCTTCAGACTAGCACATTACTACTCCTGGCTTCAAACCATTTACCCTTTCTAACATATTTACACGTATTTTTTTTTCTTTTTACCTGCGAAGGTCATGCACAAGATCTCTAAAATTCCACTCCCAGGCATACATCTTTACTGCACGTATTCCAGAGATAATTTCATTCATTACCATCAGCCGCTCGTCTGTGAAAGAAGCTGCTTTCTCGCTTAGGCTGGCAGCTTTTTTCGCCAATAAAACTTGAAACGCCACGAGACAGAAAAACATACCAGCACCAGTGAGAGCTTCCCAACCGACCAGGTACCATAAGATCAGAATACTGATCACGAGCTCTATTGGAGCAGATAACACCATGCCCATTTGGTTCAGAGACTTCTCTATTTTCTGTGCGTCATTTGATACTAGATTTATGGTGTTTCCAGATGCTGTATTTATTAGGCTGTAACGATCCAATGAAACAACCTGAAAAGAACGGGTTCAAATTCTGTTTATAGGCAAAAAGGACATTGGGATCGTGGGATCGAGGTGCTTCAAGCGGAATTTCAGAAAATAAAATCCTTCGATATACGTAGTGATACGAAATATTGCATTGTAACGTTGTTTCCAATATTACTCAGGAAATGACGCCATTTTCTGAGTTTCGATCGGACTTTGAATGTTACTACTTCACTCGCTCCTTCCATCAGTTTCTGGTAACTCGTAGGTAAGTCCGCTGACTAGCGCATCAAGGCTTTTTATAGTCGCAGCTTTTTTTATGTATGTGTGTGTCTTTTTTATAACTTTAGTTCTCACTGGTCAATTAGTTGAATGGAACTTTAGAAGTGGGCGGCTGTACACGATACTACACACGCTTAAATCTTCTTCAAATTCATGTGCTGCGATTCAAATCTGTCTTGATCTTCCTATGTCACGTTTCGACTCACAATCGCTCGAGAATATTTGGACTGCAGCCACAGGCAGATCACACTGTGCTTTTGTAGTTGATAATTGTTGACATGAGACGAACAAAATCTACGAGGGTTATGAATGAAGCCCTGATAATTACATATCTAAATGACATCTCGGTCTGAATATCTCAATAAAGTTAAATGAAATGTTAATCGACGCATTTGACTCATTTTAGCCTTCATTAGTCGTTGAAATCTTTTTTTTACGAAATTACTTTTAACCGGAGGCCGTTAAGAGAAGAAAGTGGCCGCCAACTACAACCTTCTTCCCTCCAAACTGCAATTAATGCCGAACTGCTGGAAATCTCTTCGACGGCTGTTGATCAGTTGTTGATGCTCTATGTCTTCGCCTAATTTGAGCTTCATTCCTCTAACGTTTTCTGAAAAATCGATCCTGAAATAATGAGAACAGCTTTCTCAATATGATCGGTGCTGCACTGTATAGTAAATTTGAAACGGTCTGCGAGCTTAGAATTCCTATGGTCGCTTAGTTTGGTCTTCCTGTGTTCCAACGCGATGGTCGTATGTTTACTGAGGTTTCTCCCGCGTACATCTGATAACAAACTTTATCAGTTTTCTACCTCGGTAGGATATACCTCAGAATGCAATTTATGTGAACACAAGTGTGTTTGACTGATAGCAATTTAAGGTATTAGGAAATTAATAATTTACATGGAAAAATTACTCAGTTCTGATTGGGTAAGATAAATGCACTTTTCAGTTAATTCAGTGCAGAAGAGAGTTAATTCAGTGCAGAAGAGGGTTAATTCTGATTGGTCAATAATCAAAGAAATTCACAGATAGCCAATCGAATGCGAGCCTTGGATGTCGCAAGAAAATTTGCGAGCGAAACAATGGCCGGCGTTTTAAGTAGGGTTTCTTTCGCCACCGCAGCTGAAAAACAACTCAAACAACGAAAACACTGTAAAAAACCCCTGCTTTTTGGTTATCGGTTTGGAAAAAGTGGTGTTTAGAGAAGGGAATTGCCAAGGAAATCGAAAACTGAGAGCTGACCCAGCTTAACACTTTGCTCGAGCGATCCAACGCCGAAATTACAAACAAACATGGTTAAACCTCAGAAACGACGATTCCATTTCATCGAAAGTGATTCGAACAGACTGAACAATTTCTTGAACTGTTTGGCCGGACTTTGGACTTTTTTGCGCCTTGAAGATATGAAGATATCATTGCATATTATTGTTTTGATCGTACGCGGTTGTTTCGACCGAACGCACGTCTGAATAAATTATTTTGGCAATTGATGCGCGCGCTTTGCTTATGCTTAATTATGATAGGCCACCTCGTATTTTTCCATGTATATTATTAACACGTAATTACATGATTTTTCTCGTGCAATTTGGAATAAACAAGCTCTTGTTAATTTTTTCAAAGACCAGTCTTTAAAAAAAAATACTCGTGCTTATTTATTCCAAATTGCACTCGAAATCATGTGATTATCTATACAAATTGAAAGAGTTTCTTTTACCTCAGAAAACACAGAACTATTTTCGTCCGCAGAAGTGTTACTGACCGATCCAGCTTCCAACATTTACATGGGATAATTTATTTTAATCAATCAGCCGAAAAGCTCTAATTGTCCCCACGATTCTTGTTCAAATCGGATCGTAAACAATTAAAGTGATTTACAGTGTTGCGTTTGTGCCTGAACTCCCCATTTTGCACAACAGTACTAGGGAGGACTCAAAACACTCTTCACTTTAACAAAACTGTGCATGTTAGTTAAGGGGAAAAAATAATTTCCCAGCACTGAACCCAGTGACCAATTGATTCAAACGAATCAGAAACTTGGATTTTTGGATAAAAGTCCTATGTATAACCAAAAAAGGTAATTGCTTTATTCCGGTCGTTGTTTAAGGAACCCTTTTGAGCAATAAACATCGACCCTTTTCAACCTTGTCAAAGCTAAATTTAACGTATTTTAATGGCCCTAATTCCGTTATATGCTGAGGGGCATTAAAACTAAGTTTGCGACTTAATTAAAGACTTAAATTGACGCATTGACCTTGATTAAAGAACATAAACGTTCTTAGCCTTATAGACTCAGAAATTCAGCAGTAAATCGAAGTTATCCACAATAAAGGCAAGTATGTAATGGCCTTGTCATGTGTTTAGTTGTGCGGGTAAATCATCTCATAGCATGGTCAAGGAATAAATTGAATATTACAGCTGTTTTCTCACTTTTCATGTGGTTATGTGCTGTTGTTAGATAGCGACTGTAGGTGTTACCGTATTCAGAGATTCTAAATGTCTCACAGAAAAAAACAGTCACAAATCCAGCTCATCCCAAAAAGTGTCAACTCTCCTATTTAGTCATAGCTACTCCATTATTTGATTAAACAATAAACGACCTTACCTTCTTGTAAACAAGACCTATTAATGCCACTTTTAATTTCAGTCCCCACAGCTCTGTAAGGTGGTCATAGTGTTGTGTTGTGACAGCTTGTACCACACTCATTGCACCTAAGAGTGTCACATAGGAAAACGCTAACTTCATGTTTAGTTCTGGCCCATCGTTTAAAACTTTTAACAAAAGCCACAGACATAATGGCAGCAGGGAAAAGCTCAGAGACCTGAGAACTTGTAAAGTTAACATTGTCATAGCTGATCTCCAAGGAATAATGGCAACCAATGCCTTCCATAGACGTGGTTTCTTGTTTCTTAATTTCCTTTCCTCTAATTCTCTGAGCCAATTCTTTTCCGCTTTTCCCACGAGAAGTTCAGCTCTTTGGTCTTCAAGTAGAGGGAGCAGATCTTGATCACTGAGCGACCTCTTATTTCCCAGTTTCAACACGTCATTCATCCAAAAAAAGAACAGAACAGATAGAACACCCGCTCCCGCTCTTGGATTTGTGCTGTTTGCAGTGTCGACCATTTTCCTTGTTGATCGGAGAAAGAATGAATTCATGTTACATATTATTGCTATCATGTTACATATTACTGGGATAATTTGAAGATTATGCTTTAATAGGTGGGCTAATAACACGAATATTTCGATAACAAGTCTCTTGACAGGACTGCCCTGAGTTTTATTATTGGTTGATTTTAATAAGTGTGCCTCCTTGTTGATCGGAGAAAGAATGAATTAGATGTCCTTTTCGATAACAAGTAAGACTTCCTTTCTGTCTACTCTTAGGCTCTTGACAGGACTGCCCTGAGTTTTATTATTGGTTGATTTTTAATAAATGTTCCTATATATCTATCTTAATTACCACAAAGTGCCTTAACTTCTCAATGAGCAGTAAAAGAAACAATATCATAAGCAATGATAATAATAATAATAATAATAATAATGTTTATGCAGGATAAACCTGTCAATGTAATAAGCCTTGGTATCAAAGGAGGTCCTGTTTTTAGAGTACATCAGTAAATATACAATACAGTGGACGATTCCTCTGATTTAATATGGCGAGGAAGACCATTGAATTCCACCGCATTAATAAAATAAAAAGATCTCCTGGCAACCTCTAGTTTGAATTTCGGAATACGAATGTCACTACAGCATCTAGTCGAAACCGTTTGTACAGAGGCATTAAAATAAAAATAGTTATTTTTGGATAAGATGGTACTGAATCATTTAGGCATTTCCTGGTTAACAAGACGATGTGAAGTTTACCCCTATTACTCAAGGGCACTACACCCAAAGTAGTATTCAGTGCAGCTCTATTGCTTGTCTTATGATGTAGCTATCGCTTTAGCGTTTGTTTTATTCAATGTAAATTGAAATCTACCCTGAGCGGTTTGGAGGCTTGCACGGGCACCTACGCGCCGAATCCATTTCTACTTACCAATTTCTTTAAACAGCTTTAAAATCCAGAAAAAAAGTATGGACTTGTTCTTTGCTTTTACTCGCTAACATCAAATTTTTTCGGAATCATTATTTAATATTTCTTTTTGTAAATTTTGCATTATTTGGTATGCAAATATCTGGTACTATGAAATGAAATCAGCCTGAGGCTAAAGTTCACTGATGCAGATACTGAACACAAGCGTGAGGAAGTTAAAAAGATTTATTGTCAAGAACCCCTTCAGTTGAAAAACATAAAATGATGATCTTAGGATAAATCTGTGTAGAACTCTTTTGTTTGTTCTCAAGATTTCACGCGACTTACCAGGACATTGCTTCTTTCGTGCACAAAACATGGTTGCCTTTGTCTTCCCGCCGTCTGAAAAATCTAAACTTGAATGATCTTATCAGCGACTATATTCAGCTACTCGAGACAAGCAATTATGGTTTTATCAAAAATAGACTTGCTTTCTATTTCAGTACAACAGGCTTGACTGCGGGGGGGAGGGGGGGGCGGAGCGGGGCCCGTTTTTGAGTAGCGGTTGGCTAAAATAAGGTTTTTAATTTCACCAGTTTTTATTCCAGTTATAATCCTATTATATTTATTCATGTTCCAATGCACTGTAGACACTGCAAATGGAACTCTGAGAGACGTGGTGGAAGCACTCACTGTTGCCTTAGGGTAAACAATAACTCAATAACCAAATTTTCGATCTACGATAGCATTTGTTCGCCGAATTTCCGAAGAAGTGAGGAGGTAGTTCCATCGCTTTGGGTCGTTCTGGTGATTCAAGCTGTTTCTGGACTTCCTGTCGCTCAACTTCATGGAAGATTGAAACTAAGAGCCTCAATTTAAGTGGACTCTTGTCTTGGTAGCCATACAGGGAAAGTATATTCATCCAATTGTTTTTTTACAGAGTGCTTAATTCATTCTGGGCGATTTATTTGAACAAAGTCTGATATGGCTGCGGGTTTAGAAGTCAATGGCCACTGAAGTTGCTCGAATTAAATAAATTTACCCAAAGGCCTTCATGAGACTGTGACCAAAAATGAACACTCAGATGAAATGACTTGCTAAATTCCAGATGGCTTAAAACACTGTTTGTCGTACATTGTTGTTTAATTGGTCGAAGGGGTCTGAAATATAAGTGGACTGAAAGAGCTGCACGTTTTCAACTTAGATTACGCCCATGCAAATTCCATATCAAACTCATTGCACTCCTTTCGGGGAAACTTTCGGGTTTCAGAGACGACATAGCGATAAGAACCAAACACTTCGACTGAAATTAAATTTAGATATCAAGTCGTCTACATAATATAATTTTTCAAAACTATACAAGTATCAAATGATCCTCCGTAAGAAAAAAACGAACGGGGTAGCTTTGAAATGTTTTTTAGCAAGCTTAGCGCATCTGCAGTCGTGCTGGGAGATTATAGTGAACTGAACTAGAAAAAGTTGGATTTTTATATGTTTCTACATCGAAATATTTATAAACATAATTTGTCACAGTGTAATCACATGGAAGTAGATTAGCATATAGTAATCACTTCTAAAACCACTCCACCCAAAAAGATGTTATTTCAGTGCATGAACCAGAAACGAAGAACTTATCATGTATTAGTACCATAAAGGGTTCATCCAAATAGTCATATTTCGATTTTAAAGGAGGGTCGAAAATACTGACCAAATTTCCAGCTCGTCTTTAAAAAAAGGACCGAATATTTGATCAACGTGCACTCTTACAGCATATATCTGAATAGAATTTTCTTATTTTCAGTTCAACACCCGTCTTCCATTCATCATAGTTTCTATTCCTCTGACACTCGCGGGATACCAACTTTGCTTTTTCGATGCATCGCAAGCGTTGGATCTTAAAGTTAATTGCATTTATATATCCGAGATCGAGTAGAAGAAGGTCGCGGAGGTGACTTCGTTGCGTTCATTTATATAAGGTTCCTCTGCTGTGTTAGTAAATTAAATACTTTATTGGCGCAAGTACGCCTCCAATTAAAATATCTTAATGTACATCTCTTTTATTACCCGAAATATTTCAACCAACTCTTCTGGTTGACTTTAAAAATTTTCATATGCCATGTTCAAAGATCAGTTTATCTTTATCTAATAGGCATTTTCCAAAAGAGTCATCATCACTTTCTTTAAATCGGCCAGGTATTTGTTTTCAGCAGTTCAAAACTCTTTTAGTATGTTGGTCTGCCCCTACAAATTCTCCTCGATACCTAAATTTTTTAAGGGGAACTTCTATGTTAAACGGAATGAGACAGATGGGAAATCTTGTGATCGGTTGTTAATGAAATATGTCATTTGTTTTATCACACGCATGAGACAAAGAAAAAATCTGATTAAAAACAAATGATATTTCCTTGTCTTCATAAAGCCTTTAGTAGACCTCGTTAGGTTCAAATTGATTAGAATAGTGTTTTAGAGACCGTTCTTTGAAAAGTGACATAATGTGTTATATATTTGTTTATTCTTTATATTAATTTGATTTCAAGTCGTTAAGAGGAACCTCGATGAATGACCCGGCGAATCCAAGAGCAAGAGCGAGTGTTCTATCCATCTTGTTCTTTGGGTTGATGAATAACGTGTTGAAACTAGGGAAAAAGAAGTCGCTTGGTGATCAGGATCTCTTTCCACTCCTCGAAGACCAAAAGGCTGAGTTGCTCGTGAGCAGAGCAGAAAGGTGTTGGCTTAGTGAATTAAGAAAAAGCCAATTACAAACCAAGAAGCCACGTTTGTGGAGAGCAGTGATCGCCTTAATTCCTTGGAAATAAGTCATAATTTTACAAATGCTGACGTCTTTGAGTTATGTCCTGCTGCTCCTGAGTCTGTGGTTCGTGCTGAAAGCCCTAAGTGATGGGCCAGAACTAGACACGAATGTTGCGTTCATCAGCGTGACACTCTTAGGGGCTATGAGTGTGGTCCCAGCTTTAGCAACACAGCAGTATGACCACCTTACGGAGTTGTGGGGCTTGAAGCTGAAAGTGGCATTGATAGGAATCGTTTACAAGAAGGTGAGACCGTTTCCTTGGTGAGGATAGAACACACTTTTGATAGGCCTATCGTCGGTATTGTTTTCCACTCTAAACTCTGAGAGCTTCTGCTCGGTTTTGGTCTACTTTGCTCATCTTGAAGGCAAATGGAGAGGTATGCGTTTTAGGCCTGCCTGAGGCTCCTTACACTTTTATTGTATGTCGTCCATGGTTTCTACTCAACTGTGATCTTTACTTGCGATTATAATGAGATGGGCGAGCAAGCAGATCTCAGTAGAAGATTCACTCATTGATAATCTAACGGGCAGTCCACCGCGGGCAATCACAGATGAGAAACATTACTCCTCTTAAAGAAAATATTAGCAAGATTTTACCGAATGTGGAGTAATGTGCTGTAGAACGACGTTTTGGAGAGATTTGAATTATTTACCTCTTCACTGAATACGTTGTTTCGCTTCGATCTCCCCACGTTGAAACTTAAGGCTAGCCTGGCACACCTCCTATATACTTATTTGACCATGTGTGAAAAGCATCAATTCATAATTGTTTTTTTTTCTAGATTCTGTCAATGAATCGTTACTGCCTGGAAAATACAGTACTTGGAAACACCATAAATCGAACGCATAATACCTGTAGCTGTGATCTTTTATTGTTACTATCGCAGTTTGAAAATGTCATTTAAAAGCCAGGACAAAATTCCAGCTTCTAGCTCTAATCTGTCGGCTTGCTAACTTGCTAAAATGTAATTCAGTTTGCCTAGAGGCCCAAAGTGTAAAATCCAAAGGATTAATTTCCCTTTGAATATTGTCTTAGCGGATAGAGTCAAAGAAGATTGTCCCACTTTGGCAAAGCTGCGAGACTTGGCACAGAAGCTTGACAAGTGGAACCCTCTTAGGCGTCATTTGCTTCACATGGATGAGTCCAAAATTGAACATATTAAGAAAAATTCAGGCCTATACGGGATTTGAACCCTTGACCTCTCCGATACTGGTGCAGTTCAAATATATGAATTTCATATATTCACAGTCGTTTATTCACCACTTCACGGGTTTATTTGATACCAACATAATGTCCAGCTCCCAGTGGGCTTGTTAGCTCAGTTGTAGAGCACTGCATCGGTATCGCAGAGGTCATGGGTTCAAATCCCGTACAGGCCTGAATTTTTTTCAGGCCTTATTTTCACTACTGTTCAAGTAGTGTTTATCCGCAGTTCTTTCATATATTCACAGTCGTTTAACAGTTTTGTTGTTTTCAAACAAAGCCCGATCGATTTTGGGCTGGAGTTGTGACAGGATTATTCACGAACTGAATAATCCACGAGCGAGTAGATAAAGTAGATAACAAACTTAATGGTTAGTAAGATATATAATTATCAAACACTTTGCGAAATGATAAAAGGCTTTGAACTGAATTTGAAACATTTATCCGAACAATCAGGGTGGAAACCAAACTTAGATTAAAGAATACTTGCAACGACGTCTTCAAAAGTAGAGAGATCATCCTCCAAATTCATGCGCTACGCTTTCTTGCTCTCTCAATGTCACGTTTCGTGTTACAATCGCTTAATAATATCTGTTTTTGTGGTTGATAATTGTTGTAATGAGACGAGCAAAATCTACGCGGGTTATGAATGAACCCCTAAAAATTACATATCTAAATAACATCTCGGTCTGAATATCTCAATAAAGTTAAATGAAATGTTAATCGACGCATTTGTGATTTTTTTTTTTAGCCTTCATGAGTTGTTTAAAGCTTCTTTTCGCGAAATTACTTTCAGCCGGAGGCCGTTAAGAGAAGAAAGTTGCCGCCAACAACAACCTCCCGACAGTTGCTGATCTGTTGTTGATGCTCTATGTCTTCGCCTAATTCGAGCTTTATTCCTCCAACGTTTTCCGAAAAAATCGATCCTGAAATGATGAATATAGCTTTCTCAATATGATCGGTGCTGCACTGTATGATAAATTTGAAACGTTCTGCGCGCTTAGAATTCCTATGATCGCTTAATTTGGTCTGCCTGTTCTGCAACGCGATGGTCGTATGTTTACTGAGTTTTCTCCCGCTTACATCTGATAACAAACCTTATTAGTTTTCTGCCTCGGCAGGTTATACCTTAGAATGCAATTTATGTGAACAAAAGTGTTTTTGACTGATAGAAATTTAAGGTATTAGGTAGTAAATTGAACGAGTTTCTTTTACCTAAGAAGAGCACAGGAGTATTTTCGTTCGCAAAAGTATTTCTGACCGATCCAGCATTCAACGTTTACATGGGATAATTTATTTTATCAATCAGCCAAAAACTCTAACTGTCCCTACGATTCTAGTTTCAAATCGGATCGTAAACAATTGAAGCGATTTACAGCGTTGCGTTTGGGCCTGAACTCCCCATTTTGCACAACAGTTCTAGGGAGAACTCAAAACGCTCTTCACTTTAACAAAACCGTGCATTTTAGTTAAGGAGAAAAAATAATTTTCCAGCACTGAACCCAGTGACCAATTGATTCAAACGAATCAGAAACTTTGATTTTTGGATAAAAGTCCGATGTACGGTCAAAAAATTGCTTTATTCCGGTCGTTGTCTAAGGAACCCTTTTGAGCAATAACCATTGATCCTTTTCAACCTTGTCAAAGCTAAATTTAACGTATTTTTTAATGGCACTAATTCCATTATATACTGAAGGGCATTTAAACTAAGCTTGCAACTTTATTAAAGACTTAAATTGACCCATTAACCGTGATTAAAAAACATAAACGTTCTTAGCCTTACAGCCTCAGAAATTCAGCAGTAAATCGAAATTATCCATAATGCAGGCAAATATGTAGTGGCTTTGTCGTGTGTTCAGTTGTGCGGGTAAATCATGCATAGCATAGTCAAGGAATAAATTGAATATTACAGCTGTTTTCTCACTTTTCATGAGGTTATGTGCTGTTGTTAGATAGCTACTGTAGGTGTTACCGTATTCAGAGATTCTAAATGTCCCACAGAAAAAAACAGTCACAAATCCAGCTCATCCCAAAAAGTGCCAACTTTCCTACTCCATGATTTGATTAAACAATAAACGACCTTACCTTTTTGTAAACAAGTCCTATTAACGCCACTTTTAATTTCAGTCCCCACAGCTCTGTAAGGTAGTCATAGTGTTGTGTTGTGACAGCTTTTACCACACTCATTGCACCTAAGAGTGCCACGTAGGAAAGCGCGAACTTCATGTTTAGTTCTGGCCCATCGTTTAAAACTTTTAACAAAAACCACAGACATAATGGCAGCAGGGAAAAGCTCAGAGACCTGAGAACTTGTAAAGTTAACATTGTCATAATTGATCTCCAAGGAATAATGGCAACCAATGCTTTCCATAGACGTGATTTCTTGTTTCTTAATTTCCTTTCTTCTAATTATCTGAGCCAATTCTTTTCCGCTTTTCCAACGAGAAAACTTCTCAATGAGCAATAAAAGAAACAATATCATAAGCGATGATAATAATAATAATAATAATAATAATAATAATGTTTATGCAGGATAAACCTGCCAATGTAATAAGCCTTGGTATCAAAGGAGGTCCTGTTTTTAGTATACATCAGTAAAAATACAATACAATGAACGATTCCTCTGATTTAATATGACGAGGAAGACCGTTAAATTCCACCGCATTAGTAAAATAAAAAGATCTCCTGGCAACCTCTAGTTTGAATTTCGGAATACGAATGTCACTACAGCATCTAGTCGAAACCGTTTGTACAGAGGCATTAAAATAAAAACAGTCATTTTTGGATAAGATGGTACTGAACCATCTAGGCATTTTCTGGTTAACAAGACGATGTGAAGTTTACGCCCATTAATCAAGGGCACTGGACCCAAAGTAGCATTCAGTGGAGCTCTATCGATTGTCTTATGATGTAGTTATCGCTTTATTCTTCATCTCATTCAATGTGGGTTGCGACGTTCCGATTGCTTACCCTTAGTTTCCTTTAAACGACGAAGAAGCAAAGTAACAGCATACATTCAAAATGTCGCGATTCTAGTCGGGTGGAAATTCACACAAGACAGATGAGAACTATTCACTGCCGGTATATTCACGATTAACAACCAGAGCCTTCTTTACGACAATATGAAAGTAAAGAACTCTACCTATCTGTTACTTCTTGAAATCTATCTTGGGCGATTTAGAGGCTTGCACTGGCACCTGTGCGCTGTATCCATTTCTACATACCAATTTCTTTAAACAGCTTTAAAATCCAGGAAAAGGATGGACTTGTTCTTTGCTTTTACTCATTAACATCAAATTTTTTTGGAATCATTTTAAAATGTTTCTTTTTGTAAATTTTGCATTGTTTTGTATGCAGATATCTGGTACTCTGGAATCAGACTGGCGTTAGAGTTCACTGATGCAGATACTGAACACAAGCGTGAGGAATTTAAAAAAAATTATTGCCAAGAACCTCTTCAGTTGAAAAACATAAGATGATGAGCATAGTATAAATCTGTGTAAAACTCTTTTTCTGGTTCTCAAGATTTTACGCGATTTACCAGGACATTACTTCTTCCGTGCACAAAACGTAGGGGGTTGCTTTGTCTTCCCGCCGTCTTTGAACGTCTGGAGAATCAAAACTTGAATGATCTTATCAGCGATTATATTCAACTACACGAGACAAGTAGCTAAGTTTTTATCAAAAATAAACTTGTTTTCTATTTAAGTACAAGAGGCTTGGCTGCGGGGAGGCGGAGCGAGGCACGTTTTGAGTTCCGGTTGTCAAAAGGCCAGTAGTAGAGCTTGCGACCCTGGCTATCACGCCCACATAAGCATTTAAGGTTTTGTGAAGAAACAATTTAAGACGAGTAAATTTATTGACTGTTCATACGAACAAAGATGCACCGACTCGAAACACTTTCAGAAGCACCGATTATGCTACCACGAGGGGTTTATTTTATTTTTACTAATCTCGTGTAAAATTCCATAGAAGTATGCAAAAAGTGTCTTATTTCGATGTATGCACTGTTTGCTATCCCTTGTTCACTTGGAAGAGAGTAAAATAAAGTTTCCCGCCACAATTTTACGAGCGTTGCAATTCCTGAGAAAGCGAGAGAAACTTTAATATCACCAGTTTTTATTCGAGCTATAATCCTATTGTATTTATTCATGTTCCAGTGCACTGCAGACACTGCAAATGGAACCCTTTGCTCCCTGCCCTGAGAGACGCGGTGGAAGCACCCAGTGGTTCCTTATGACAAACAGTAAATCAACCGAATTTTCAATCTACACCAACATTTGCTCGCGATTTTCCGAAGAAGAGAGGAGGTAGTTCCATCGCTTTGGGCCGTTCTCGTGATTCAAGGTGCTTCTGAACTTCCTGTCGCTCAACTTCATGGAAGGGATGAGACTAAGAGCCTCACTCCAAGTGGACTCTTGTCTCATGGTAGCCATATAGGGAAAGTATACTTATACATTTTCTTTTACAGAGTGATTTATTAGTGTGATTGCCACTCAATTTAATCATGATTCTTGGGCAATTTATTTGAACAAAGTCTGATAAGGTTGCGGGTTAGAAGTCAATGGCCTTCGATATTTACGTAAAGAAAGGAGTTGCTCAAAATTAATGTAATAAATCTACCCAAAGGCCTTCATGAGACTCTGCCCAAAAATTAGCATTCAGATCAAATGACTTGCAAAATTCCAGATGGCTTAAAGCACTGTTTGTCGTATATTATTGTTTAACTGGTCGAAGGGGTGTGAAATATTAGTAGACTGAAAGAGCGGTACGTTTTCAACTTAGATGACATCCATACAAATTCCATATCAAACTCATTGCATTCCTTTCGGAGAAACTTTCGGGTTTCAGAGACGACATAGCGTTAAAAACCAAACACTTTGACTAAAATTAAATATAAGATATTGAGTCGTCTACATAATATTATTTTTCAAAAACATACAAATATCAAATGACCCTCTTCGTAAGCAAAAAACGAACCAATTTTATGCCATTGTTTCATGAGAGTTTAATTACAAAGGAAATTGTATCGAAAAGACATCGTGATTCAATGGGGCACCTAAGGGGTAGCATTTAAATGTTTTTTAGCAAGTCTAGCACATCTGCAGGAGGTTATAGTGAACTGAACTAGAACAAGTTGGATTTTTATGTTTCTACATGGAAATGTTTATGAACATAATATGTCAACGTGTAATCACTTGGGAGTAGATGAACATATTGTAAACACTACTAAAAACCATTCCCTGCCAAAAAGATGTTATTTTAGTACATGAACCAGAAACGAAGAACTTGTCATGCATTAGTACCACAGTGAAATGCGATCCAGTCTTCCAGCTTATGTCAGATTATCAATAAATCTCTGAAATGTTTATCGTTGAGACTCCACAAAGATGCTATACTGTTTGTGTGTTCGTTTGTTTCTTTCATTTTGTTGTTGTTGTTTTTACATATATATAACTCCTGAGCAGATAGTGCTCTTTAATACATTTTTGGAGGATCTATCTGAACACGAGTCTTTGATTTCATAGATCTGTATTGTCGGCTCGAAACGAGTAGTTGCATGGTGTCTGTACCAAAAACTAAGCCGACCCATGAGCTAACCCTCATTGTTTGAAAAAAAGTAAGTAACTTTAATAGTGATGTACAGTTAACGACAAAAGTCCATGTTGCTCTGCTTTTGTTTGGTAACATTTCAAAGATGGCTTTAAAATGTGGTAGGTACAAAAAAAGTGGCCCATGAGGCGTAGAACAGTGTGTTGCAGATGTTATTACTACATTGTGACGTCCTCCATGATCTATTATACAAACATACGGCAACATGGAATCTGTTTGTCTTATATGGTAAAAATGCAAAAAGTTGTCAATGGTGACGTTTTTCATGCGTCTGTCCTCAGGGAAATGATAATTAAGTACCAATCAAAGTCTGTGCATAATTCAGCTAATGATAAATGTCGAGAGAATATCAAAATTTATACCAGTTGTCATTTTGATTGATTCTTGCAGGAAGGAGATGTCCATCTTACGTTTAAAAGCTGTTATTGTCACCATCCTAATTTTCCTTTTACCTCACCACACTCCCAATGGCCTTCTTACCTCGGTAATAACACTTGCTTTTACAGGGAAACAGCTATCGCCCTTCGCAGTATTTACACTGCTATTGGGTTTAACATTAATCAGGGAGACATTTTGCTACAATTTGAGTATGTCTGTGCAGTCAGTGGCAGATGCTAAAGAAGCACTGGATCGACTACAGATATTTCTTGAGATACGTGGATCAAGACGCGTTGTGAAAGCTGGAGGAGTCTGAGAAAAAAAGTAATCGCTCTTTCACGTATCAAGTAGCCACCAAAAAACGTATACAATCCGGGGTTGTTAATTTTGTAAATTACAAGAAACTAAACAATTTCCCTGTAGAGAATGCTCTTATAAACACTTCGCTCCCAATCATCGAAAGCAACTTCTATGTCGTTTCTGAGGTGCCAGAAGATAGTAACGTTTACGGGATCGCTTCTGGATCTGCAGAAGGGCATCGAGAAAATGTGTCTAGCTTGAAACAGGCGGATGTCTTCATGGCTGAGGTATCGTGTTCTTGGAGCCAAGATCATCTTTCGAACACTTTGAAAAGTGTTACTCTGAAATTCACAAGCGGTGATATTCTAACGACGACAGGAGAAGTTGGAGGTGGAAAGTCCACCCTATTATTTGCCATCCTAGGAGAGCTGCCGTTAAGTGGCTTATGCTCCTCAAATACCTTGGGTATTCTCTGGGACCATGAGAGAGAATATTTTGTTTGGGCTTCCATTTGATGAGCAAAGTTTCAAAAGGTTGTAGACATCGGCGAATTGACGGAAGATTTGACGGAGTTTGCCAATGGTGATCTCACAGATTAGACAGCCAGGAGCGACCTTCAGTGGAGGTCAGAAAGCGAGGGTGGGATTAGCACGGGCAGTTTATTCAAACACCACGCACGTGAGCACAGACGACAAAGCTCGTTAAGTCGCTACGAATTTAGAGAGATGAGAAAAAACATGGGAGTGATGAGCCGACGACGATCTGTGGTTTCAACTTCTGTCTTGGAAATTTCAAATGACTGCCCCAAGCGTTCAAGAAGTGCATCTATGTTTGAATTCGAAGGTACAAAGCCTCTGAGAAGGAAATCTTCCACCTCAAAGGTTCTTGGAAAAAGCAAAGGTAACAAAGAGACAAACATCTTGGAGTTTGAGGGTCTTCCAAAGTTGTTACCAGTGCAGGGGGAAGATCGAGACAGCCTTTCAGAGATAGACGTCGATGCATTTCAAATTACACAGAACTATTGCCCAGTGATCATGAACGACCCTACATTGAAATGACAGAAAAGGAAGAGAAAAAGATGTCTGGCATTATCGATATCACCTGGGGACTTTATTGGAAATATTTCATAGGATCTTGATTCTTGCGGTTTCATTGACATTAGCACAAGGTACTGATGATTTCAAAGTAATGTATTTGACAACGGACACATGCCTTGATTCCTCTATTAAATTAATTAATTCACAAATTAACAATAATCTTGGTTTCCCAAATCTTCACAAGTAGCAAACTCCACACAAAGAGTTGCCACATAAAGAAGAATCGCCAATTTTTGTACGTTCAGAAGGCAAAAAGGCATGGAATTTCTGAGAATTTTGGCTATCATTTAGGGTTCAAAAATGCGAATAGTAGGTGGTGGATGAAAATAAATATGTATGGTCGGTGACCAGGCTTACCAAAGGTGGCCGACTAAATTTAAGATTTATCAATATCCATATGAGAACCAGCACTCGAGAAAGGATTCTCCCTTCATTTTTTGGCTGTACCTTTATAAAATCAACCGGCGATTGTAAATAAGTAGGAATATATTTTAAGCAAAGAATGTTCTTTTTTGGGTTTTTATATTGAACCGTGAGGCAAAAGTTTCACGAATTGGAGCTCTTGACGATAAAATTGTCCCACCTTGCCATTTAAACAACAAAAAAAGGTTCAGTTGTTGATAGTTGCCCGTATAGAAAAGGAATTCGGACAACATTCATAAAACATATTTGAAATAACATTGTGCCATTTTTTCCCATTATTTTCATTAAGTAATATTGAAACATTAAGGATGTATTTAGTCCTGATGATCAGGCATTGGAGGTCTCTGAAACTGTACCGTCACAAGATCATTAAGCGACGTGAAAGCATGGTCTATACCTCCCTCACAATGTTTGAAATGTTTTAGTTAGTCTTATAATTCCAAACTGGTGGCTGGCTAGGATTGGTGAGATGTAAACTGAAAAGCAGAAAGCGATGGACACCTTTGCTATTTACGCTAGTCTGGTAGCTGTGTCTATCATTATCATGACAGCGTCATACTTCCTGTTTTACCACATTCTCCTGAAAGCGTCCGAAAACCTTCACAAGAAAATGATCACAGCCACAATTAAAGCTCCTATGTTGTTTCTCGACACTACCCCTGCTGGTCGTAATCCATAATAGATCATCGTCATGGATGAAGTAACTGCTAATGTGGATTTCAAGACAGACAACCTGATTCAGCAAGTTATTCGCCACAAGTTTAAAAATTCCACTGTACTGACCATTGCTCATCGTCTGAACACTATCATGGATCGTGACAAGGTGCTGGTTCTTGATGGTCGACGAGTAGTGGAGTTTGACAAACCACAGGTTTTAATGAGAAATGGTGGAGTGTTTGCTGAAATGGTTAAAAGTCAGAACCAAACTAAGTCTTGAAAACGGAAGATTATGTTAAAAAAACCGTATTTAGTTTTTAGAATAATTCCAGCAGTACTTTCCATAAGAGGCATGCCCTTAGATGATCTCAACACCTCGCGTTCGCGCCTTCTTCTTCGCCAAAATCAGCAAGCGGCTCATCTTGATATGGGATGATAACACCACAGTCACTCTGCTCCCAATCGAGACTTTCAGAAGAGTCACACTGGACTCGGAATCACTGGACATAGTGGAAACAGACTTACTGAAAAGGGATGGATTTTGGCAAATGCGCGTGGCTACCTCGTAAAACACTTTGTTCGCTGATCAAGCCATGAAACAACGTAACATCATAACCTTGTTCTCGTTCCCAGTCTCCTGAGACAGTTATATATGGAAATCGAGCAAGTTTTTGCGTGGAAAAAAAGCGGTCACAAAGAAAAAAATTAATTTATTTTTAAATGTCTCGCAACTTATTGTACATATTGAACTGCCAAAAACCGGGAAAATTTTTATGTGAGATACACTTTAATGTATCAACACTTTGGAACTTCCTTCATGGTTCACTCTCATGATTAGGAAATTGTCTCCGTGGAGGCATTCCTTCGATGAAAGGTATAGCTTCATTGTATTGTCGCGATTAAAATGTTTTCTCTTTACATGTATGTGTCCTCATAAAGGAGTTGCTACGAGAGAGAGGTTCCATTTTACTTTACGTTTTTGGTGTAAATATTACAGTTGTATTACTGAAATTATTTTCTTGCCCAAACAAAGCACTCTTTGTCGGCCACACTCCCAAGATGAGTGGTGCAATTACAGGTTTGACGCTTTCTCTAGACATCATTGCCTTGTTCTTCATCTTTAGGAAATTCCACTTAATTTGAAAGTTCTTTAACTTCCTTCGAAATCATTTTCAGTTTTACTCACTGGAATTAACAGATGCAGAGTAGTTCTCACCAGTGGAGCTCTAACTTATTATTAACGGGTCAGACAGACCAATATGGATCTTTCTTTTTAAAAATGATAAGATTTTGCAAACAGTGGGTCCAATATCATTGTCACATCTTATCCAAATCTTTGCACTGCAAAAGGTTTCACTTTTTTGTCTAACTACTTAGAAGTGGAGATGTGACATGTAGAAACATTTGTTTTTGATATTATTTTCCATTGTTAAACATAGTAAAGCTATTTACGATATTAGCTGGGCAACCAAATTAGTTGGCCTCTGTGATTTGTTTTAATGGCTGCCCAATATTGGTGGCCTCTTCAACAAAAATTCATGCAATTCAAAAATACTAATGAGATGTTAAGGTGTTCCCTATCGATTTAACAATGATTCAGGCCTTAGCAATCCCATTTCTTATTAGAGCAGAAGACTTCAGGAAAACACAATAAGATGCAAGATTGTTTCTTTGCTTGCCACAGTTAAAGTCTTATATGATAGTCAAAGCCCAAAATGATCTTTTGAGAAAGCGTTCATCTCTTCCACGCTAGTAGCCTAAATTTTTGAACAAACTGATAAGTATGTAAATTTTTTTCTTCGGCGTTTAATATCAGTTTGCCTGCCTTTGTCAAATTTCCTTATGCCTACCTATCCAATTAAGTTTCGAGACGAAAAGTTCCCTTGGCATTAGCTGAAGAGCGGAGTATGTGAATAACCATTAGGCCTCAGTGAAATCATATGGCCGCCTTCCAGGCGTTTTGATTCCTGTTAGTAAAAGTACATGGCTACATGACGTCTCCGTATTCGAAAACTTCCATTTCCTGTCACCCACACATCCACCTCAAGGGCCTCAGGAAATATATTTTCCCTTTTCAGACCGGCTTTCTAGTCTGGTCATTCGGGCAGATGAGACAGATCAATGAGTTTTCAACAGATTATCTCAGTTTGCAGTAATAATAAATGGCAGACTATTTTCATGATTAGTAATTAATTATCGGCCAATATCTCGGATTTCACGAGATATTTTGAAGGCATGAAGGAATTTTAAAATCATTTCTTCTCCTATAGATTACCTATTGAATATATTTTTCCTCAGATAATTGCACGGATTGATATCAGGCATGAGTCTGATTTCTCGAAACCAGAATGACTCAAATTTCTCGATCAGTGGAAACAAAAGAGTAGTTTGATTCGATCAGTTGAACATAGCAATATTTTCGAGAGCTTTTTCCACTGGAGTACAAATAAGCATGCCTCAGTTACACCGGCAAAAGATGTGAAACGCTGGCGTTGAAACCTTTCTCCACTGAGCCTCGCACAAATAACTGAACGTCTTTCAAAGTCATACCTTTCTATTCTCTTAATGTCTAACGAGCTCATTTTGAGCTGGAAAACGGATTTTTGACCAATTTTATCACTATCCTATGCCATTCTTTTTTTTCAAGTTGTGGAAAACCTTTTCGTAATTGAACGAACATGAATTTTTCAATTTTTTTTTTCTGGTTGTCCCACAATTTAGTTGTCTTTCTATCAAAGAAGCACTTATCATTTAATGATATTTCGATGACGTTGTGAAACTATGTCCATCACATCCCACGCTTATTTTCGAATTGATCGATGACGGACATGGGTCACGCATACATTGAAGAAAAAGGTGAAAAAAATTAATAACACCGCCGAATTATTTTGCGTCTGATGCATTTTCAATTAAAAAATAAAAAGGTTCCTAACATGATTTCTCGCCTTTAGCTATATCGTATCAAATTAAGAGAAGGAGTTATATCTGTTCAACTCATTTAGCCTAGTGAACTAACGTGATCTGCTTTTTTGTTCGTTCCGAAGTTTGTTTTCGTCTTCATGAAAAAATATCAGGCCTCTGTTCGTCGATAAGATTTGCCATAGATTCTGCAATTATTTAGTTCAAAATTAATCTCATGAGTAAGATATATCTAATGAAATTTTCCTTTGCCATTGTTATGTAAGGACTCTTAAAGTTAACAAGAAAAAAAAAACCCGGAAAGTAAAGCTGAAAATTACCAAGCACTCGGCTATTTCTAAACCCTCAATTGGATTAGCGATCGGTCCGGTCCAGAATGAGAAGCGGACATTTTTCAAGATCTATCATAGGATAGGAGAAATTTAAAATATCAATATTGTGGCTTGCTGTTACCTTTTTTGGTATTTATCAATAGTGATGAAGTTGACTGCTTTGACAAGTAGAACACGAAAAAACATGACGAGCCATGCCAACCGGAAGTGATTAGAGCACTGTTCTTTTATCCATTAAAGGAGGGTTTATGCACAGTATATGAATGACACGTACATTTTCCGAAGATTTACGAGGATATGCAATTAATCGTATTTTTAGCCTATGTATCTGATATTCGTGTGGTCTCCAGACAATTTGTAATTCTAGAACGGTAGGGAAGATTCCCTGGCTAGCCGCGTTCGAAAACACTTGTCGCGACTTGCCCCCCACGGGAGAGTAGATTTTCACACGTATCCAGGTAGCTAGTTAGCGGGTCATGCATGCATGTTTTAGAACTTTGATGAGTCGAAAGTCAACACTACGAAAGAAAATGTAGCAACGCTGCATAATTATTCAGCTTCGGAAAGGTTGATAGCCAAACTTGTTCATAAGCTTTCTTCGAAAGCGCAACCCACACTGTCGGTCGTATCGAGGATATGGAGAAGCGATATTGAAACCAGTTTGTTGACTTCGCGTTAAGCAGATCTTCGCGCAATTGACACTTAAACTGTGCATTTTTATGGCTTGGCTTTTGCCGATGTGCTTTAAACAATGGCCGAAGACCCTGATCAGCTGAAAAACGTCTTGAAAGAACGAGCAGTGGAACTGTTTAACTTATGTGACCAAGACGGCAAGGGTTATATCACTGAGAGCGAACTACAACATGTGATCGCCGAATTAGGACTACCCCTCGATTCCAGCCAAGTTAAGCAGACTTTCAATGAACTTGATGACGACGAGAATGGCTACTTGACTTTAGAGGAGTTCACTGCGGGATTTGGTCTATTTCTGGGCATACAATCGAGCGATGAAGGAAACAACGATTTGGATGAAATCACGTCAATCAGCGACCCAGGCCGGGAGCTGTTCTTTCTCTGCGACCCTGAGGGAAAGGGTTACATCACAAAAGCGGACTTAGAACGTGTTTCTGGAGATTTGAATTTGAATTATGAGCAGCTTGATTTTATATTCGATAAGCTTGACATTGATAAAAATGGGCGTTTGACCTTGGACGAATTCGTTGAAGGATTCGGGACGTTCCTCAGCGAAGGTAACGGTTCAACGGAACTCGACTCGTCAAAACACGTCGACGACGATTTGAACGACGAGTTTAAACAGCAAAACTTGCCCGAAGGGCACGATATATTTGAAAGTTTAGAAACGGGACCAGAATCTCCAAATCATGGCTCAGAAGAAGCCCTCTTCCGCGAAATTGTGGAAAGCGTCGGAGAAGATATATTTTCAGGGTAAAATCACCGCTATTGATTGCCCATTTTAAGTTGAATTGACCCATCTTTGATTTATTGTGTCATTTGAAAATGCTACACGCGTTAACTCCGCTATCTTATCAAGCCTACAATAGCTTCTAAGAGCTATTACTATTATTATCGCTTCGGATGTTTTGAGAGCGTGTTTGGGAAAATGGCGATTTAGGGATAGGATTATTATTATTTTGTTCAAGTGTCGTGACGTGAGTTGTGGCGTTGCTTTCGTAAACCCCAGTGGGCCGATGAAAGTAGTAATGTTTGTTTACATATTGGCTTCGAACAAGAGTTTTTTTATGCAATTTCGCATCTTTTTGTCGAGAAAACGCTTTTAGAAGTTTAAAAATATCGTTCTCTATAAAGCATAAAATGCGCGGAAGCGATTAGCATACCAATAAAATCATTGTTAAAACTAAAAAGTGTTAAAACTGAACGGTGGGTTCTTTGTAATTATTCAAAGATGCTACGTAAACAGTTATTATTCCGTCTCATTCTGTTAAACAATAGTGGCTATACTTTTGCAGTCCTGTTTATGGAAAAAAGTAACAAGTCTGCTTAGTTTTACCACAGGACTCCGATTCCAACGCGATCTGCCGTTAAAAATAAATTCTCCAAGAAGGAATTTTTGTCTTTCGGCTCATGAAATAGCGACGAGAAATGTGCATTTTGCGCGTTGAATTTTTAATTAACTCTTGCATTTTTAATTTTGTCATCGGATCAGTGGCAAAAGTCCTATTACTTGATCGTAGATCCGGGTAAAGATAAACAAAGCATTCGCTCCTGTCCATTTAGTTAAGACCCGGAATTCCTCATCTCGACATGTTCTCAAATTTGTTATCCACAGAGTAATTAATTGTTGTTGCCAATATCTTTTTAAAAGATTTAGTTTAATTTCATTTTCGATCCGTTTAGCGTGTATAGCGGTAATAACACATGTTTCCTATTAACGGTTTAATCTCTACCACTTAGGAGTCTAACTAAAGATCAGCTGCGAGATCTGTGGCAAGCTTTAAGGAAAAACGATGTACGAGGATTGCAGAAGTTCGAGGAATTTTTGGGAAAAGTCTCCGGTGAGATTAGACGAGCGAAAATTGATTCGGAGCAGCTTGAATCTGCCCTTAAAAGGTAAACTGAGCATACACTTGCTAATTTTCCATGTTTAATTTCCTGAAAAGCTAAACAATATTTTTTTAGCAATTAAACGATTGAATCTCCTTATGGCCGTTGCGTCATCCGCAGAAACTGCAATAATGGCTGCTACATGTAATTACCTTAAACGTAGACTGCTCTTTCTAAGAAATTGTTTTTCCTGGGAGTTTCAGTTAATTGTAGCACATTTAAATTTGCTCCCAAATTGCCATGTATTAATTAAAAGAAAAGAAATATTAGTCAACAATTTAGTAAAATGATAGTTGTGTTGTCACTTTGAAATACTGAGGTTGACTCTCAAAATTGAATTATTTTGTTCTCTATTGTAAGTGTTAGCATGGGGCACTTATCTTGAAGAAAAAATGAGCATTTTCATATGCTGTTAAGTATGAAATTACAATTCAAATTAACATTTGAAAGAGGCAATTACACAATTTAGAAAGTGCCTATTAGGTTCCTCATATTATTATTACTATTATCATTATATTTCCCTAACTTGGTGATAACAATATTATCAAAATAATTTTTAAATTCACAAGTCATAGAGTACTTTTTAAAGACATGTTTCGGCATGACTCTTGCAAATAATTCATCAGTTAATTGTGTTGTACCCATTAACTTTGCTTTTACACAAAACATGTCTTTAAAAAGTATTCTTGTGAATTTGAAATTTATTTTATTATTATTATTATTAATATTATTATTAGTATTTTTATTATCAATTGTGATGGATGAAGTAGAAACGGTAGATATAACACATCAAGTGTGATCAAGAGATGATTAAGTTGCCAGCCTTAAAGGAAGCATTAGGTACTAAAAGGTGAAATTTAGATCAGATCAAGACAGGTATTTAACTGTTTTATCTAATTTAAGTAGGTAGGCCTTCAGGAACAGTTGATAACATGGGCTTCCAGGGCTTCTGGACAACAATGTCACATCCCAGTTGAAATATTTTGAGCTTGCTTAACAATTATATAGTAGGGATTGATGTTCCCTTAAGTTTTATGAACCTGGGAAATAGGGCTCAAAGCATAATTTAATCTCCCTTCTATCCTTCCCTTAATTTCCATTTTTGCACTGGTCTGAATGTGCATGAAAAAAGCTAATCATTTATACTGAAAAACATTCTTAATTAATTTAATAACATGCATTTAAGTTATTGAGAAGAAATGAGGTCTCAGTCTATCAAAACCAAAGAAAGGAAAAAATACTACTCCAAGCTACTTTAAGTTTCTTCTTCAGCTGCACTAGCATGTTACATATTAGATTGTTTCACTCTGCTGTCACAGAAAACTTATTTAAATCATTGATTTGATAATTAATTATGTAAACATGATGATTTAGTTAAATCTAATCTAATTTAGAAATTAACTGATTTACTACTTGGTTACATTGAAGAATTGTGGGCATTGATGAAAGTTTGTTATGGGAAAACTACATTTTGAAAGAAGTGCAGAATGCAAATTAGAAGAGTAGATTTATTTCACAGCTAATATTATGATCACTTTTTGTTACCCTAACCAAGCAAAGTGATACAAGACCTTCTTCCCCAAACACATCAATATGGTGATGAATTCACTAAATAATGTAACAGTTTCATGTAGTTAAAATACTTCTGTTCTGATAGTTGTTTTTTGTTCTTTCGTATAACAGCAAATCCAATTCTCATGACAAAGAGGTTCAAAGGTTGTACGAGGAGATGGAACTACAAATCAGAACCGAGAGAGAGAGAATACGTAATGAGGTAATTCACGCCATCCAAACTTTTTCTATCTATTAGAGAAGATGCAGCAGTCAACCCTCTAACTACCAAGATCTGACTGTTAATTCTCCCCTCTAGCTGCTACACATTTCCTTGTAAATGAGTTATGAGATCTTGGTGTTAGATCAAGCTAGCAGCTTCTACCTGATAAGTTTGAATATTCTCATGACCTGTTTGCCGAATAACGTATGGATATTGTAGGGAGAAGTTTTATGTTAGTCACTTCTGGGAGTTCAAGGGTTCAACCTTTGACCCTAAAAGTGATAAGCATCTAACTTCTCCTTACAATATCAATCCTGAATCAAACATTAAGGTCTCAAGAAAAAGGAAATAATCACCAATTAAGAAATTTTTGTTTGTCAAAAGCATTCTCCTTTGCAGTAAATATGGAAATGTATAGAGAACAGTATAGAGAATATGCATACAGACAACAAGTGTCATAGAGGGATAAATTGTGATTTGGATTGAGAGGCTTTTTGTTAATTTCGTGTTTTTGCAGCAAATAAAGCGGGAAAAAGCTTTGAAAGATGAGCTTGTCCACGAGTTGGAGAACAAAGAGTTGGAAATGCAGCTTCTGTTACAGAAACAAAAAGCGGTGAGTTCATTTATTTATCTATCTATTTTCGTTTTCCATCATAGAGTTTCTGTGTGTTTCCTCCTGCACCTGTTGGACACCCTAAAGACTTCCTATTGGAGCCAAAGCAGGACAGTGTTGAACGTGGGATGGCATTTTTTGTTGGGGGGGAGGGGGAAGAGAGAAACGATGCGTGTTATTTGAGTGGAAAAAGCTGCAGAATATTTATTGAGAAAGGGTAAAGCGCCATGGAGGTCAAAATTCTGGCAGTGGAGTAAATTTAAAGGATGACCTTACTTTCGCAGAGGTAGATCTCCTGTGCACGCATTAAAAGAGGCCCGGGCTCGAGCCATAGTAACCTTGTTGTGGTGCGTGTTTAGGCAAGACGTTGTCCTTTCTCCTTCTGCCTTGGAGTGTAGTGTCAGAGGAAACTTGAAAAAATCCTGAGTGGTTACCTGTGCTGATATAGCCTCTTGATAAGGAAGAAATTCGTAGAGCTTCACATTGCAAAAGTCCGGAAAAACTCTGGCAGTGACGGGTTTCTGAGACCGTAACATATTAAGACCCCATCTCCTGCTACTTCGTTCTTCTTCAGAATCTCTCCCTAGGGAAAACATTTTAGCGAGAAAGCTTTTTCTGTGATGACTTAGTAAGCAGTCTTGCTGGACAAAATACAGTTACTGCCTCCAGGGCTGCTTAAAACTCTTTTTTTTTTTAACAAACTCAATCTCTTCTTTTCAGCTTGAAGACGAAATTCAGAGGAAGCATGAAACGGAGCAAGACATCAAGAGCGAAAATGAGAAGCTTTTTCAGGTGAGTGCAACAAAGCCAGCTAAGTCACTCGTCATGAGATTTTGGGTGTCTTTACGTAGTCTTTCATGTTAGATATGCCAGGCTTATGCTTTCTGCTGAGGGATGATTTGCGGTTGATTGGATGCGTTAAAACAAAAAGTAACTTCACATGGACTCTCTTTGGCCATATATGAGGAATTCCATACAGTGCCGATTCTCACTTTTTTTCTGTCATAAGTAGCCCAAGCTCTATATAAGAAAATGTATGTACTACCTTGATTAAGATTCTCCTGCTCATACTACAGATTTAAAAGTTTAAATGTGGAAATACGCGGAAACTGAACACTGACCAAATTTCTCGGTAAAAATCGTCTTAAAAATCACACCGGAGGCAAAAGAACGGTCAACTGAAGCATCATCGCTAATTTTTTTTTAAGTACTTAAATATTGGACTCTTTGTTTCAAAATACAATCGTTTTCACCATGCAAATCTTTACGTTTCTACTAGTACGAAATAGCAACGTAGTACAAGTGCACTTCTTCTAAAGATCTTGAGCTACTTGTGGTCCCTACCTCTAACTTTAACCGGTAGACCTGCTCAAAACTACTATCAAAATGCGATCCTTTCAGTTCCCACTTTAGAGGCAGCATTTGTAGACGTTTCATTCGTCTTATTGGCCACGATTGATGTAAATCTCGTATTCCAATTAGAAAACAATGCACCTGGAGGAGATGTTGAGTAATTCTGTCAGCTCGTTACAAGATACAAAGAGCTACGTCAACCAACTTCAAGCTCAAACTGCTTTGGAAAAGAAAGAACGGGCAAGGTAAGAGTTTGCTACTCTCTCCTGGTCTCTCGGTCAGCGGCGACGATCCAAAAAAAACCGTGTAGGTGGACAAAAGCTAGGTTCTTTGAAAAAAATAGGGCCTATTTTTCTAAAACCTTGCTGTTTTTTGCCGGTCCAAACTTGGATCACCTCAGTCGATCTATTATTCACCTGCTATTTCTTTGTGGTGCTTTCCAGCACACATAAAACCAATCCTTACCGGGAGAGTTCTCTTACGCCTAGAAAAACAAATGTGATCCATCGAAGCATTCATGGGTAAATCCGCGATTTTCAAGTTACATAACTTCCATGCCTCATGTGGCCGAAGTCTCTTCAAAAGGGTAATCGTTCCTTTTTGTCGGAGTCAAGCCATGTTTTTGAGTTGCATTTTAGCTGTCGTTTTTAACGTCCTTGTTCTAGTTTCACTCGACGCCTACACATATTAAGCTTCATATTTTAATGGATTTTTTAATTTTCCTTTCATTGAGGGAAGGGAAAAGGAGTTACAATGTAAATTATCCCCCTCTCGAGCGTGTTTGTCGGTTCTCTGTTAAAAATTTAAATACCATTTGGGTATAGCTTGGTTAAAGGACATCTATAAAATTTAAGAAAAGATACATGGTAGAACTGGGAAAATAAAAAAACCGGCTGCTCCATAAAATTGTCTCAGACAGTAGAAAATAGAGCAATATAGAGCCCTGCTATTGTGACAGCCTTTGACGCTCGCGAAAAAACCGCGCTATTAGTTGTAAAATCTAAAAGACACGTATTAATATTCCATTGTTTTGTGCCTCGTGGTATGTGGTTCTTGATTTGACGTCCGTATTTGCCCTGGCGTGTTAGATCATTCTACGCTTGGTAAACACGACATAGATATTAAAAATGCAAATTTCGGTAGATTAGAACATTCCTGACCTAGCTTCTTGCCTAAAAATTGAAAAAGTCCGGATTAACACAGCTTTTGTTACTCCACAAAGCTATGTTAGCTGTGACACTCGGACTAGAAGTGGCATTTTGAATAGGGAGCTCAGATATATTTTTTTCCGTGTAACTTCTAGCACATAGCAGTATTAATCCTAAGCGTCGAGTTCTATTTTTATACCACAAAACCAGAGGTTTAGCTCGAAGTCGGTGCTTAAATAAGGTGCCGCCGCTTAAAATGCTGCGCTTTTTCTTTGTTGAGTATGCGTTATGTTCGGGGACTGTAGTATATTGTTTTGATTGGTAATACGGAAACTGTTATGTCTCTTTTTCCCGTTCTTTTGACCGCCGACAATTTCTCGGATTTACTTTGAAAGAGGCGTACTTAAGTACGTTTTAAGCCCGTTAATTTGATTCTTTAGGGGGAAAAAAAAACTATCGAGGGAGCTATGAACTAAAATTACTAAGGCAACCTGCAGAGGTCAGATGAATGAAAACATTGCAGTTAATAATAGTAAGATGACCCTTTTGCATTTTGACTGCGTCTCCGCTAAATGACCGTGATTAAATATAAGGAAACACCAAAAATGATTGCGTTTGAAAATTTTTTTCTACACAGTGATAACAGATCTAAATGATCAAAACATCAATGAGATAAGGGTAGTTTTGTTTGTTTACTTTTAAGCAAAAGGGAAATTAGTTTATAAACTGAAGTATCGAAGTTGATATGTATTTGCTGCATTGTTTAACTAAAATTTTTTTTTGCGCCGTCTTGTCATTAAACGACGTTAATAGTTTTTGTCGCGTCGGCGGTCTTAGGTCCCTGCAGATGTTTTCTAGTTGGGCAAATTGAGCAAAGTTAGGGCTATTATCTCAATATAGAAATATTACTCAGCCCCTCTATAACTCGGGAAAATTAATGAAATGTCGTTGTGGATATCCAATGATTTCTTTGGAGCTGCTTGCATCACTCTTTGTTTTACTCTGAGGAAAAATCTCGATAATTTCATACCGCTGTCAACCATGGAATATTTATTTATGCAAGAATTTTAAGTACATGTGTGTATAGGTGGTATAGCAATTACGTCTGCCAATTTATGGTCGCAAGCTGTTTGCACAGTGAGAGCTGTTCGTGCAATCTCATCACAACATCATCAAAGTTGATTGATTGATGAATGCCATGTAAAGTTTTAACCAAAGCTCTTGGATTACACAACCTTTTGTAGTCTTACATTCGCCACAGAAGTTACAAGTTCACAGTTTAGTTAAAAGCCTTGTCGTCATTGTTTTTGTTGGATTGGTACACGAATAGCTCAGATGTCTTATTCGCCAACTGCTCCAACTTACGTAAGTCGACTGGATCCCCAGTTTCGTCGTTTCGTCAACGTTGTCTACCATGAGTCGCCCACATCGAGTATGAACGACTTGAGTGAGGGAACGACGGAATCCTTGAAGTCTGGTTCGTTTTCAGAGAAATCTCCAGAATTTATTGCTGTTGACGCATATGTCGATGATGGTTCTTCTAGAATTCAGGGTCAGCGAGAGGTTTCTGAATTTTATCTGGAGTACGTTAATGTTCTTAGCAGCGGTAGCGAAACGTCATTTACGAGTGATGACAAGGAAATTGCCAAATCATGGCGGGAAAGTCCAAGTCTTTCCAGTAACTCCGAACAACGCTACAACCGAGATAGAATTCCAAGCCATTTTTCTCCAGAAGATTCGGTGTTTTTGAGTGATAGATGTCAAGAAAGTTTATACGAAGAAAATGAGATTAATCCCTATTTGCATAACAGATCAGGCACGAAAAGACTCAGTGATTCAAATCCCCCGACCTTTCGATCCTTTTCAAGTGAAGCCGGCTCAAAAGGAAGTTACAGATACCAAAAGGATGTAGAACGTTTTCGGGAACATCTAGAAGGCATCGAAACTTCTGCCCTATCGAGCTGTTATCAGGAGAAGGATAATATTAACTCAGACCCCTGGTTTCGTGGTCAAGAGGTCAATTCGGACGGTCTACAAAACACGTCACGCAGAATACATGACAGCTTGGATGATTTGTTTTCGGAAGATTCAGAATTGTGTGACAGCTCGGAAGTTGTTGAAGATGGCTATTCATCCACAAGCAGTGCTGACAGTAGTTTTGTGCGCTTCGCACTCGTTGGAAAACGGGGGAGCCAAAGAATGAAGAGAAACGTTCCCACCAGGGTCAACAAGATGGATCGTAAAAAAAAGCACAGCAGCGACCCATCTCGAGAGAGAAGAGAATCTGGAGGAAAAGATGGCGACGAAGGAGTTATGGCTTGTGTGGTTTCAGGAATTTCTGGTGGACCTGCTGTCAGAGTGTTTCGCAATGAAGTTTCGCAGCAAACGTATCCTAGGTCGAGGAGGCGTGAAGTACGGTATCCACGAGATTTGGAAGAAGCTCTGACTCGTCGAGATGAAACGAAAAGTGCTGGGAGTGAGAACAATGACTCGGAGGGGACACGAGCCCAAAACAAAAGAAGCAATGAGAGTGGCCGTAGGGTCGTATTTGGAGTGTTTAGAACTCAAGGAAATCCTCCTAGCATTGATCGAGAAAGTGGAAGAAGCTGCGATACAAAAAAGCTTCATCCTAATCGAGAAAATTCCATTCATAACATGGAGAACTTCACTGATCATGACGGCCGTTTGCCAGCCTTCGACGGAAACAAACGTTTTACCCAAGATCTTCTCTCCCTAACGGCAAGTCGCAATGATGGTGGTGGTGGAAATGATGGCTACTTTTCCGCGGAAGATGGGATGAATGCCTTTTCTGGGTCAAAGAAAGTCACTCTGGCAAGCGGCGTCTGGAAACGGATGTCGACTAATGCAGGAAACGAGTTGCGTACAGCTGACGAACGAGTAAAGCAGAAACAGCGGGAAAATGCGAAAAGAGATGACCAAAACTTACTTGCACATTCAATGACGAGATCGCTCAATAGTGGAAAAGATGAACGAGGCACCGCTTTAGAGTCGCACCTATCAGGCTATATAGAACGACCGATCGATGTAAGTGTTAAGGCCATAAGTAGGACCCCGAAAGTCCGAAGACCACGGAGAAAGCCTAGTGAAGTCGAGCAACAGGGTTTGCATAACGACAACGAAAGGATGAAAGATTCAAAGTTTCTGTCAGAAGAAATGCATGCAAGCTATCTTGAAAGGCAACACGGATTGAAAGACGGAAGATTAAGAGACCAGTCCGAGGTACATAGAGATGACTTTATCAATATTCAGGAACCCTCTTCAGCTTTGAATTCTGCAACCTTTTCATTAGATCTCAGTAGTGATTGGCAAGATCGGACAGAACGTGGAAATCCTGAAGCAAGAACAGAATATTCAAGTCCAGAAGCGCAGTTGAAAATAGATAAAGTACATGGAAGTACACCGCTTGAGTATGACGCTGTTGTATGGAAGACTGAGTTAATGACCCCTGTTAAACAGACTATAAATGATTCTATCAGGGGCTCCCTCCAGTTCAACAGCGATTGTGACTCTGAGTGGCAAGTATGTGTGCAGAAGAGTGGTCGACCGCATCCAGAAGGTCATATGGGCGTGACGCTCGTATCTGATTTGGACGATTTCGAGCATTCTAGTGAAGGAAAGCGTACCTTAAGCCAGACTTCTGAAAGCAATCAGGCTAATTTAGGTGTTCCCAAATCAAGAGAAGTTTCTCTTAACTATCTGAGAGGAAAAATTGCAAGGCACGATTCTTTTGAAAGGCCAAGGCAAAACTCCCCAATTACTACTGAAAACTGGAGTATAGATCGAGGTGTTGAGCTAAATGCGGCCAACAACAGTGATGGTGTAGATCTCAATGAAAATGATAGCATTTCTAAAGGTGCTGGCGACTTCGCTGCTAAGGCCACCCGGAAAGAAAGTGGCTCTCCAGCTTTTTCAGGTGGAACCACAGAAGTGAGTATGGATACAGATGATACCTGGAAGGGAGATGATGTGAGTTATCAGAGAGACGAAATGGATATCGCCAGCCCAGAACCTAACAGGACACCAGGTATTGGTTTGGAAGCAAATGAGGAGACCGCTTATGTGAAAAGTGCTGAAAATGATATGGAAATTGCAAAGCAACCAAGGGATTTCCCTTCGTTTCTTGATTCACAAAACGAAACCAAGAGAAAGGCGGCCAAGGAAGACAAACGTGAAACAGGGTACTCCAAGAAAATAAAGCGTCTTTCAGAAACTTATACTGAGGGAGACGAACTTCTTCCGACGATAAAAAGTGAATTCTCTTTGAAACCTTTCAGTTCGACGGTACAACGTTTAGAACGAAACTCAACTGAAAGACCTGAAGAACACCGGACAACAACCTTTGGATATCCAAGAAGTTTGTACCAAGAAACGGCTTGTGGGAAGAAAGCTTCCAAAAGATATTTCCACACAGAGCAAGATCAGGGAAGGGAGAACTCTTCGACAGAAGATGTTAGCCGAGAAACATTTGTGAGAAGCGACCATTTCAGTACTTCGTATCCTTCGCAAACGACAAGCAGTCAAGGAACGTTGAAATCCACTTCACTTCTGGAATCGACGACAGATCGGGCCCTTGCCTTAGCAGACCATGACGACAAAAGTATCTCTCTTAGTCCAGAGTTGGAGAATGATTTTGCGTCAACACATGGGATATCGAGGGAAGAAATACGGGAACCTCAAGGTTCCTTTACAGCTCCTTCTTCAGAAGATGGTGCCAAAACGTTTGAGCTGATGTTGGAACGAAGTGCACAGAAGAGATTGACCGAAGAAATGCCGCAATCCAGTTCAAGCACTCATCCGAAGTCTTCGATTCAGCCTTCTATGGAAAGTGTCACCACCTCAGTGCTAGAGTTGGAGGGGAAGAGCCAAAGGAGACTTCTAGGAGAAATCCCAGATATCAGTTCTCGTAGTTCTTTGATAGCCCCTTTGGAGACTATTGCGTCTTCAGGACCAAAGGTGGAAGGCAGTGGACAGAAGATACTAATAGAAAAGAGTTCGGAAATCAGTTCCAGAGAACAAGAGAGTTTCTTGGCAGATCCTTCTTGTATAGAGAGAGGCACATCTTCAAAACCAGAGATAAAAGGCAATGAACAAAGGAAAGCGACGGATCCAATCCCACAAATTAGTTCTAATGGTCATCCGACCTCCTTAACAGCACCATCTTCTGAGGAAAGTGTCACATCTTCAAAGCGAAAGTTTGAAGCCAGTGGACATTCAGTGTTGACTCCTGAAATGCCAAAAACATTTTCCAGCTATTTTCAGAGTTCCCCGACCGCGCCCTCTTTTATTGAAACGTCCACATTTTCAGAACCAAAGTTGGAAGGAAGAGAGATTAGTAGATTGAATGAAGAAAACCCGGGAACTAGCTCCAGAGATGAACAAAGTTCCTCGACAACACCCTCTTTAAAAGAGAGTACCGCAACTTCAGAGCCAAATTTTGAAGGCAATGAAAAGTTGGGAGACACGGAAAAAATCTCTAAAATCAGAACTATCGACCTTCAAAGCTGTTTTAATGCGCCTCCCAAGGAGACCTACGCATCATCTAAACCAAAACTGGAAAGCAAGATTCTAGAAAACATTCCGACTCCGGACAACGGTGGTCGAAATAGCGATGGGGATGACTCCAAGTTTTCTGACTTTTCCGGGAAGGAAAATAACCTCCATGTCCTTATCCTGCCTGGGGATGAAGTAGTTGTGTGGGATGACATCGAGTCTAAATCTTTCTCCACAGGTCATTCGTTAATCTTAAACAATGACAATGAAGTTCCAGATGCTGATAAAGATGCTGAGAAGAAGCTACGATCTCTCAATACGCTCACAGACACTGTCCTCAAGGAGGATGATAATAGGAAAAACCTAACATCGTCAACAGGAATTCCCACTTGGACAGAAACTTCACGACTTCACAGATACTCTAACGATGAATCAAGAGCTAATAGCTCTTCTGAAGAATTTGGCGGCTACGTTGAGCGAGATGCAGATTCCTTAGATCCTAAAACTGATCACGAAGACAGAGAATTTAGCAATAAGGAGCTATGCGTAGTGGAGAATGTTTGTTATGTAGCTTCTACCGACAACGATTGTCAGTGGGAAGACGGATCTCAAAGCGTGAAGCTTGACGGTGATCTTTTGGTCGAAAGAAATGCCTTTTTCTCCGAACAGGAGATGGGTTCAAGTCCCTCCGAATCCCTAGAAATTAGAAAGACAGATGACGGTTTAGTCTGCGACGAGGAAATGAGAGGCAATGAGGTAAACGAGATTTCTTGTACCTATGACATGGATGAATACTCTTCTGAAGATCAGGTGATCGAAGTCTATGGAAACGATGCACCGTACTCGACGTATCCTGAAAACAGTTACTCAAGTTCAGGAGATATTAACATGAAAACTGAAAGTGACGCCCTTGCATATGTAGGAAGCAAGGTTGTGAGTGAGGAAATCCGTGAACCAGCTGAAACGAGAAAAATTCACCTGGTGCAACCAGCAGACGGATTAAGTGGACGCTCGTCATATGGTTCTGATCACACTGAATCACCGAAGGAAAATGAAAGTTTTTGTGAAACAGAGGCCAATTTTGGGATAAAGGAAGTTTGTCATCAAAGACTTTTAACCGTTTCAGCTACAATCCCACATTCTAACTCAGAAGAAAATTTCGAAATTGCTCCATTATATGAACACTATACCGACTATTCAGCCGTGCAGGGTCTTGACAAGCAATGCCAAGTAGAAATCCTACAGGATAATTTCCGGAAGTACGAATCAAGGGAAAGTCAGACTTCTTTTTTGAACGGTGCTACAGATAGGGGATATCAAACAAATAAGGTCAGTGACTTACCTAATCTTAGAGGCACATTGAAAAACCAAAGTATCGAATGTCAAACGGAGTTACCTACCATTTGCTGCGTCAAGTGCGGAGGCCCTGTAGATTCATTCGAAATTCGCGATAAGCTACCAGAGGAATGCCGATACACTGAGAGAGAATCCCAGACAATCTCTGGATATGGGCATATTTCGACATCATCGAAGGAATGTCAGACAAGTCCTGCAAGAGATGATTTTGCACAATTACTGCTTCATCAAAGCAGTGCAAAGATTATTGGGAGTAGAGCAGTTCAAGATATTTCCTTTGAAAGCAAGGGATGTCAAACGTCTCAGAAGAGCCTTCTATTAATCACTGGCGGAGCGCAGTCCCCTCAGGGATGGACATCATATCACAAGGCTGGCGTTTCGGACAAAGAAATCCAAACATCATCTAATGTTGTGTTCGTTTCATCACCAGCCCAGTGCGACATACTTCCCTTCACTGATATTGGTGACGTAGCTGCACGAGAAAACGAAACATCCCGGATTGTTTCCTTCGATACAAAAGAGTGTCAAACAGTGCGTGACCTTGAACTTCTTTTGGCGACGTCCAAATATTGTCAGACCTTTTCTTTCGAAACTATAAGCGCTGGGAACGGAAATAGACCAACACTCGACAGCAAAGGATGCCAAACTCTCCCCCCCAGTCAAACCGAGTCAAAGGAATGCCAGACAGTGGAGGAAGTTATATGGGATACAACTGATGCTGCTAAAAGTTCTAAGGATGATCAAAGCGTAAGTAATATCAGCGTACAGTGCCAAACAATATCTGACTCAACAAATGAACTATATCATCCACTGTGGGACCGTTTCGATTCGATGGAAGTGGGTGGCGAGGATGCTAGAAGTAAGTCCTCTGACCCTCTTCATCGAAATGCGCTTACCATAAGTTGTGAAAACAAAGGAAGTCAAACAAAGCCTGAGAGAGATATCCTCCTTACATCTTCAAAACTCTGCCAGACGACAATTTTAGACACGGCTATGGCCTGTAAGAACAAAGAAAGCCAGACGCAACTGGATTACGAAATCTTCTTAATTTTGTCAAAAGCATGCCAAACAATACCATACGGTTTGGACGATACGGATTCAAAGTCTTCCATTGATGGGCCTATTGGCTCTCAAGACTTTGAATTATCTCTTGCTGAAGGCAGCGACCAGCAATTAGAGATCTTCAGTCCGCCAAACCAGATGGCGTCTCGCCATCGTCCAGCCACTTATGGCAAGAGCCCCGACACTATTGAGGAATCCGTCATGGGATTTCAATTCTTCCATGGAATGGACGAAACAAACCTTTGCAAAAATAACGGTTTGGAACCACTTTCGCCAGTAAGCTCTTCTGTAGTTGTGGAAGTCTTAGACAAAGGCTGTCAAGCCATGTTGTGCGATTGTGGAAACTGCGCTGAACAACATGCGCTCTTGAGCAATTCTGCTGAAATGTCAAGTGATGCTGAGAAAGGGTATTTTCTTTTCTTTCTTTCTCTCTCTCTCTCTCTCTTTTTCAATTGTCAAACGTAAATACCTTCATGGTTCTTCGCCTTTCGATTAAGAAGTAAAATAAGTGATAACTTTATTTGCGAGAAAAATGCTGTCGATGTTCCTTTGTTTAGCTTTACGTGATAGAGAAACAAGTCGTTCCAGCGATTCAGTTAATCAGAAAGCGCTATTTGTGGCATGTTTTCTTCATCTAAATGCTATCATCATGTACAATTCGTTGTGGAAGTAACCAACTTGTCCTACGTTATTATGATCTGAGACATTTATGATTCCGTAAATCTGCGCATTCGATCTTCTTCGACTACCTTGTCAAGGTTACTTTTGGTAAAAATTCGTAATCCAAACCTAAATCAAGAAAATAATTGAAGTTTAGGGAATGCCAGCTACATTGATTACTGATGGCTTATTTTTTAAAGTTGAGCGGCTCATGTTCCCAACAATCTTGCGATTGGTTGGGGCTCGTATTAAATTATGAAGCCGTGTAATGGTTGCCTTGTTAAGGCAGAGGTTTAATGTTCGATAACAAAGTTTCACTTTTGCGTTTTAGGGCGGCTATGCGAGTGTCAGAAGGTATGCAAAAGGAACAAGCAAGTCTCATTAAGCAGCTGGATATGCTCAGGTAACATAGCTTCATTGCTTATTTAGGACGATGCTCTCTCCCATACGGAAAGTCAAGTAAAGCTCAACGTCTCTTGTTGAGATGCGGTTAACTCTTTGGCCCCTACGAGTGACATACATCTAATTTCCCCTGACAATATCACCCCTGGATCATACATTAATGTTACGAGAATAAAGCAAATGATCATCAACTAAACAAGGTCTTTACCGTTCAACAACTCTCCTTGTTGGTTCCTTTGGAAATGTATACAGAACAGAATGGAGACTATGCATACTGATATTAGGATGTAAAGGGTTAAGCGCCCCTTCCAGTTACTGTAATTTAAGGGACCTGTGTTAAAGAGTCATTTTTGCAACATACAGAATTGATTGGGGTATTATTGCTATGGTCAGAGTTATAGCACTTTAGATTTTTGATTCTATGTTTCCTTTTTGTTTTTGCCAATGTTTTCAAAGTAAAAAAGAGAAGTCACATACAACTTCCTAAAATCGTTGTTTACCTCTGCAACCGAATTAACAACTGCTCATAGCTCGGGAGAAACTTGTCTATCACTCCATCGTGTTTTGTAGCTATCTTTACGCTCTGTTTTTTAGCCATCTTTGCAATCAGAAACTTAAAACTCGTTTGCCTCTGAAACTCGGTACTTACACTTAAAACTAACTGCTTGTTTATCTTTACTACTTTTCATTAAAGGGATATGAATCAGAAGCTCAGAGATGACAAGGATGCAATCGAGGCAGCACATCAAGCGGTAAGCCCCAAACTGGTTTAACTTGTCGAAAAGTTGACAGACCTGTTTTGATAACCTGACCAAAGGACTTCCTTATATTATCTTTACTGACGCCGTTCATTGACTATTTGTCGTAACAATTACTTATTGAAAAGCTATGAGTAATGGAAAAGCAAATTAACAATGCTGACGTACGTACGTTATTAATGATGGCACAGTTTACCCAACTTAAATTGACTTGATGGTAATTTCGATATAATACTAGTTAATAAGATATTAATCAAGAAATAATTTGTAATGATAATCATTCTCTCTAACTGACTTATTTTTGCCAATGCCTGCTGCGCATGTGCTGGACCTTCCCATGGGATTCGCCACAGATGTTAATGGCTGTACGTATTTCTTGATTTTTTTGGCTTGTTAATTTTTTTATTTTGTTTTGGTTTATTCTGTTCTTTTTTTTTCGGTAGCCTTAACATGTTTTTTAATTCTCCCTCGAGTGTACGAAGGTTTTTTCATAGTTTTCTATGAGAGAAAAATTGTTCATCGAATTAAATCATTTTAAAATATATTCTCAGGAGTAACAACTAATCATTGCTTGAAACCGATGAGTTAAATACTTTGAACTCTCTTTTAAATCTTAAAACTTAAATTGTAATTTTTCTGAGGTAAGTTTCGATGTTTAGCTGGCTTAATTTTTTAAATTTCTTATTATTATTTTAAACCTCTCGTAACCGGCTGTCATTGTTAGCCACCGTTTAAATAGCCACGTCACGGGAGATCCTTCTCCAAGATCGCAGCTGCAACCTTAACCAGTAAATATTAATTTCTACCGGAAATTTACACCAGCTTTAAAACAAGCACATTCGCTTGGTAATCCTCCAGAGTTTAATTTTGGCCTGGAGTTTTTTCCAGAAGAGAAAATTTATGTGGAATCTGTAGAAATTGGATGTAAGGTTCTGGCTTCTTGAACGCTTTCAAATGTGAGCAATGTCGTATTTTTATATCCAAGAATAGAGGTTTCATTGTCGCTTACCTGGACTGCGTAATTTTCTGCTCTGAGGGTTGTTTTTCCTAAAATGTTTAATTCATGCGTCATTTTGGAGAAAGGTTTATTCCTACTGTTGTGCGACTCTATAGAAAGTGGCTGTGATAAGGCTTTTCAAATCCTCCCTTTAACGGGCATGAGGCAAAAACGCTCAACTAATGCAACCAACGCAAGCAAACATGGTGTACCATTTAAACATACAAAGTAACTTTCCTGAAACAACAGTTTGTGTGACCTTAAGGAAAGACTCCTAACTCACCTGTTACCGTGATTTGCCTTCTTTATAACAATTTATAATTGAGGGTCGAGAGTTATCCGGGATTGCACTGGTTTTGATCTTCTTTGCTCTGTGATTGGTCAAAAAAAAACTTCCACCACTCCCTCAACCACTCAGATGCAAAACTTAAACCAATCACGACTTGGTCGCCCGCGTTTTCCCGCGCTTTAGGCAGCTTGGTTGGTTTTACTTTGAGTTCTCATTGGCTCTTAATGATATTTTCGTTTCTTCTGATTGGTCATTGTGATTGTTTTGGTTTTGATTTTACGAAACTCAATTAAAATGCGCTCCAATCGCTCCGACAAATGCATGGTGCACTTGGGCCGTCGAGGAGGGCTTCTATCAATCACCAAACTGGACCTCATATAAGCACAAACTTGTAGACTTCTTTAAATTTGAAATAAACTGTGAAATGTTAGTGCCAGGCGTAAAGCATAACGTACTTTAACTTAGGCCTAATAAGTACTGCTTATTAAACAGAAAAAGGAAAGAGGACATGGCAGTCTCAGTGATGAGATTGAAGAAGCCGAGGTAAGATAAAATACTAATTTGAAATTTTCAGGTTTGGTTTAAGATATCTACACCTATTGAATATTTGCCTTTTTCAGATAAAGCGTAAATTAACTTCAGGCGTTCTTACGCAAAGAACGTGTGAAAGCTCACTCTTTAACTTTGGATTATAATGCGTGGCGTGTAAATTAAAAGTGAACACTGAGTTAAAAAAAAAAAAAAGCTTAATGCTGTTGAGTTAAAACTCCGCACACGATATCATTAAAGGATCTCGTACAATTTTGACTGCCTTACGTAACAGAAATTTGAAAGTCTAATGGTTGCTTCAAGTTAATTGTTGCTTGTTCAAGATACTGTGAAAGTAATCTTATAATGAAGGCAAACTTATGTATGTAAACAAGTGTAAACATATTCAAACGTTTCAACAGCTTGGAAGGAAAATCTCGTTCCCAGGGCCTTCTTTACAGTGAAAAGTTTAGTCAGAGATGAAATTTCTCCTCACATCCGGATTGGCTCGTGTTTCAAGCGAAATACAACAAGCACGATGGGAAATGGCTTCGCCCAGAGCCATGCTGTGTTGAAAATCGCGCCCTCGCATGGAACAGGGCTAAAATTGAAGAAACATTTATTTGTCCCTTGAAGGGTTAGGAAAATGAAAGTCAATGAAGTTGATAAACATTATTCGACTTGACAGTGTCCTTACTTGATTACGTTATTTTGACGTCCACGTGCTTAGCTGTCCGAAGCTCTAATATTCCCTGGCAGGTTAGAATCATTATGTACCTAGCCACCTACAGAACGTCCCCTCCTTGATGCCCTAATGTTTTTTTTTGACAGAAAAAGACCAAAGTTTCTCGGCAAGGTTCCCAGATGTCCAAGTACGTGAGAAAGAGACGTACCCCTGGTGCGGAGGAAACATGGGGAAACCAAGGTTCCGTGGGATCGTTAAGTGAAGAGGAAGTTGACGGGCCTAACAAAAGGTTTGTTGGGATAAGAGGGATACATCTTTCAACAGGAGGGTGGATACACTAGACATTTTTTTTTTGGGGGGGGTAAATGGGGAGCTCAGGGAGATTGAAAGATTGAAAGGGCTAGGGTACTTGTTTTGTTAATCGTGTTTCCCGCATTATCAACAGGAACTCGAGGTATCCCAGGATGCAAAAATGAGGAGGGGAGGGGGGAAGTGGGAATTGGGTGAAATTTTGATTTTTCTTCCAAAAGTATTTCATTATTTAACCTGTTAAAACCATCGTAAGTCCCGCAAATTGCAGCAATTTGCAATCCTACATAAATAATTTTAACACTTACACATTTTTTAATCATTGACATCAAGTTGTTATTATTACTTAAAAAAATTGAAAAAAGGAGAACTACCACAATATGACTATGAGACAAATAATCCACATAAACATACATTGGTTAGAACCAAAAACTAATAACGAAAAGACAAAATAAGTTTGCATTAAAAAGAGTTTGTAAATTCCCTCAAAGCCTGTTTTAACACTAAACTCAACCTCAGAGAGAGAAACTTTACCTTTTTTGTGGAGGAGACCTCTTAATAAAACCTTGAACTTTATCTCAAGATGATCGCCATTATTCTTAACTGACTGATGAGATTGGTCCTTTAATAAAAAAAATCCGTTAATAATAACATCTATTTGGCCAAATCAGGCAGTTCTTGAATTTTAATCACTAATCTAATGGAATTTCAAATGAACTTGCCTAGTCGGTTAGTTACGACTGAAAATAATTTCCACTAAATGAGAAGCACTCCCTTGATAAGTTAACTCTTTGACCTCCCGGCGGAACTAGGATCTAATTTCTCCTTACAATATCACCTTAGGCCACAACAATAAAAGAAATGATAACCAACCAAAGAAGTTCTTGATGGTTAAATAAATTCTCCCTGTCAGCGCCTTAGAAAATGTGTAAAGAACTGTATGGAGAATATGCATAATGAAGTTCGGGTGAAAGTAGTGAAGCAAGAACAAGCAGTAAATCTTACGAAGTAACTTCGTGGTTAATAGTGAATTTCTTAAATGTAGTTAAACGTGATTTAAACCTATCTTTTATAAGTGACTCCGCACGACCTCCCGCGAGAAGGCGATCTAAACGGCGCGACATGAAGAAACAGGGCTCTGTTTTGCATTCGTATTTCCCAAATGCTGGTACTGGTAAGCAAAGGTAGGTAAAAATGGAAGATATTACAAATTGAATCTGATCTGCTCAAGTTGAGCGGAGCTAAGGTCCTCAAACCATATGAAAATATGCTAAAAAAAACACTTTAAATAAAGGAAGTAAAAAGGTGACGACTTAAAGGATTTAATTAAATGCTTCAAGTAAGAATGTTAAATAGTTTGAAAGATAAACCTCTATTCGACTCAGTGATATTTTAGCTGTTTGACCGCGATCGTGGAAAATGTAATCTTCTGACCGCCATCCATGGATGTATCATTTCACAAAATTTTCAAGAAACGAGTTAGGACGCTGCTTTTTCACTCGAACCTTGTGTACCCTTAGGTTTGTCCTTTGAGGAATTAATTTTAGAGGGAAAAAAATTGGGTACCTTAGTAATATATTTATCACTCTTCATTGAGTCTGCGCCTGTCTATTCAACTAAGTTGCTGTTTTATTTTATCAGCGATGGCAGGTGTCTAGCAAGATCCAAGCTAATAATATCTATAAATGATGCTAAAACCGATAGAAATAGTGAGATTGATAATGATAACACCAATAACATCACTGCAAAACGTCATGGTCAGTTTTTCATAACTCAGACTTGAGCATTCGACTGACAAACAACTCCGATAATCACTTCTGCTTAGTTGGTCGAAACGTCAATGGATGTTACTGACATCAGTTCATTTCAGAACTACTCTCACTGAGAGTAATATTTTATTAATATTTTAAATGCAAGAACACATTTCCGCTTTAAACAGGCTGCTTTTCTTTTACTACCAGCTCTGCGTCCCTCCCTGACTCCATACGAGAAGAGGCTGAATTTGAAGGAGATCCAACTCTTGAACTCATCTCAGATGAGAAGCTGCAAGAGGAAGAGCGGCCGGCTTGGGCCCAAAAGATACTGTCTTGTGTGCAACCTAAAGGTATGAATAACAATCCTTCCCTGCAAGTGACTCAGACATATTTGGTAGAGAAAAAAAGAAATTCCAACTGCTCCTCAGAGGTAGCAATTCCATGTAACTAGGTACCCTAGGCTTAGGAAAACATCCTGTTTGCTACTGGGATCCAAGAAAAGTCCATTTGTTGAAATTGGGTGATGATGGAGACATAGGTAAAATCATGTTATGAAGAGGAAGCATGACCGAGTTTTTAGGGGACTGGACTTTCAGTTCTCAGTTACCCATGGTTCAATCGTTCGGCGGCGCCCCTCACCTAGCCAGAGAGTATACCTTCGACCTTCTGACTATTTGTTTTCGATTTGGTGTATTTCTTTCTATTTGCAATAGCCCTTTCAGCCCTTTTTGGAAGTGGTTAATTCAGATTTCATTATCATTATCACATCAGAGTGGTACACCATAAAGTTTAACTTATTTTGGTGGAACATACACTTGTCAAATAGTTGGCACCACTATACGCGGAAAAAAGGAGATAACTAGTTTCCCAACATAGTTGCCAAGTTGTGTCTGCGAGTGGACGTATTGGTAGTCGCTAGACGTGCCGGTATGCGTCTTGGTAAAAGGAAACCAATCTTAAAATAATGCTGTCGGGGTGTAAGACAAACTTTGCTTAACTGCCGTTCTCAAAACTGTGTAAAGAGAACCGAGAAAAACCGAATACACTTAATCCAGCAACGCTATATATTTTAGAACTTGTAGAAGAAGAGGGAGAAGATTCACAGATGAGGACAAGCGACGAAGAACTCGAAGAAGACGTGTTCAGAACAAGAAAAGCTGATTTGATATCTGGTGATGGTAAGTTGTTCTCTTAAGTGTACATTTAAATCAGTCAGCGCTTATTTGCTGCTCGGAAGGTTTGATTGAAATAGCTCTACAGTGGATAGAAGACAGATTAAAAAAACAAAAGGTGGGAAGACTAATGTTTGACTACGTCTAATTCTCAAACTAGGTAAATATTTTATTTTTATTCACAAAAGTACAAATATTTTCGCAACGTTGCTGAAATTGCTTTAAGTCAAACAGCTGAAAGTTTTTATTAAGTGCAGTGGAGATCACTAATGTGCGTGAACGCAGCGTGGAATATGGGATATCATAAACCATGGTTTCGCTCTCAGGTCTTTTATGTCGGCGTTACACACCTTGCGCGCATGTCTTCATAACAAACTGAGTTTCCAAGACTTCTACATGTTTATAACTGACTGTATATATTTATAAGTGACTGATTGCTTTCCTGTTTCAGGCACCAACAGGTTAAAAACAGGGAAAGATGACTCCGACATGTCATATTCTGAGGGATTGAGCGGCGAAACTGGCAGTGAGACAGACGAGAGACCAAACTCCCCACGCGCAGCGCCTGTCGGGAAGGACAATGAAATGAATCGAGTAGGATCAGTAAGTTTGTAACTGTCTCCTGTTTTGGCGATTGTTTCTTTTTGGCGATGCATTCCCAATCATACTGCTTCAGGTGTGGTTTGCCTGTCGGTCCCCATTTTTTTATTTTCTGTATGCATGTCCTAGTGGCACTTCTACTATTCTCTATAATATTTAAATTCAATTTTGAAGATAAATTATATTTTTTATTTAAGTTTGTTGTCTGCCCAACCTCACAATAAAAGTTACTTCAAACTTGTTTGTGAGATGGCTTTACAGTACTTTATTTACATCGAGTTTTGTTTATGTGAAAGTGGCCTATTATTTCTGTTATTAATTGTTTTGCTTCATCTCGTTATCATATTCATCGTTGCTAATTTTTCAATTGTGAGCTGCTTTTTCATGTTGCACAAGCAAATAGTGTGTTGTTATTTCCTTGCTATTGTGCTGGTTTTTTTTTCAAATTTTCGTTTTGTGTAACCCACATCTAGAACAGCCTTTGTAAGTCGAAAGTCAACACATGAATAGATCAAGTTCTTTCACTAATATTTTTCTTTCTCCTCTATTACTAAAGCTCGTTATTTTTCTTTCTGGAACTCACAGCAGGACATGAGCGAAGCAGGTGTGTCGACGATTAGTGAGCCCTCCACACCAGAAAGAGTGTTCAAAGTGGTGTTTGTTGGCGACTCTGGTGTAGGAAAGTCTAGTTTCATCCACCGGTTTTGCCATGACGCTTGGAGACCTTCATTCACTGCAACGATAGGTACTTAGTTCATTACACATCGTGCAGGGTAGTAATGTCAATCTTAAGTCAAGTCAGGTTTTTTATGCAGTTTTGAAGAGAGAGAAATTTCCAACTGAGTGTCGAAAGTAATTTAGGATTGTATGGGTTTTGTGTTACTCTGCTCAGTGGTCCAGAAAACTTGTGCTACTCTCTCAACCAATCAAAACCAACTGCCTCTTGGTGACCCACTCTTTCCCGCGCTTTAGGCAGTGTGCTTGTTTTTCGTTGAGCTTCCACTGTTCCCTCGTGATCTTTACCTTTGCTGTGATTGGCAATTGGCCATTTTTGTAATAGGGGAGATTTCTAAGTGAATTTTGTCCCAGGCAGTTCAATTACGTCTGTTCCAAACGTTCTCATTTTGGTATTTTCCTTAGACATCGAATCGAAGATTTCCCGGCGTGTGTACACGTTCATAATTTGATACAAAAATTGAGTTGTAGCTCATACTCATAGTCGCTGTGTTGTTTCACCTGTCCAGGGGTTGACTTCCAAATTAAAACGATGTGTATAGATGGCAGATGTTTTGCACTGCAGCTCTGGGACACTGCTGGCCAGGAGAGGTGTGTACATAACTATTCCCTAATAACATCAGTGGCAGACCTGGCTGTGCCTCGTCTGATCCCTTTTTGTTACTACTACATTTTGACTTCATCTGTGAACAATAACTGGACATGACAACACAGAATCTATTTCTTAACACAATTGACGTCATCTGTGACCTATTAGGTAACAGACGTACGACTACATAGAATCTATTTCATGTGTGTTTCTGAAATAGAGAACACTGTTCCGACCACAAGAATGCAACTTTTAATTCGGATCGAAGCCTGCGGCATGTAACGGTTGCTGTTGGACTGTTCTCATACCATCTTCTTTTTCTATCTGGCAGATTTCGAAGCATCACAAAACAATACTTCAGGAAGGCAGACGGAGTAATTGTATTTTATGACATCACCATGGAGACATCATATCTAAACATAAAAAACTGGATGATAAGCGTGGAGGTATTATTACATTTCGCCTCAAGGAATCATTCTCATGACCTTCATATGTGATTCAAGTATGATACTGTAACTCGGGAGAAATTAAGTGCTAGTCCCTCTCTTGGGTTAGAGGGTTAAGGTCATTCCTGGGAGTCAAAGGGTTAACCTGTGAAGAAAGATGCTGGACATTTGTGACGAATGTGGGAAAAAAAAATGTGAATCCCCGTCGGATGTGAATCTCATTTACTTCTGATTTCATGGTCAAGTTCACTGGAAACCGAGTCACGAGGAAATCATCGGTAAGCCAGAGCACACAACAGGTTTATAGTTACTTATTTTTTGTATGTGTATACGTGTTTCAGGAAGGAACGGATGACGGCACAGCTATCATGATTGTTGGTAACAAGACTGATCTGGTAGAGGATGACAGCCACCGAGCAGTGCAGAGTCAGGAAGGAAAGAAATTGGCTGAGGTACATTCTTAAGCGATTGATTCATTGACTGACTGCCTGACTAACTGACTTCTTGACTTTCTGCCTTACTGACGTACTGAACGACCGATTCAGTAACTGTTTTCGTAATCATTGAGCCGTCAATAGAATGATCCGACTGACTAACAGGGTCAGTGACAGACGGACAGGCTGGCTCACTTTGTCTGATGAACTGGCCAACTGAATGATCCGACTGACTAACAGAATCAATGACAAACGGACTGGCTGGCTGATTGACTCACTTTGTCTGATGGAATGGCCGCCCATCATTTTAACCGTTCTAATAGTTAGCTTATTTACAGATTATTAATGATTATCCCTTTATCTTCTCACTACATCTACTTGCCTTACAGGAATACAAAGCCTTGTACACTGAAACGAGCGCAAAAACGGGGTACAACATAACGGAATCGATGGCGGAATTTTCCAAGTGAGTACACCAATTTGATACGCTATCTTTCTGATTCTTATATCAGTTTTTTTTTTGTCTTGGATAACCCTCTGAACTTCCTTCCTGTTTTAGAATGCTGCAAGTGAGGGAAGACGAATTAATGCAGAGCGTTTTGAATCTCGTGCAAGAAAAACCTGGCAAGAAGAAATGCTGTAAATAATAGTTCTTGGTGTCGTATCGTCAGGTATGCCCATCTTCGAACCATTACTCCTTTAATTTCCTGTGATCTGAAATCCCCTTCTTAAAATGTCTGCGTTCGGATAATTTGCCAGGTAATCGGTTGTTTGGGCGCTGTTGATGGTCATTTTATACACTATACTACTCTTACACATAATATGACATGCAGCATCCTTTCAACAGTGTCTTTCGCGTGTCCCTTTCCCTTAGAAAACAGGGCGCAAGGTACGATCGCTCCTGTCCGCCTAACGTCTTAGCGCACCCAATTTTGGAATCATTGATAATTAGTTTACTAACCTTATAGGGCGCTTTTCGGCTGAGTGTCGTAAAACCAAAAGCAAAGTCCAATCAGAAGAAAGGAAAGCCAGTACCTTTTAAAACAAATGAGAACTCAAAGAAAAATCAACCGCGGGAAACGCGGGTGACCAAGTCGCGATTGGTTTTAGAGAGGTTGAGAGAGTGGTACAGAGTTTTTTAAACAAAGCACAGAGCAAAGTAAAGCAAAACCAATACTAACCCGGAGTTCTTTTAGCAATTCAACTGAAAATTGCTCTAAAAGTGAATGCTCTTAGTTACCGACCAACCCTGCGACTTACTGATATTGCTGTCAAAGAGAAGTCGAGATGTACGTGAGCGGTCATTTTGATTTTCCTAACTTTTGCGAGGTCAATGCGAGGTGACAATTTTATCAGCAAACATTTTGTAGAGTCATTATTTTCGTTATGCCTAACGCATTGTTAAAGAAAGGCCAGGTTGCTCTTGCAACTGAACAATTCATTGCCAAGTTTAAAATATTATTTAACGTTTTCTTATCAATTTTGAATTCGTGCTCAACAGATATTAGGATCCTCAATTGTAGCTACGATGAGACAAAATCCAAGATGAAATCAAATCCTGGTCTCTTGCTGGAGTGTTCAAACGATGAGCACCTGACTATTTTTCAGTCACACAGGGGCATATGATCGAATTGGATCCAAGTTCGCTCTTGGAGAAGCTGCTGCGGAGACAGTTGACTTGCACTGAGAGGACGGACATTGTGAATCGTTATAAGATGCCAAAGTACTTGGTTAGATTTGCGATAACATTCTGAATCAAAAGTAATTTTGCCTTCTTTCAAGGACAATTTTCCTACACTAAGTCAGCTTTTCGTCCTACGTAGCTCTCAAGATGTACAAAAACGATAAAAAAGTGACCGTCTCGATGACGGAAACCAAAAAAAAATTTTGGAAATTTGGTGTCAAACAACGGAAAAAAGGCTCATGTTTTATTTATCCAATGACTATTATTATTTATAGTGTAACTTGATAAAAGCGTTCGTAGAGGAATAAACTAAACAAGTATAGGAGGCCGGTAATGACGGTGTGCCTTTATATTTGTTAAGACGACTGTTAAAGTTTCGTTCGTTGATCGTTGTATGACGATCTTATCTCTTAACGGTCTTAGACTTCCCTAAAAACAATCTCTGTCTGGCCCGCTAAATGTCATGCGGTGTCACTCAAGTTGCCGTGGAAAAAAACGGAGTCTATTTATGTTTAATTTGTTTTAAATTACCTTCTCGTGAGAACGCTCTTCGAATGAGTGTTGTGAAACCAAAACCAAAGTAATCACAACGGCCAATCAGAAGAAAGAGAAATACTTTGAAGAGCCAATGAGAATTCAAAGTAAAACCAAACGCGGGCAGCTGTGATTGGTTTTCGTTTTCCGTCGTTTTGATTGGTTGAGAGTAGTGTAGATTTTTTTTTGTTTTTTTTAAACCAATCTCAGAGGGAAATTAAGCAAAACTAATGCAAACCCACGTTACTATCAACCTTCAAGTGAAAACTACACTAATGTAGCAAGTATGGAGCTGTTGCATGTCTGATGAAGTAACAAAATTGTACAGATTTTCGGCAATACATCGTCTTGTTTGAGACATTTCAGGACATATTTTGCATTTTGCAAGGGTGAAACCCATGTCAGTAAATTATTTAAACTTCAGTTTAAGAACATTCTTTTTCTAAGGGACAGTCAAGTGAGGTGTTGTTGGTTTTTGGAAAAAAAATTAGGTTTCAGTTTAGTTGGTTTGAAGTCAAAGGAATTGAATAGAGATAAATTGTCGCAATATCTTCCAGTGTTACACTTTGGAGGTATAAATTATTCCGTGGGGGTGTATCCTCAGTGGGGAACTTCATTAAGAATGCAATAAAAAGTATTTTAAATTAACTGTGGTGTTGTTGTTTTCTATTTTTGGAGACGTTTTTAAAAATGCTGTATCCATTTACCCATTACAGCTCATAAATGCTTTAAAAGCAAGAAAAAATACAAATAAAATAAAAGAACAAAACAAGAGATATTTGCAACATTTAAAAATGGCAGCACCAAACTAGCCTACAAGCAGACTTTCACTACTTTGAACATGTGGGATGAACTCTTCATCACCGTAAGGATATTGGAGACGATTCTAGGGGAAGTGAGAAGTTCTATTTCAACTGACCTGTACCTTAGTTTGGTTTTTCTTCCCCTATGGTTTAAACTTAAGACAGCCTTTGGAAAAAAAAGGCCACCACTTTCAACAGTACCTCAAGTCTTTAGGCTGCTTCTGCCTTAAAAATTGCAGATGGGATTTAGCTGGCAAAGACTGATGTAAGTCAAGTGTACTTCCATCTAAAGACACCTTTAATAGCTAATTACTGTACATTCTCACTACTTCAGCAACACTATCAATGCTGTTTTCATCTCATTCAAACAGTTATAAATATATTGTATAGCATTCTGCAACATTCTTTATTTATAATCTAATCATGCATTATAAAGAGCTTACAAAACAAAGGTGTACAACCCCTTACATTGATAATTTTGCAAAACATTAATTCCAATTCCAGTTCCTTTCCAAACTTGTCTAATAATTAATTGGTCTGAGTGTCTTGGTTTTTCCTGGGAGTTGGGCAGGTGCTGCTCTCTTGACACCCTGGGTGGGGTGGGTAGGAGGTTTGTTTTCATTTTCATCCTCATCACTGGTGTCACTCTCTGAGTTGCTGTTGTCCTCAGCTTCTTTGTTTGCCCCAGTCAGTGAATCCTGTTAATAAAACGGCATTTTCAGGGAAATTTTGATTAAGTTAGACACAATAATGATTCATCAAGGTAGGTGTTTATTTAGGATCTTGCACACTAAAAGACGTACATAGATCTAAAAAAAGAAACCAAAAAAGTGAATCACACAAACATAGCCCCAAGAAACTCCCACAAAGCTTTTCTACAAAAATTAAGTCATGCCGAGTGTTCCATCTGAGGAGTGACTTGTTACATTAAAAACCAGCTGCCGAATCATCAATAATCATGTTCCTTTCACCTCCAGGATCTCTACATTAATTCTTCTCACTGTGACTCTGCCAGACATAGTAAACTTTTCTCTCTACCGTCACTGTCTGTCTGATCAGCAAAGTATTGATATTACGCTCTGACAGAAATCACTCATTGGTTGCTCCTGTGAGCGGACAGGATAATATTATTGAAGGAAAAGTGCAATTCATTTCCCTTTCTTCTTTAGATTCTGCTTTTGTCAAAGAGTGTAATGATGAAGTGACAAAAGATTGGAATTACAAGCCCTTCTTTTCATAAAAAAAATATATATATGTATATATTTTTTTTATAAATTGTAAGTGTTATAATTAATAGCTTGCACAACCTGAAGACCTATTCAGTCAATAGCCAAATACCCATGATTATCATATAAGACTGCAGCTTTGCAATCATCCAATTTTGTTGATCAATTGTGTGACTGAAAACCAAGTGGGACCCTACTTGGTCCTATTGGCATTGTGAACATGTTATTGAAAATTAATAAGCACCTTAACTGATGCAGCTGATACTTTCTGACCGGCTGCAAATTTCTGGGTCCATTCCTCTGCTTTTTTAATGAACTGTGGTCTGTTGTATTTATACTCATCAGACTGAAAAAGTGAACAAAAACAGCCATTGTAAATTATGTGCACAATTATGTAATAAGAATATTGATTAAATATTGTGTATTTGGCAATATTCATTACAATTTCTGATACAAGAGGATCATCAGAGTTTGGTTCTGCCATAAGAAGCTGGATTGATGTCAGCACAGTGGAAATGTTCCATGCTGGTTTCCAAGCTCCCTGAAAAACATGAAAAAAGGAAAATAATGAAAATGCAAGCTCTGTAAAACACTCATATGTTGAAAGCTCTACATAACAGTGGATCTCAAAATTTAATTTGATTTTTCATAATTCAGTGGTATAACTAAACAAATGGAAAAGAAGGGAATAAGACTAATTTACCTCACAGGTGAGCAGCCATTGTAAGGTAATTTTAGAAGGGCTATGTAAGTTTTTTGGGTCTAAAAATGCAGTCAGTGTCAGTGACTTCCTAGTTAAGGAGAAAACGAAAACTCCATGGTTTCAGATTCACAATCTGCACATTCTGTATGGAAGCTTCAGTGGTACAGTTAAACTGATATTATCATGGTTAAAATAAATCTGTCATTATTATGCAATCACCTTCGGAGGCATCTGAAGTGTATCAAGACAGATCCGACCACTTCCATCAATATTGGGATGATAGATCTTTGTGACAAAGCGAACTTTAGGAGGATGAAATGGATACCTGTAGGTAATGAAGTTCAATTAATTTTCATCATAAAATGAAATCCTTTACATTGTGGTAGAATTAGCCACAAAGTATGTAATATGTCTTAACTTGCCTGATGAAATAATTTTGAATATAGAAAAATCAGGAAAAGTTATGTTTCACAAGAAGGTTTTGTTATATTTTTAACAACTAGGGCATCCTTAACATAGTAGCCAGGCAAAAAATTAATTCCCTTTAACCCCTTTAAGTGATTGGTGTATAATTTCTCCAGACAGTATCACCCTTGAATTAATGTAAAGGTCTCGAGTATAAAGGAAATGATCACCAGTGTAAAGAAAGCAGTGTGATGGATATTAATACCAATCCTAACGTGAAAAGGGTCAAAAATGATAGAGAACTCCATTACTTCCCACTTATTTGAAGATAGGTGGGTACTGAAAGTTGTGTACAGTGGTGCTAGGACCCCCTTCTGATTAGAACCCTATTTGAACTACGGAAATACTGCCATTTCAAACAAACCTCTCGGGAATTTGTATTTCCAGCCTAAAACAGCCTCCATTATAAGGGGTGTCTTTTGAACCTAAAATTTCTGAAAAATAAGACATATAGCAAATTTTTCGCTATCAAATTTTCAGGATTGTATACACTTTGATGGCGTGGGAGATTATTGTGCATTAGGGAGAAAGACTTAAACTCAAAAACCTGCTTGGAGTTTGTCAATTTGACCATCAATCGCCCAACAGGAGATTCCAGGCGGTGGCTCTTTTTTTAGAATGCTCAGTTCACGTTGCATACGAGAAGATCTTTGCATGTCGTCGAGGAGAATTTATCCACAAACTATCCCCCTATGTCAATGTGGCGAATCTCTCTCTGCTTCTTCAGGCTGCCATGTTTGAAAATAACCGCGAAAAAATAGATTTATTATAGAAAAGAATTTAGCCAATCACAAATGTTTGTTGTAGTCACATGACTAGGTTCCAGTGTTGATAGGTTTTGAATCAATATGCTGTAGAAAAAAAGAGAATTCATCGCTTCAATGTCTCAAGAAAATATTGATTGAGATTTACTCTGGAGGGAAACGAACGGAAGAATGCAGTGGCTAGAGATTTGTTTTGCTGTACATGATGGCTAAAAGTTCATCTACTCGACATCGGGAGAGAAAAAAGTCTTCCCCGTCGACCTATTTCAAAGAGTCTAAGTTTGACAATTCGTCTAAAACTTTGAATGCTGACTTATCGCCGACACTTGGGAAAACCAGCCAAAATCTTCGAAATCAGTGGCTTTGGAGATGTTTTATTTTTACTCTTCTGTTGTTAACTGGAATCATCTCGCTGTATTTTGATAACAATTATAAATTCTTCCCACACACTTGGAGCTCCATCATGGCAGGCCTCTCTGGAACTCCAAAGCGAGATGCGGAAGTTCCGTGTTCAGTTATGGACAACTCCACAGTTGATCACCGTTCAAATCTAACTCTAGCGGAGTTTATTCGTTGTTATGACGCGAAAAGGTATTCCTCGTTTGACAAGTGCAAATTAGATGGAAAAAATTTGCGTCCAAAACTTGACTATTAGTAAGCAACTTTACTCTTGAACCTGACGTTCGCAATATTTTTTCTGACACGAAATCGAGGTGTAATGAACAGAATGGAAGGGCAACTCAGGTTGTATGGCATTGTGATTCTTTCCATCAGTTTTTTTCTTTTTAAGGGGGGTGGAGGGCAGGGGGTAGGGGAGAGAAGTGGTGACCTAGTGTTAGGGATACTGAACTCAGGATCTTGCAGGCCAGGTCCAACCTGTAGCTGACCCATTGGGCTGTGTTCTTTGGCAAAACACAATGTCTCCTTCTACCAGTAGTGTAAATGGGTACCAGCAAGATGTCAGGGAAACTAACTCATGAATTCCAGGAATGTGCATGTAGCTGTTATCAACTAATATCCCAACCAGGGTGGAGTAACAAGTCACATCTTGTAATCAGTGCCTGCCTTCCTGGGCCAAGCAGCCCTTAACCCTTTTCACTCTAACAAAAGAATGCATATTCTCCATACTGCTCTCAAACATTTCCTAACATGCTGACAAGGAGAATTTTTTTCACAATCAAGAGCTCTTTTAGTTGGTGATCATTTCCTTTATTCTCATGACCTTAATATGGGATTCAGGGTGATATTTTTAGGAGAAATTACATGCTAGTCACTCAATGGGGTCAAAGGGTTAAGACTCAACAAAAGAGTGAGGTTTGGATCCCTTTTCATACTTACAATTTTCAGATTTAAAAGATCTTAGGGGCTACTCACCCCCCCCTCCGTGTCAATCACTATGACTCTTGTTGACTTTATGTAGTGTTATTCATCTATTTTTTGTTTCACTTTCAGACCAGTTGTGATTACTGATATCTTGAAAAATTGGAAAGCAATGAACTGGACAAAATCATTCCTTGTGAGAAACTACGGAGACAAGAGAGTATCAATGAAAGCCACTGAGGTTAGGAGGTACATGCTAAAAACATTGTAACTCATGCATATGTGCAAAATTAGACCCAATGAAGTTTAGGTCTTACAGCTTGGTTTCTATGCCACTCAGTAGTCACAAGATGTATGTGGACATCTCCTGGAAGGTATGCTACAACCTTTACCAGTTTGATGTTTCCCTCTAAGGTCCAATATACAAACCACCTGGCTACCTCTGAATGGTGGTTAATGGTTTATTTTATAGCACAGCCACTCCCTTTAAACCTCCTCAATGTCTTCCACAGTAAATACATGTGTAATTTTAGCCATTTTGCTGGATGTTGGTCTGTTTTGAAAAAAACCTGTGTACATGGTTGGGTGAGAAAAATTCAACCTGCTGCTGCACCAGGATTTAGTAAAATTAATTCCACCCACTTGCATACAATTATGAAAACAAAACTGATACTGAATTATTTACTCTGAATGTTCCTTCTAGGGTCCTCTGAACAAAGCCCAGGGATTTGCAGTACCCCTGAAGAATTTTGCTGAACATGTACATGAGGGCCAACCTGAGTTGTGGACTTACCTGGAAGATGAACTGTTTATTGAAATGAATCCAGAACTTAGAGAAGACTTGGGGCAGCCAGTGAGTAGTTTTAGTGTCTCAGAACAGGAAACATCCTCAGAGACCCGGGGGTTAAGAGTCGATTTCTCTCACCCTGATTTTAAATTCATTTACAGCCCCTGGGTCCCCCTAGGATAAACAGGTACATTTAGTATACACTCGATTGCAAAAACGTTGACACCTTGAAAGCATAAACTGTAACTGTAAACGTAAATCGTCCGAGTATGCTTTGGGCATACTTTTTTTTCCAGCAATGTATTTTTTATTGCAAAGAATAAGAATAGTAAATTATTGATTATCATGATGGAAATGAGGTTATTGTTTAAACACTACCCACAAATCCGTCAGGTCTCATCGTTCACGGTTTATGCTTTCAAGGTGTCAACGTTTTTGCAATCGAGTGTACATGAGTTTGAACTTGCTTATTGATATATAGTTCTATGTAAATGTTAATTGACAGTGTGGGCTTAAATTGTTACAGCCATCTTTATATTAAATTTTATGTACCAGCCATAAGCCAAATATCTTAAATTTCATCTTTTATTTAGTGAATGTAAGGTGGTTGAATTATTATGCCATTATACTGACATAAACATAATTCACTTCAGATTTGTTCAAATTGGTCGACTTCTTGGAAAACAATAAAACATTATGTAGACCTTTAAATGCAGGAAAACAGATTTGCATAAGTTAAGAATTTTAAAGTTTCCAAGAGATCATGCCCCCAGCCCCTTGCCTTCCAGGCCTTTAAAAGAGCCATCTGCTTACTATTTTAGACTGAACAGTCATGAGTGTGGTAAGTAATTTGTGATTGATGTCAAATTTTATAAGAATCTCTTATTTTCAAACACCTTTACTAGGTGTATTTGAGGGAAGACTTCTTCCAGTTGTTACCAAAAGAGATTCGACCATGGAATGCTATGCTCCTCTGGGGTACAGCCCACTCAAGGTCGTCTCTTCACATAGGTACAAAGTTATTATAATACTGTTTTGTTATTTTTAATTTCATTTTTTTTTGTAATTGCTGTGAAGGGTAACAATAGTTATCAACATTTTTTCAAGCTTAGCAATTTGCTTAGGTTGACCAAGGTTACATTATATGATGATTTGGTTTAATCATCTGGGTGGACTGTATAAATTGGCCACCATGGAGAGTCTCTATAGCTGATGTTTGTCCAATATGTGTTCATGCAATATGTGGTAGGGTTTTCACTTGGAGATGTAGGTTATAGATGTAGAATCTGAACAGAGTTGGTGGCTGAATTGAATTGTATTTGCTCAGCACACATGGCATGTTGCATTAGCAACATGCCCTATTAAGGAGGTCTGGGGGCATACTCTATTAACCTTGTTTTCCAGCATTCTGGGACATGTTTGATTAACTTTTTTGCCAGATGTTGATGCTAGAATTGGTTCAAAAATACTTTCTTTCTGTCTTTAAAAGTAACCGGGGCAAATTGGTCTGATAGCTAGCGGGTTTCCATTGCCTTCTGGCTCCAAATGACAACTCAGTAAGGCTTTTAATTTAAGATGACAGATGACCAAAGGTACTTTTGAGAGGTTCTAATTACCTTAGCAACATGTACAAACTCATATCACAAGATTTTGATGCCTCATGAATTTTTGCTTGATTACTTTAATTTTGCCATTTGTAGCAGGCCAATAGATCATGAATCAGTGAACTTGATTCATTGTTTTCACAGAAGTCAACTTTCCCAACAGTAAAAACCTAAAAAAACATGTTTTGTTTTTATTTAGATCCTTACAACTGGACTGGTACAAATGCTGTTTTGAGAGGAAAGAAAATGTGGAAGGTACAGATGCTTTCTGTCTAATGATTGGCTATGAGTTTTTCTTAGACACTGTTGTGACTTTAACTTTCTTTCAATGTTTCAGCTTTTTCCTCCTGGCCAAGATCATTTATTATATGTCAGAAAAAATCAGAGATGTGGGTTTCCACTGGATTGTTTGAAATACAACAGGTAAAATCTACAAAAATGAAAATAACATTGAAGTGGCCTTACATATGTAGTTCCAAACATTTGATGACACAAATGATGTTTAGTTTTCTTGGAAAAACCTGTGGGCTGTCTGTTGGCAGACTTTTGGGCAACTTAATGGTAAAGGGGACTTTCAGCCAAAGTTTTGGTTGTCAATTCATTCTATAGTCACTATCAGAATGATGCGGTTAACAATTTCCTTTTAAAAAAAAATGATATTACAAAAACATATTTTTGAAAAGTTGTCTTTATTAAACCAGTTTTTTCATATTTGACAAACTCCATGTATAAGAATGGTGAATATTTTACGTTAGATTTATTTTACGTTTAATTTTTGTTTCTTTTGTAGTTTGGATTATTAGTTTGCAAATTTGACCCTGACAATTTGATTGACAAAAAAACATAGTAAACCATTTTCCAAAGTTCCTGAATATTTTACTTTATTTTATTAATTTTTTTGTAGCCCAATAGATGCTTTTAACCCTGACTATAAACAGTATCCAAAGTTCCGCAGAGCACAAGCGATTTCTTTTACTCAACAGGCTGGAGATTTATTAATTATTCCAACTGGCTGGTTTCACCAGGTAAACAAAACAATAACATGTCATAATTCTGTTTACAGAATAAAACCAACAAATGAAACAAGGTAACAAAACCAAATCCCAAGACAATGAAAAAGAAAGAAAACAGGAGAAAACAAAACATACAGAGAAGAAAACCGTCCATTGTTGAAAAAAAATCTTCTGTGCCTTGAAGCATAACCATATGTATTTTTATCGTTGTTGCTGCAAATTCATTATTTTTGTTTTGCAGGCGTATAACCCTCTTGAAACAATGGCCATTAGCAGCCAGGTTATGAATTCACAAAATTACAAGTAAGCCATCAATATAAGATATTTGTGATACACTCAGTTAAAAGGTGAAGTCGTCATATTATCCAGATAACCGTTTATCAGAGCTTAGCTCAATTTTGGGAACATGAGCTGTTTGGGGGTATAATGCTTCAAACCTCCCCCCACCCCATCTAAACACGGGCTTCTTGTATCCGCAATTTATGTGGCATTTAGCCACAACGCCGACCTTGACATGTCCAGATAGTTGTCATCGGTGGCATTCGAAAACCTTGACCACCAGACATTCACTCCAATGTATTGAGCATTCGACTGTGCTGTCTCTCTAAACTGAAGGCACTGCTAAGTTATTCTTCGTTTGTAACTTTATCATTTGGTGTGGTGAAAACTTTTCTATTGCTTCGGGGTAATCTCTATAAAAATATTCCGTTTTATATGATAAATTGAATTATACACGCAGTTTGAGTGGTTCTCACTGATGATCTATTGGGAGACAGACGCGTACATGACGTCACCGTTAACAATATTTTCTTTTTTTTAGCCTTTTAAAACTAACCGATCAAGTGTTTCCGAGGGTCTGTACAATAATAGATCACAGAAGACCCCAAAATGTGGTAAAAACATCAGTGTCACACGCGGCTGTGCATCGTGTGCCTCATTTTGTTCTTACCGCATTTTTTCATCATCTGTGATCTATTACTGAATTGAACAGACTCACGGCAGCATAGAATCTATTTGTTAGTCCTATCGCCTTTCCAACGAGCGATATCTGTGGCCCCATTTGCGCTGTGTTCGTTCAAAGCGAAGTTTCTTTTTATTGGTTTAAAAATAAGAATGTTTTAGACGTTTTTTCTCTTACAGGTGTTTTCTTTTTTCCTCTTCGGAAACTTACCATCAATTTTTAGCTGTGCTCGTGTAAACAAACAAACCCGATCACAATAGAGTTAAGCAGATTAGACGCTTCCCTCCTTTTTAAATCCTAGGCTAGCTGAGCAAGCGATATTTCAAGTCTTCCGATGTAACACGCAAACTGATATGCAACTTTATTAAGACCACAGAGGAATTTGCACAAGAAGCCCCCCACCCGAACATTAAGTCGGACTTTAGACACTTAACGACAATTTTGCTTTCTCGTCTGGCAGGCCTTTGGACTCTGGACTTAAAACTTGGGCTTTAAATAAGTTTGTTTATTTATTTTTCGATTTTTTTTAAAATTAGATTAGTGCTTGAGGAGATTTACAAAGCTGGAGAAATAGATGCACGGAAATTACCGAGAAATTTCGAGAATTTATCTGCGCAAAAACAGGTAAAAGATAAACAAATTATGGTGTAGCGCTTTTTGGAAGACTAGACGTCGATGACGTAACTTTTATCCACAGGAAACTTCTGGTTACAGAAAGTAAATCTTGAGACTAGTGTGTTCTTCGATGTGATAATGATTGTTTAAAGCGTAAATATTGGACTTTGGTGTACACCAAGAGAGGGGAAATGGCCCATTAAAGGGGCTAATCTGTTGGTTTTCCTGAGAGGACAAGATAAGTCTCTTATGCCCACCCAGTTGGTCAACTTGAGTTGATCACAACACTCAAAGGATCCTTTGTAAACCGCCCGGGATGTCAGCCGGATAATAAATATTATGATTGACATGACTACTCATGGAATCGTTGCCAGAGTGGTAATGCGGATGGGAATTGTCCGCTTAAACCACAGTATACTTTTCCCTTTTCCAGGTTGAAGCCGTGGTGAAGATCATTCCTAAGGACGTAATCGAAAAGGGAAGGAGAGTGACAGAGGACATTCTGGATCAACTGAAATGGAAAGGAAAGACAAAACAACGCAATAAATGAACAATATTTTCAAAAGTTTTTTGGGGAAAGTGACTAGCCCTAAGAACATCGAAATAATTGCACGTAGTGCTCAACGTCATTGATGTGTCGCCAAGCGACGCAAAATCTTGTGATTGCGCCGACTGCGCGGCGGTCTCTCAGAGTTTCTAGATTTCTTTGATATTGGCCGGTGAAAGTCGGAAAGTCAAATGAGGTCTTTTGTCAGAACTGGAAGATTGCTTTCTACGTTTGAATTTGGTTATATCTGCAAATTGTTAAAACAAATTTGATAGGAAATGAATGAAGAAAATAGATAGGAAATGAATGAAGACTATACGTATGCGGTGATAACCATAAGTTATAAGGAAAGTAACAAAGGGCTCCGGAAAGATAATATTAAACTTAACGATGTAAATAATTACTGAAGCTTGTAAATTTTGAAGAAAAACCGATCTGTAAAGGAGACCTGTTCCTCTTTCGACTGTTCTCGACGTTTGGTCCCCACGAAAAGTTTGGCCCGGGGAGGTTTGACAGAGCTTAGTGCACTCTAACGGTTCTAGTAACTCTTTCAATTGAGTTTACGAGGGAGGGTGAAGGGGTACTTGTCTCTGCAGTATACAGAGCTAGTTGTCATAAAGTTTCATCCCTTTTGGTCGTAAACTCAGAACACATGTTTACAATTATTTTGCTCTTATTGTGGTCAAGATCTTCTCACTCACTCTCTGTGTTTTTAATCGGGTCAAGAGTTTATAATTACCGACTTTATTATCTCTTGATCGTATATGTTTCTCAGTGAACGCGGTTTTCTTTCTTCTTTTTTCGGTTTTATTAAGGTGTGAGAGAGAAATTCAGTGGGAAAACACTTTCTTAGGTCATCGAAGGGCCTCGAGATACATCCCACACATGCTCATCCCGAATTTTCCAGAAGCACCCCCAGGCAGTTTTTCAGCAGTTAATCTTGTTTTGCTAGAAGGTCTTTACCAGATCAAGAAACTTCTAATACACACCACGTACAAACTTAAACAAAATTCATAAAAAAGTGGAAAGTGATTAGAACGAAAGATTGCCGCTGTACTTTCTTTGCAGCGCTTTTCGTAAGACTTTGCAAGACACTTTCTTAGTCTTTCGTGAAATTTATTGCTTTAAGTTTCATGGTTATTGCTCATTATATCCGTCTTTTTTCTTGAATAATTATTTTCATCATGTCACATCTGACATTTGTGCACCGAGGACTAGGGTCAGACGAATTATGCCTTTGAGCGTCACCCCAGAAAACATGGCATTATGACCGAAAGTATTTCAAAATTTTACATTATGCACAATCAAAATGGTAACTTTTAAGAGCTAACTTCCGCTTCTATTCTTACAACGAACAGTTAAAACTTGCTGAGCATAAAAGGCTTACCGAAGTTCAGAACACAACATTGAAATGGATCAATTCCTCAAGTGCGAGCAAGGAATTAAAAGCAGAGTCACTGTTGACAGTACTCAGGCTACAGAATTTATCTTTGGTTGAACTGCAACGTCATGGGAGTTTTCACGAAGTGTTGTTTTTATGTCGACATCATGCTCGATGTTCTGACTATAGTAATATGCCCAAAATTGTGGCTGCCGGGCAATTCATCTCGCCCCGTCCGAGAATATAAATCAACGTTTGAGGACTGGAGGTATTTTGCATACGTCAAAAAACGAGAGTTTTCATTTCCTTTTAGACCCGAATACGTGATGTCAAGAGCTCTTGACAGCGATGATATTCAGCTTATAAATGACAATGTCTCTGAGAACCAATCTATTGGGGAATTATGAGAAAGTTAAGTAGGTTCTTGAAAAAGGCATAAAACGAAAAACGGATTTAATTTTAAGAGCGACAATCCGGTTGTAATATTGTGACATCCTTTCTGTTGCACGCAACAAACAATTTTTGGAATAAGACCACGACTCGTGTGGGACAATGAAGGAAATGGAAAACTGAATCTTGCTGGTTTTGAATTGCCAATTTCAGCGTTTGAGGCAGACTGGATAAGAGAGGCAGGCTTGCTTTGTCTACAGTAGATAGCCATCAAATCAGTTGTAATCACCAATATAACTAAAAATTTATCAAACGACAGTTAACGTAATATCAACAAAGTGTAAGTTTTCCTTCCAGATATTATTTCTAAAAAGGTCAGCATCAGCATGAAGCTGGACTGAACTGTTAGCGCGCATCATTTTGGCCGAACTGCGTAATTGAGCCGCGAATTTGAAGATTACGCAATCATATTGCGCAAACAATCTTACACCATTACAGGATTAACCCCAATATAAACTGAGATATTCTCATATGTCTTGAGTAGTTATTAGGATTTGAACTGTTTCCGAATTCCAAACACTTCAGAAACAAATACTGACCTGACCCGATAAGTTTCCGGAACTGATCTCATGTCTGAGGGTGTCTACAGAAGTGATGTCATATTTCATCCATTATGAAAATATACAGTCACGCTGTTTCGGCTGAAACAAATCAAAAACACGCAGGCACTTTGGGAAACCTTTTTCTCAGAGAGTTTGCCACTAACGTGCACAGTCCTGACGAAAATCGCGTAAAGGGTTGATGTACGGAGGAAAAATTAACCTGTTTTGCAAATCAGAGGATCACGTTTAATATCTTTCCGGGGTAGCTTTCAAGCGGCCGGTGAGAAAAATCCGACTTTAAAGTGCGATGCGTCGCTCCCCAGATTTGGCCCCGATGCAGGTCGTACAGACCTAGTTAATTACATTTATAATTATCGCTGTATGGCGCATGAGAAAGATCTAACTGCTGTCAATTATTCTCCGATAACTGCTAGACGACCATCCCACTAGTCACGCAGCGATATTGAGAAAACTTTAAGCCAGCCTGATGGTCAACGAGGGCCTGGTATAGACGTTGACAACACTTTTAAAGCGGCAGAGGCATTATCTATCTTCATGTGGATCATGTTTATGAAACATTGAGTGATGACTAGGGAATGAAATTTATGTCCATTTGACTGCGGGAGGGTTTTTTTAAATGCTTTTCAGAAATTAAGACGTTGTTCCAGCACATTCTTGCGCGGGCGGTGACTCCTTATATGCTTTACTGACGCGACCTGCGGTCGTTCGTTATCACATCTCCACGTTATATAGGTGGATGTTCGAGTGAATTGGGCGAATTTGCTGGTCGCTCGTTAGAACAAGCTCACTGCGGCGTACGCAACCTCAAAATGTGCATTGGGAGAAAATACAGGAGTGATGTGACACTCTAATACTTGTAAACTGCAAGTTGGCTGGTGATGGCTCCACTGAGGTCGAGCGAAAAGTATACGCAAGAGTTTATACTCTATTATGAATATAAGAAAATCATGTATATGTTTATATTTTCTTGGTATACATGATCAATGTATGCCAATGTATGCGAAGGGAAAATCGAGCCACCATCAAGTGCTAAATAATATTATCAAGAAAATAACAAGAAATGACATATATGTATTTATGGTAGAAATACTGGCTAACCTTAGATACGATAAGATAAGATATGAAGATGGCTTTATTTGAGGAGTGGTTGCCCAGTCTCCCGAGGCAAACCGCTCGACAAAAGTAAATGCAAATAATATTACATTCATTAATAAAGGAGAAAATAAGCTGAAATTAAAATTACGTTAAATATGTCCAAGACTAATTAATATCCATACTTATATACTTACTTACAAAGTCGGAATAAAATGTTAGGATCAAAATTAGATTATATACAAATAAGGCACCGGAACCCCGAAAGCTTGACATTGATCACGGTTAGAGCGAAATCGCTTGCAGGGATGTTGTTCTTACTTTGGAATATTGCATGGCGTGTAAAAATCTAGATCTCAAACAATTTCATGTTGCATTTTTTAGAGATGAAATCCTTAAAAAGGTCCAAGTGGTACGCGATTATCAAGGCACTAGTACCCTTCATTCGCATGATCATTGTGTTTCTTATCACGAAGATATCCGGTCTGACAGGTGGATAACCGACTTATCTCGGGGTTACCAAGTCATCAACTTCCGGTTCTTTCTTTAGGAGGGCGTGGAAGTGCTATGCGTCAAAGGAGAATGGATTGAGCATAGTTTGTTCTAAAAGTACGTATTAAATATACTTGAAGATCAGAATGCACAGAGTTTCCGCACTATCTTTCTCTTCCATAGTTCGGGGATTTTCACCGGTTAAAGGTTGACTGGAAAAAGGTGGCTTAGTTAACTTTCTGGTTAGCAATGGGAAATTCAGACAGAAAACTTTAATGGGAGAATATGAACAAAAACTGAACGAAAGGGAAGAATTACATCAGGCATAAAAGCAGAGAACATTTTTCTTTTGTTTTGAGGCTTTTAGAGTGAAAAAAATGCCATAGAACGAGTATTCTTTCGAAAGCTCAAATTGGACATACATGTTATGATTTTTCTTTTAATTGAAACCGTAAAAGAAAATGGACAATTAGATCGGAGCAATTTTATAAAATGCGGATTTAACTGATTCCCCGGATACCAATAGGATATTTTTCTTGTCAGGAAATTAAAGAACACTTTGAAGGAGTTCCGAAGTTTCTATTCTGAGACAAAAAAATAAGGGTATCATTTAAAGCTTCCTTTTTTCCCCATGGATCCTTCCGTAGAGGCATAACGAGGCACCAGATCGGCCCCTCTGTGTCTAACATGACTGTTCCTATTCATTAAACTTATAATGAAACAATAATTTGTATTGTTACCATCCGGAAATAACAAGCTTATCAGTTTAATGCATCGCTAAGCATAAAAACAATGCAAAGAGCAGAGTTGAGGGAATTAGCTTCGGGTCTACCGGAAAAACTCCAGCCCCCGTACTGTTTCCTTTTTTATCGAGTCAAAATACAGTTAGTTCAAATACATGCGAGTGCTATTAAAACTGAAAAGTTTAGCCATGAGCAACCTCTGCATTAATCATGATTACCACGAGATCAGCGATCACTGACAGACATGTGATATATGCAAGAACACAGTTATTACGAGGAGCAAAACCAGCACTCTCTGCGAAAAAATTTTAAAAAAAAACCTGGTTTTGATGTACAGGTGTAAGTGAGCCAAATACTATGAATACCAAACAGCACTCTCTCACCTCCAGTGATCGACTTGCATAGATATAACGTTTGACTCTAAAGAACAGTTTATGTTTTATAAAAAAAAAACTCGTTGTACCTGAAAATGGCCATTTTTCCCCTTAGCGGGCTTAAATGATCAGATCAAAGCTCTGGTCACCTCAAAAATTTTTAGTTCGTGTTTAGAGAGGCAGAGCACAACGATTTACTCAAATTGCCCTATCATATACCATTTTGTCACTCATCGGACTGCCGTTGTATGAATTGATATCAATCATCAATTTAAAACGATCGCAATTAACTAAAATAGTCTCCTCAAAGAAACGAGTTGATATATCCAGGGGTCATGGAATCTCACCTACATGAATGACATTGAAAATATCCTTCCGAAAATGACTATAACTATTACATCAGCGCCCAGAAGAGCAACAGATCCCTTGTGTTCTAAAATGGTGCATTTTGATAGCGTTAATATTAATCATGAGTATATATTAGACTGGGGACCTAATCTGATCTGTTCAACTTTCTTGGGGATTTTAGCTGCCACTTGTCTACGTTTTCACGGTATCTTTTTTTTTTTGGTAGTCAAGATAAATTTGTGATTTGATCTTATGATTATGAAGGAGCAATATTCCGAAAATCTGGTCCGTTGTCCTTGCAATATAACTGCAAGGAAATCAACCATCCATTGAAACCCCAAAACTGATAAGGGACAAACAATTGCCTTACAGCACAACACAACAGTTCAAGTATATTGGAATTTAAAATTTGATTAATTCGATCCTAATCTATAGAAAAACGTACGGAATCTTAATTAATCAAACACAAAGTTCAGAGACATAGAGTGGAACACAGATCTAAAGGTCAAAGCCACTTTTTTTCTCTAGAAAAAACACGCGCCTTTGCAAAGAATACCAAGTTCGCCGGCGTTACAACTCTCACCCAAAACATGGTGTGCCGCCATGTTTGTAAACTTCCGGAAAATTCAAAACGGTTCTTTGACGAGCGAGTGGCACTAAGTGGGTTGTCTAGCAATCACTGTGGTTTTTTTGTCCTACGTGAATGACTCATTGACGAGATTTGCCCAAGGGTATTTCAATCGCCTGTCAATAGGAAATAGGACTCCACTTAGCTCAGCGATATTTTTTGCAACAGGCCTCACATTACAACATTGGTCACGTGACTTTTATCATTATCAAACACAAAAATCAAAAATGGCGGCGAATTGTTAGCGATAGAGGTCGCGCTGTACATCGTTCGCATCTTTGGCCGGCTAGAAGGCCTCGCCATGTCCAAGAAGGGGAATGAACCACGAAGTGTAAACGTCGCTGTTGTTGGTTTGTCTGGCTTAGACAGAGATCAAGCTTTTTTTGGAGTGGGAAAGTCGTGTTTGTGTAACCGCTTTGTTCGACCGTTGGCCGACGAATATCTCACAGAACATTCTTCGGTATTCAGTTCCTCTGATTTTGGCGGACGAGTGTTGAACAACGATCAGTTTTTGTACTGGGGATATTCAACTAAGACAGCAGAAGATGGAAGTGAATTTGCCGTTCATGTCATAGAGCAGACCGAATTTATCGACGATGCGACTCTTATGCCGTTATCACGGGGAGGACAGCTTACACCATACCCAAAACGGTGTGCCATTTCAAAGCTCTCCTCCGCTGAAAAGTTGATGTATATCAGCCGGGATCAAGTAGCTTTACAGAGCGACTACGAGCAAATCATTCTACCCGGGGGAAAGATTACTATCGATGGTTTTCTTGTCGTTTACGACGCCGAAGCTACGCAGTCGAAACGACTCGAAGAGCAACAAGAGCGCTTGTTGTCTTCTATTCTCACTTATGTGCAGAAAAGTAAAAAACCGTTTGTGCTTGTGGCAACAAAATGCGACGACACACAGCTTAATTTACTACAGGAGGTTCATCGTTTTGCTCAGTCTAAAAAGTTGAATGTCCCGATCATCGAAACTTCAGCTCACGAAAATGTGAATGTGGACTTAGCGTTCTTAGCTTTGGCGCAGCTCATCGAACGCGGACGGGTGCGTTCTAAAGTTATCCCTTTCACAGAGGCGCAAAGAACTCAACGAGAATTATTAGAAAAAGCCGTTCAGGATTTTCAAAGGCTTATTGATAGAACAGTTACCGACTTTCGTGTGATATGGAAAAACACGAAAAAGTTAGTGGAAAATGAAAGGGAGTTTCAAATTCACCGCGATCTTTCCGGGCTGGAAGCTTGCAAGAAACTTTTTAATAAGCACATCAGAAAGTTAAGGAAAGAATTCGAAGAAAGGAAGTTGAATGGGTATTTGTCTAGACTTCCAAGTGCATTAGATGAGCTTATACCTAGTGCATCTTCGATGGAACTATGCCACTGGAACTGGCAAAATTGCCAAAAGGCGATTCGAAATCACAAACAGTTTGATAAGTGGATGATAGTTTTGCCGGAGGAGACAGCTTGGAATGAGAGCGATCATCTACTCAACGACGATCCACGTGTTCCTTTTGACATTTTGTCTCTCCCACGAGCAGAGAAAGTGTTTCAGAACCATGCGGAAAAGTTAAAAGCTGCGGAAAAACGGCTCCGTATGATGAACGAATTTCGTAAACTACTGGAGTTGACGCCGCAAATTCGACCAGGCACAACGTGGATAGAAGCGGCTGTGCTGTTGGAAAATGAGGAAAGTTTTCAGTACTTGAACGACTCAGACAAAACAAAAATTTTTGACACCTACCGTCGTGACATTACTGAGAAAGCCAAAGCCGATTTTCAAGAGTTGTTATTCGAATCAGCAGGGTTGTTTTCAAAACTTGAACCCAATACGCGACCCTCGATCGCTCCCGAAGACATACGGGTAATAAAAGAGGCTTTGAGCGAGGACGATCGTTTCAAACGGCTCGATAAATTGGACAGCGATCGCGAAATCGGCTTGATAAATCACATCGCTCTGTTGTACAGTCCCACCAGATGCCTCAGTGGAGCGGAGAAATGCCGCGATCGGCTCATGCAAGAGATCGTAGCAACGACCACATACAGGTACAATTTTTATCTATTAAAATCGTCTGTTTTGTCCTTGCAAATAATTGATGAAATATAAGGTTGTAAGTTTCACTGGTGCCAATTTCAACTTGGGTAATCATGAGTAATGCTTAATCACAATGAAATATTGCACTTTGGGTGTTGTTTTTTGCTAGCTTCTTTTAATCGGATTTAAAACATCAATAGTTGGTTTTAATTTACTACTCATAACACAGCAGATATATTCCATACTCAGCTCATCTTCGTAATTTTATGCAAGTCAAACGTTCTACTCGTGCTTCAAATTTTCCGGAAAGTACACAGAGATTTGGAGCCCCTGATTTTATTTACCAGCTCTTAATTCAAAATATGTGCACTTGTTTTGGCAAAACAGAAAGCATACCCACGCTTATAACCTCAGGGAGAATGTTTTTGTTGTCTGGTTTCCTTTCACACTTGTCCCTTCACCCAAAAAGGCCTTTGTACAATCAGAAATGATATGCGCATAATTTCTGTGTTGAAGATTTCTCATGCATTTCATAATATCTGTTTCGAATTTAAAATATTTCTCCACCCTCTTTTAGCCTGAAATTTTTATTTTTGTGTTGTTTTGAAGGTGTCATTTTATTTTAAATTAAAACTGTGATTTCAAAATCATTGACAGAAGTTTGGATTTATTGCACTGTTTCAGGTGATTTTTTATAATTCAGCAATCGAGCAGGTTTTAAAAAGGGGCATAAAGATAAAGAGTAAAAAAAATCCACAACTGCTACATCCAAGGTGTATCAGTTTTAAATTTTTTCGAGAATTAAATTTTCCATGGTCCTTCAGTTTTAGACTTTGTATCTCTTTTGTGCCACACTTATTTCTCTTTCATATGGTAATTGAGCCTGACAAGTAAATTAAGTTGTCACTTTTATAAGCTTCTTCGTTGAAGCTGAACTTTTTATTTTTTGAGATTCTTGAGCCACTGATGAGATCACTGTTTTGGCTGTCTCTGGGATATTTATTAAAATTACATGTAATTTCATGTGCACCTGTCCTTTGTTACACAAAGCATGGTATTGTTGTAGCATTACTATGCATGCAACCTGTTTTTAAGGGTTAAATTTCATTAACAGAAAAATAGAATGATAATCGTTTGAGGTATATATTCACACGATTTTGCTGTTTTGGCACAAGCAATTAATTAAGAAGCTATTTTTTGTTCTGTTTTCTGGGTTATTCGAGGTCACTGAAAAGCAGATGAACAGTTGAACACAATTGCGTGAAAATTTATATGCCTAACACTTGTCTCAAACAAGCTAAGGCCAGTATCTTTGTTTCACAGATAGCGGGAAAAATCAGATTGCATTAGGTTGTCTCATTTGTTACTCAGATTTCGTTTTTACAAGTAGTTTACATTTTATAACCTTTATATCCACTTCATGTAATTTTTTTAAGTATATTTGAAATTACATCATTTTCTGGATAGTGAGCTAAAGATGTCATGCATTTACATGTACATGTAGATGATTCATTATTGACTGAATGACAGTCAACAAAACAGTGCACCTTAACTTCTAGAATGAATGAATTATTATATGTTGATACTCTACAAACATGCTTTCACCAGTTATTTTCATCAATTTTAAGTTTATATGTAATTAAATTTGATGGAATTTGATTGTGGTAAACTTTGAAAGTGAAAGACTATTCTAACAACTCTTCAATTGCTTAAAGAGTTAATCACAATTGCTTTCATCCCTTTATTTTTTTTAAAGATCTCTCTTATATCCATGTACATTATGTGTATGGTACTGTGCATGTTGTTGCTGTATAAAATTTGAACAGGGCTGCAAACCGATTCATTTTTAAGACATTTACCAGTAAACATGGACAAAACATAATTTTGTTTACATTGTGGATCCATTTTTATCCTGTATGTTTTTATGTATTCATGTACATGCACAAACAAAATTATATCATTTTCTGGATAGTGAGCTAAAGATGATGTCATGCCTTTACAGTGACATGTAGATGATTCATTATTGACTGGATGACAGTCAACAAAACAGTTGAAGGTTGATGCACCTTAACTTCTAGAATGAATGAATTATTATATGTCTTTACTCCACAAACATTCTTTCACCAATTATTTTCATCAATCTCAAGTTTACATAGAATTAAATTTGATGAAGTTTGATTGTGGTAAACTGTGAAAGTGAAAGATTACTCTAACAATTCTTCTATTGCTTAAAGAGTGAATCACAATTGCTTTTCATGCCTTTAATTTTTTTAAAATCTCTCTTATATCCATGTACATTATGTGTATGGTACTGTGCATGCTGAGATTAACCAAGCTTTATCAAATTTGAACAGGGCTGCAAACCAATTTATTTTTAGACATTCACCAATAAACACAGACAAAACATAATTTTGTTTACATTGTGGATCCAGTGTTATCCTATATGTTTTTACAGATACATGTACATGCACAAACAAATATTGTTCTGTTGCATAATGGATATGATCTTTTTGTGTTTTTATCTGTAGAAGAAACTCTTGTGTACAAGTTTTAGTAGATACATCATGGATAGTTTTTTTTTTTTGCAATTTATTATGATTTTACTGGAGCAGTTGGAGCTTGGTGTGTTTCTTATTCTGTATTTTTTTGACAGGCCAACATTCATGGACAGTAGTGAGACACTAGACAGCGATGACAGCCAAATTAACCTGCTTATTCTGGGCAGTGGGGGTTTTGCTCAGGCCATGGAAAGTGAAATTCGGGTATGTACATGTATATATTACCTTTCTTTGCTCATTGTCTTTGGTTACAGATTATACAGTGTCATCATAAAAACAGAAATAATAATAATAATATTGGTAATAATGGAACAGAACTGCCTGTCACTTATTTCAAGGTTGAAAACATTTACATATAACCTTTTATACTTTAATATCAGTATGCAAGTTTTCCATATTGTTCCCTATATATTCCTGTAATACTGACAAGGAAAATTTGTTTAGCAATCGAGAGCTTCTTGAGTTTGCAATCATTTCCTTTATTCTCATGACCTTAAACCTTAATGCGCGCAGATTAAAGGGTAATCTTTTGGGAGAAATTATCTGCCTATCACTCCAAGGGGTTAAAGAGTGAAATATCCAGCATAGTTTCTCTCTCAAAAAAGCCAAACTTTAATTTAGTAGTGTCTAGTATGTTATTTTGTTTATTTCCATGTTTTAGTTTTGATATTTTTCTGATGTTGCAGACCCAGTGTTCATATGGAGATCCAGACAATCTAGAGTTTGTCCTTGATGGCCGCATGTATGAACTGGACTATCATGTGGTGGATGGCAACATGGATCCACCAGAATATGCTTTGGCTGGGAC